GTGTGTGTGTGTGTGTGTGTGTGTGTGTGTGTGTGTGTGTGTGTGTGAATGTTTGTATTTGAGTGCATGGTTGAGACATGAACAACATTGCCACATCATTGTCTGGTTGTTCTTGGGAGATTTACGTGAATGCAGTTTTGTTATGGGTTCTATGCTCATTTTCTTGCACAGTTTATTCCATTCATACTTTCAACAAGCTGCACTCATAGCACCCCCGGTCTGTAAAACGCACTCTGTTTAGCCAATAAATGACAGGATTCTGGTGTTAGCATGCTATTTTAACTTACAGTCATCTGGCATATTTTGAGGGGGGTGTTTTCTCCTATGTTTTTGTCTCTCTATGTTATTTATTTTTTATAAATATGTTTTGCAGGTTGTAGTCAGACTCTTCTTCTTTGATGTCAGTGTTGACATGATGATGCTGAAACAACACAGCTATGTCTGTCTCATCCCACATCACATAACAAGTATTTGCAGTTAGCTGAAGACCTGGGTTTATTTTGGACGCTATACCCCCAAAGATTTGCCAAAACAGCCACTGATATTGTTTTCACTCTCATATGGATAGTTATGTGACATTTGAAACACACATTCAAATCTGTGTATGAGATATCAATGACAGTATTTTTTGTGTGCATCAGATATGGCTCGATGCTGTATTCCCTGTTGATCCATTTTGTTTGGTATTCTAGTACATTTCAGCTAAACATTACATTAAAGGCCATTTGTTCACTTAAGAGGTAGACATGGGTTGTTTGAATAATTCAATAAAAAAATGATGACTGCAAATATGTGTGGGCGTGTTGTATGTAATACCAGACAGCTGGTCATTGTCAGGGTTTGTTCAAATTACCTGCTAGTTTCTTGCCTTTTTTTGTCAAGGAGGCTGTGCGGGGATTCCATGCAGCACACAACAGGAACACTCAATTCAGGGTGAAACAGGAACCACGGCAAAACCCTGTGACCCGTTGGGAATAAGTAAATGGATGGATGGATATTTCAGCAAAAAATCTTTCAGTTTACAATTGAAAATCCTGGCTGCTAAGAAATCCAAAAGTGCTCTCATTTATACCTCAGACTATTTAAAAATACCATTGCAAAATAGCATATCATTTCTTAAATGAAGAAATGAGTTACACATTATGAGCTTTTTCTAAAAGGTTACCTATTGGAAAGTCCTTCTGTGTTTTCTATTTTTAAGGTGTCATACTTTCTTTGTTCACTGACAGCTAGGAGCATGAATAGGCCTTTCTTCTGGTTATTTTATTATGCACTTCCATTGTATCTATAACAAACTGACCTGCCTTCCTGCTTCAGTTTACTCTCGTATGTTCCCTTTCCACCACCCCCCCCCATGGAATTTTCCTTCGTATTGGACACCAGTGAGTGCTCAGGTGATATGCGCATGAGTGACTTTGGGAGGAGAGTGGTCAAAGTTCTAGGTTCAAAGTCAACAAACTGACTAAGTCTTAAGATGAAGGACCCTATCAGCACCTGCTCTGTGAGTATTTCTTTTGGCAAGAAAATAAGGGCAATGTTTGGTTTCAAAACATACAGAAGTGAAGCATAATCTTTCATTTGGAGTTACTCTGAAAGTTAGCGCGGACAACTGTGCGTTGGCTTGATCTCTATCACATAATTTCATAGAGTATTGCTTACTGTATTTCAGTATAACCACATCTATCAAAATGCAAAACAACATTCCAAAACTGGGGAATACTTCTTCAAAGAACTTGTGACAGTTTTCCAACAAAGGTAAGTTCAGCCTTTTCTCAGGTTCAGAGGACATTTGAATGTCTACAGAAGTTCTTTTTGCCTCAGTGGTTGTGGCTTGCTGCAATCTTTTCCGGTTCAAGGGCGGAACTGGAGCTTACATACGCCAAAGGTCTGCAAAAGCAAGCAGGGAAACTGTTGAGAGCCTCAAAAGGAATGTCCGACAAGTAGGTCCCGAGAGTTTCATTGCCTTGTTTTCAGCACTGCCCTTCCCCTGGTCTGTGTTTGACATGACCTCTCCATGGGGAGTGACAGCTGGCGCATAGAAATAATCGTATCATGAGAGATCGCATGAACTCGACAAGTTAAGCGTGATCAAAACACAGACAGGTGTCAGGCTAATTAGCCCCCAGTCCTAACCTTTTCATGCTGGCTCCCCTCTCAGTTCCATCTACAGGGCCTGGTGTCATGTGTCGGATGAGATGTACTCCAGAGCAGACGCTCACAGGTAGTCCTCAGCCCCAGCCTGCCTCATTACTGACAACTCTCACACATCCAATGAATGTTCGGGACATTCTTTAGCATAATGTGTTTTTATGCTTTAATCTCAGATCATTGGGCAATTCATTTCAGCAAGACACCATTTTGGACATACGACAAGTCCTGGATGAGCACTGTAAGAGGAAGAAACCGGTGCGTAATTCCTTCCTTGTTTTTGTGACTGTGTCCGTTCTCGCTTTGAAGCTCTAACGTGTCCTTAAACCTCTCTGCCATTTGACAGCTCGACATTGCCATTGATAGAAATGGAAAACTTTTCCATGCTAACTGGAGTGAACAACTTAAGGTAAGGAATCAAGTTATGAATGTATGCAGGGATAATCATTTGAAGTGCTTAGTCTTAAATCCAGAGTATTTTGTATGGCTGTAAATCATTATGTGACTTTATGATGAGTTTAATCGCCCCTTGTGAAGCTGGCTTTTCTTTGGAAACAATTATTGCTTCAGAAATTTGAGTCATGCAAGTTTGGGACTCTAGTCGGGGCAATCTAATTTCTCCAACATGACCTCAGCTCCAAAACACACTATAGATGTTCTTTCATGCTTCCCCACAGTCAGTGGGAGCCATCGTAAACTGCACTGCTGAGGTTTTTGTGAAAGTCTCTAACTATTTCAGCTGTATGAATCTGCACATTATCACTTAAGTAGATGGCACAACCACCGCAAAATGACTTAGTCGAAGGAAATTGACAAAAAAAAACTCTCCATAGGCTACCCCACTTTACTGTTCTAGTAGCAGGAGGAACTCGAAACCTTTTTATGCAAAACAGTAAATTCATTATTCATCACACAGTAGTATCGCTATTATATTGTTAGAATCGGTACTATGAGTTAGTGCCTTTCCCATTTCTTTATTATGAATATGTTTTAGTTCATTAATAAAGAGCTTAATTGAAAATACTGAACAAACAGAACATAGAATCACATTAGCAGAAAAGAGGCAGAAAAAAATCACACATTCTTTCTCCACTCAATGTGTAATAGAATTATGAATGCAATGTTACTTGGAATTAATCATAGTATGACCACAAAAGATTGTTTCCCTAATGTTTGTGCAATTTCCTGCTCTAAAATAGATCAAAAAGAAATTGGCTGGACTAACCAAAGAACATGAGGCACTCTTCAACTTTGTCGAAAACAACAAGCACGTCAGCACTGAAAAAGAAAAGCAAAAGGTACACAGCACTCTCAGCAAGCTTTTTTCATTATTGAACTTCAATATGGCCGAGAATTCCTGGAAAAGCTGTCACCATGGCTGCAAAGCATTTTTTATTTCCTGCTCTCGCCTGCAGATGCTCAACAGGCTGACTAAGTCAGCAGAACTGCAGGCGCGGGTGGATGCCGATTACTTCAATATCAACATGGAGGGTCATCAGATGAGACTCAAGTGGGAGAACACATTGAAAAACTGCTACCAGGTGGGGGAAAAAATGCTTATTATGCTCTTCGTGTTTAGCATAATTAAACGGTCATCAATCTAAGAGTGTTTTTTTGTGACAGAGAAAGGCTCAGCGCCCTGCTTAGCGACAGCTCATTTGTGAAATAAGATGAACCAGTGAGACATCTGTGGGAAGTAGGTCATTTTACCAGCACTGTGCGTTGGTGCTAAATTCACAGTCAGGCCGGACCATTCTGCTTCTTATTCCATGCCATGTGATGCACACTTTATGCATCACAAGAGGGAAAGAAATCAGATACTTTGTTCTTTGTTCAGTCACTCCACACCCAAAAGACTTATTTGTCACTGTATTTTTATCCAAACTCACCTTAAGGTGTAAGATGATTCACCATGAAGAAATGGGCTCTCTGCTCTTTCAGATCATTCAGGAATTGGAGAAACAGCGAATTGAAGTCCTCTGCAACATTCTGAGCAGATACAGCCTCCACATGTCCAGCTTTGAGCAGGCCCTCAAACACGTAAGACTCCCTCCATCCTGCTAGCAAGTAGCCTTCAGGCACAGCATTACCTGTGGGCTTTTCCTTCTCTCTCCAGGGCCAGAGGCAGATCGAGCAGGCGGTCCAGAGGGTGGACGTGGACAAAGACATGCAAGCGCTGGTGGAGGAAAACAGCATCACAGATGAAGATAACAAAGCAGAATTTTTGATGGCCGATTACTTTGTAAGTCTGCTTCATTTTGGTTTTCTTTGCTCTGACAGTCTGAATGCATTTTGAAAAGAGGTCTTTCGTATGCAGACGCAGTTACTCATCGAATTAGAGACAAACCTTTTCATTTCCACGGCAAGGAAAATATAATATGTGCAGAAATATGAATGTGCTTTTTATTTTTTAGCAAGGCCTACGCTATGGCTGGTCTGTGTGTTAAACATTTTGTATAGCAAACTGAGATTATTTTTCTTTGTAAACAAAATAAGATTTGTTTTTGTTTTTTTAAATTTAGTTAAATGAATTCACTACATTTAGAAACATGAGGCTAAGCGAAGCGGTTACTATGGGGTTCATGTAACCTGTTTGCTTTACTGCTGAGGCTATGACAGCTGATTTAACTTGGTTCCCTTTTATACCATTATTCAGGAGGAAGGAAACAAATCACTGATGAGCAAAGAAAGAAGAAGAGATGCCATCAACCTCAAACTTCAGCGTCTGGAGGCCAGCATTGAAAAGACAAAGAAAGACTGGGAAGGTTGGGTTACTTTAAGCTTGTTTTAAGTGTGCAGACTGTCCATCCTGTCATTCTCATGTCTAAATTATCATGCAGGTATTGAAAAACTATTGAAAACGTACTCTGAGAACCCTTCTTTCTCAAACCAGAGGAACCTGGAGGAAACTGAACAGCTTCTAGATGAGGTAAAAAATTGTCTCCACCAGTGAGGGACATTTATTGTATAACTGTCACACTTTTTCTCAAGTGTTCACTATTCCTGTTTGTTATTTACAGAGTACACTAAAACTGGATCTCCTTGAGGCCACTCACTATAAACTGTCTGCCTCACTCTCTGAATTTGAAGGAAAGCCCAAGTCGTTTTACAGATTTAGGAACAGCATTTATAAATGGAAAGACAAGGTAGGACTTATTTGAGCTGTTGTATAACCTCAGGTAGACTCACTGTGACTTACTTAAGATCTTAACTTGGAATTTGTGTAAAATGTGTAAGGGTGGGGGGGCAGCAAAGCTGTTAAAACCAAGTGGGAATTGTTACAATAAAAAATAATGGAAGTCTGTGCCTTATAATAGAAGAAATGTGCCTTATACAGTATATCTAAATTGTAAAGTATATTTTGATGCCATTTTACACCAGGCTAACATATAGCCTATTGAAGAAGACAGCTTGATTGAGTAAATGTGTTTGGTTCTGCTGTTTCACAGCAGCCGAAACATACAATCCTTTTTCCATTTTGACTTTGTTGCATATTTCAAAACTAGTTTTGAATGATAATCGCAGTATGCATCATCAATTACTGCCTCAGGCTAACAAAACAAGATTCTCCCACAAATAGCCTGATGCTAAATGGTTCTCTAACATTCCTCAGAACGGTCACAAGTAAGCTTGCATTTCTCTGGTTATTTTTTCTTCCTGGACATCAGAAATAATGCAGACCCAAACACTTTTCTCACCCAAGGACTGTGAGCATAGCATCATTCAACTGAATCGTCCAGTCAAACTCAGGAGGACTCCATTCAGATCTACAAAGTCGCTGAGGGCCTCGGTCATTTACAAAGGGCCAGTTCACTCGCTAACACAACCGTCTGCTGGGGTATCAGCAAAACCAACAAACCAGGTCTCATCCATAGCTGCGACAAAGGAACCCGTGGAGTGTGAGAGCACAGCTGAGGGACCTGAGTCCCTCACAGATGAAGTCAAAGGACAAGGTAACTTACACAGCACCACGATTTGTCGTTATTGACCCAACTGTGACTGCGTTATGAAGTTAAAGCAATTAAAAATGCCCAGCAGATGAAATGGAGGAGCTGTGCAGTCTAGGGAAATGCAAGGCTCTGTACAGCTTCACACCCGAACATCAAGATGAATTGGCTTTAAGAGAAGGTAGGTGGTGATTCTCAAACAACTGCTTTGAAGTATCAGCAAAGATAGACAGCGTAAGTGATTATGTTCACTGTTTCACAGGCGATCTTATAGACATTTATGCCAAGGAGGAGAACGGTTGGTGGTTTGGTGCTCTTAACGGGCAGAAAGGACATTTCCCATCAACCTATGTTGAAGAGTTACCTGTGATAAGCAGCATTGAATCATCAAACGCCTAAAAGACCCCAATGATGAGCAGCAAAAACACCAAACTAATGCTCCATTTTGTTGATTATCATCATCTGCAGTGGCCAAACTGTATTAACAGCAAGGTATGAGTAAGTACTTCAGGCCCCTAATTCAGACTTCCACATGTAACATCATGCTCTCTCTCATACTACTAAACTCCCATACATATTCTATGCTAGGATATGGATAAAGAGAATTTTATACTGTACACTGATGTGATTATATTTAATTTAAGCTTCATATTCAGGCAGCCCATGATTTTAGAGTTGAACCATTTTCCATCTCCATTTTGGAGATTGAAAACAACACAAAGCACTGCTGCTTGACACATGATTTCATATATGAGATGAAAGAAAAGCTGAAATGAACCAGTTATTCAGTTTATCACTGAGACTTAACTTTATGTTTCTGTGGGGGAAAATCAGAAAAATGCATGCAAACACCAGCTATTTTCAGCTCACAGTGGGGTTCACTCACAAAACAGAGCCCATTGCACCATCTAGTGCCTGCAGGCTGACATCCCATTGGTCCTTCAAAGGGCCTCTTTGTTTCTGATATTTGTCTTTGAAGACGACTTTATATCAGTCAATACAGAAACTGAATGTGGCTGGGTCTTCAACAGCCCCATATTTTTACCTCGTACGTTTGTTTTTCTCCTAAGAAAACTTTATTTTTACCAAAGATTCAAATAAGGTTCTACCAAAACAAGAATATATCCTATACGAAAATATCCTATGCCAAATGGAAAATATAAGTAAGTTCACTCATTCATGTTGTAGAATTTTCCAGGGATACTTTTTTTTATCATTCATGCTCAAAATTGACAGATTTTTTTTTTTTTTTTAATTTTTTTGTATCCTTATTTCATGTAATTTCATTTTCATGATTGATATAAAACTTCTCGTATTTTTCACATTGAGCAAATATTTGTGTCTTGATAAGCTTCAGCCTGCTCCTGTTGAAGTTGTGGCTCTTCATTTTAAAAGGGTACCTTTCTTATAGGTTATCATGTTGAATGAATCAGTTTATTCTGTTACCTCTGCTTGAATTATCTTGTTTCTCTCTGTAAAACAGCTCTTGCATGCAAACTTTTGTTTTTTCACATTGGTGGATTTCTGTTACCCATCATTTTTCTTGTATTCACTCTCCTTTTTTCTATCAACTGTAAGATCTTCAGAAAACAGAAATTCACCCACAAATAAACATTTTTTCCTGTAAAATTTAATTGATCACTAAATCTGAATCTCAGGTAGAAAACATAATAAAGACACAAAAAAAACACAACATATAGGCAAAGAATCCAACAAAATAGCACAGCAGGGGATAATTGAAAAGGACAACTATGATGAGGATCTGGAACAAAGTGGAGAAAAGTAGATTTGAAAAACTTAATGAGGACGTCAATAGTATTGACTCAGTCACTGATATTATCCAAATAAAAATATCAAACAAAAATACGAGGCTTCCATTATGACTGTAACGAAGAAAGATCAGTCTTTGATGCGTTGAAGCTCGTCTTACTGTCGCTTTCTGTTTTGTTGCCTGAACATTTTTGATGTGACAGCAGTGATTTTTGTTTTGTTTTTATAGTTTGTCTTGACAGACGGTAATAAGTACAAAGCCTCGCTGTGCACATGACTTTGCACTTATTACCGTCTGTCAGCCCTCTTCCTGGCTTCAAGCCCTCGTTGTTAGCGCGGCTTGAACCAGTTGAGCCTCATCTCTGCACCAGCAGTGCGGCGCTTTGATCCGAATGCACTGATGTGTGTGCGTAGATGCAAGTGTTTATTTTGATCAATGTTCAGTCTGATTCATTTTCACTGTAGGCTACTGTACCATCATTTTTGACAGACCCCGTTTGTATTTGAATTTTTATACCAATAAAAAACAAAAATCTTACTTATAATTCAGTGTGCAAATTAAATAGACTTTCAAAATCACAGGTTTTATTATTGTAATATCACTGGAAGTAAAACAAAGCTGCTGTGCTTCCTACAACATTGATAAACAGAAAAAATAAAGGATAACTAGTTAGATAGAAATGATCGATTAGGTGTTTTAGGATGAAAGGAAATTTTAAAATATCCTGAGCAGCACTTGCTGTTTTAAAAAGAACACATGTGTTTAAAAATGTTACAAATACAGTAAGTGCTTAATAATAAGACAAGCAAAAAAAAGAAAGAAAAAAAGCCAATCTCAGCTGCGTGCCAGTGAAATAAACTCCTTCCGTACATTTGCCAGGAATGCCTGTAAATTATTGGTCTCTTGAAGCCGGCTTTCCAATACTGGCAAACAATCAACCACTGGGTCGCTGGACACAACTGTTAAAAAGTAACATCTGTGTTAACACAACTCACAGTGCTCATTGCAAGATACAAAGATTGTCATATATTCAGTGACAATAATTAAACATTGGTTCTACCGTTGAGATGTGAACGTTCTCAGGTTTACTGGCAGTTTTTATACATGCAGTTATAGGCAGTTTCATCTAGTGAACAAAAAAGAACTGAACACAAAGAACGTTTGCAACTTACTCTGGTACGATCCGTTTTCTTTAATCCCCATTGTGATAACATAAGCGCTGTCCTGATCAGAAGGGTGAATGTATCGGAAAACAAACTGCAACTTTTCACCTTTAAAAAGTGGAAAAAACACAGACAACACATTCTGTAACATCTGCAGTTATTTGGTTCAGATAAACAGAAATAATGGGTACCTGTTTCAGAAAAGGGACCGGAATTGTAAGCATGTTCACAGAGCTAAAATAGTGTTTTTTGAAGGGAAATGAAAGGAGGCCTTCCTCACTTAAATTTTGTGGAAGAATCTCTCTGTAAAATATATTGTATACCCTAAGACTTTATGCCATTTCCTCTTCAAGTTTTCCAGAGTGATGTGAAAATAACAGGACGCAGAATTTCTGGACATTTGTTCCCTTCAGTAGTCCAAAAGAAAAAAACTGATCTCATGAGATCATTGTTGAGACCCCTTAGTTTGAAAACTAATATATTAAAAACTAATGGTAGCTGCCACATTGAATGCTGTTGTGTGTCTGAGAATCATGGATTATACTTCACATGGATGTGTATATTCTCCACCTACCTTTGACCAACTGTGTTTTGCCGAGGATTGTTCGTATCTCCAGCCCCAAATGATCCTGAAACACGAGTCTGGCTTTTTGGAGATTCTTCAGTCTGTCTTTGTTTGCTGCATTTTGAAACTGGATTACTGAAAAGAGAAGACACCACTGAACAATGGAACAATACATCAAAACGGACATTTCTGACAGAACTTTGGTTACATTTTCAAACAGTCTTACAGTCTTTCCTTTTTATCTGTTCTTCTTTAAGTTTTTGGATTTTCTGAATGATGTCCTCTTTCTGCATTTCCTTCTCCTGAACCTCAGCCATCGTGTCAGAAATGGCAAGCTGTTTCTCCTTTAAGATCATTTTTTTATGGCCCAATTCTGGGAAGACAAAACATTTTTGTCAATCAAACTGCAAATTTTAAAAAAACTTAAGCTCTCATCCCTGATTTGACAGAACAAGAAACAGAGGGAAGTACTGATGATGCAGAATTATAATAAAACACAGGAATATTCAAATTACAATATTTACATGTATAATACAATCATAATGCCACATGAGGTATTGCAGAGTCACCTCTTTTGAAGGTCTGGATGGTCTCAAACAGTTTCTCATCATCTTTACACTTTTTCAAACATGTATCTGTTTATAGAGGAAAAATAAAGAAAAAACATATAATTAAATGAACTGCATGAGAACATTGTTGGAAGTGGGTTATTTATTTATTTTTTTTAGTTATCTCATTTTGATATACATTTTGAATCGTAACATATCTATTACAAAATTTACGGTTGTAGCAAAATCATTTCTATTCAGGGATAAATAAATGTTAAAGTAAATGTTAATGGACTACAACTTACCGAGTGCAGACTTAACAAACTGTCTGTGAGAGTGGGATAGGTCTGCAGTTGTATCAACTATGTCTGCATACGTTTTAAGATGTTCATTGTGGATCTCCTCCATTGCACTGGTGAACCTGTCACTCAAGTTTGGATCAGTAACTGACATCATGATCAGCTGGATTTTAGAGGAAGAGAGGCAGGACATGAACTTAACATGCATATAACAATATATGCACATAAATACAAATGTGTGCAGCTATGTAAATCTTTTAATCTGTACTTAGTATAAAACCAGATATCTTTAGGCTAAGGCACCAGGCAAATCAAAGAACTATGACCCAAAGCTGATGATCGACAAATCAAGATTTGCAGCCACTTATTACAAATTCAACAAGAAAAAATAGGATCCTGCAATAGTCTGAAAAATAGCATCAAATATTACATAAATAATTAGCTACATGTTCTATAGGCGAATTATTGCAATGCAGTGGACTAGTATAATGTAAAGTATTATGTGTGATGACAACAACATTTCATTAAAAACTCGGGGAGCAAATTATCTACAAAACGTACTTTTGTTTAACCTATTGTTTTGCCGAATTTCCGGTAACTTGTGTTTAGAACTGCAAACGATACAAGAGCATGATATATTGAGACACATTTTAGCACCTTTCTCTTCAAAAACAGAAAGCATGATCACGTATGGGTCTGGCTATTTACGTTTTGAACAGCTTTTTATATGGATGCTAATATGGCTAGTCCATCCTCACAATAAACTTTCTTTGTTTGGCAGCTAATCCTAAAAGCAGAGTGTTACCCTTTCATAATATAACAAATAAGATATGTGTTTATTTATCATTAATAAAGGTCGACTTGCAAGTCGCTTTACAAAATTAGCTTGTCAGCGCTAATGCTAACTGGGCAGCTCAGCAATGAGTTCACCGAACATGCAAGAATTACCATCACTTACTCAAGGAGTAGTTTACTAACATTAGATTTGATATTTTCTATATATAGATTTAATACTTACACTTTTTTGAAGAGTAAGGTCAGAAGACAACTGCTATTGGTTTTCGTCCCGCTGCGAAATCAGTGATTATTTCAAATATCCGCGGCTTGTACACAGAGGGCGGTTTTACTGTACACCGGAAATGACGTACTTTAACCCCCGTTTACACAGCCGTTTAAAACATACAAGACACATTTTCTAAATTTATTTTGTCATTGTTTTTCTAGGCAACATGTTTTTTATCATATATAATCACGATTAAAAAAACATAAAGATAAATCAACACACATATATTTTTTTGTGTTTCTTCAACATCTCACGCCTCACCTTGTGGTGAAAAATAGGCAGTGCAGGCAGCTCGCAACTTAACTGGGCCATGACAACCATTCCAAACGCTTTATAACTAAAATAGTTAGAGCATTATTTTGTATGAAAGTGCATATATATTTCTAATGCAAAAATACAACTAACTGAGGATAGATGCACCCAATAAACTCAGCTGAAGATGCCAGATGGGCTGTTTGCATCACATGTATTATGGAAGGCCCACTTGGTTGCTACGCTCACTGAGAATGACGGTCTTAATGAAGCTGAAAGGATCCGGGGGAATTATTTGGGGCACTCACCCTTAGCGTGTGTATAGTGGCTAATATTTAACAATTGTACAATCTATGTTCCGTGAAACATATAATGGCAAGACAGTCTGGTTATAAACAGTTTTTTGTGGAGTGCCTTAAAACGCTGACCTCTCGTGGCTTGGGAACACATTATTATATTCCATATGTGTTCAAACAACTTAAAGAAGTTGCCATAGCATCTGTGAATGATTTATGATACCAGAGTGTTATATAAAGTGATGTGCGGCTGGACTTCATGAAGCTTTGACTGGTGCTACAGAGGAAACTGTTGCGCACACAGAAGAAACCATATGGATTTTATCCACAACTTTGGTGTACTGGTTATACAACACCTGCAGAGCAACTACAGGGAATACTACAGCTTCCTTAACTTCATGTCAGCAGTGGGTGATCCTCGTAATATTTTCTCAGTTTATTTTCCTCTTTGGTTCCATTTCAGTCATAATGTTGGAACCAAGATGATTTGGGTAGCTGTTATCGGAGACTGGTTCAATCTCATTTTTAAATGGTAAACATTTTTCTTATTTCCTTTTTACTTTGGTTTCTGTATTCACAGACTTTAATGAAAATATTGTTCTGTCACTCAGGATTCTGTATGGGCAAAGACCATATTGGTGGGTAAAGGAAACATACCTGTACCACAACAATTCAATACCACACCTGGATCAGTTTCACTTAACTTGTGAAACCGGGCCAGGTTAGTACTGCAAGTATAAAATGCATCTTAACAGAAAAGTGGCAGACACTGTCCTTAATTATTCTTTTTGCAGGTAGTCCATCTGGCCATGCCATGGGCTCATCATGCGTGTGGTATATGATGATCACCTCTGCTCTAAACTTTGCCAGACCCTCCAGTGTCTCATCTGTTCGGAGCGTTCAGAGGTACTCGATTATGTTATACATTTGTATATCTTTCTCAACACATTTAGTTGTTTCATCTTTGTTGGTCTAAATGTTTGTTTCCCTGCAGGTTTCATGTCTTGAGATCCTGCTTGTGGATGACTTTTTGGGTCATTCAGATAAGTGTTTGCCTCTCAAGGGTTTTTATTGCAACACATTTCCCACATCAGGTCATCTTTGGTCTTGTCACCGGTACGTTCCACTTTACTGTCTTATATTTTCATGCATTTGTGTTGTACTGTATGTCAGAATAATGTGTCCCTTTTTTAATCTACATGTAGGTATGTTGGTTGCTGAAGTCTTTGATCATATCCCTTCAGTCTACAATGCAAGCTTGAAAGTGTACCTCCAGGCCAATGTTTTCCTTCTCTCCTTTGCTATGTGCTTTTATCTGCTCCTCAAACTCATGGACATTGATCCTTTGTGGTCAGTCAATAAAGCCAAAAAGTGGTGTGCAAACCCAGATTGGATCCATCTTGACACCACACCTTTTGCTGGTCTGGTGAGAAACCTAGGAGCCTTGTTTGGTCTTGGACTAGCAGTGAACTCCGATATGTTCGCTCAGAGCTGTAAGGGGAAGAATGGCTGCAAAACTGTGTTCAAACTCATGTGCATCGCAGCAACCCTGACATTTCTGCAGCTGTACGACTTAATCAAAATGCCCACTGACAGCGAAGCTCTGTTCTACTTGCTTTCATTTTGTAAAAGTGCCTCAGTACCTCTTGGTGTAGTGGCTGTCATCCCTTACTTTGTTCATTTGCTGATTAAAGGTGAGGAGACAAAGCTAGCTTAGACTGTTCAAACAGTTCCATTTTGTAATGTGGAACCCAATACTCTGTGATTGGAGTCAAGTCATTTCAAGTAGGGTCAGTCCCGGTGGCAGAAAGTGAATACACAGAACACAGACTCTTTCAGACGGTTCTCCCTTTATTCACAGTCATGCAAGCACTGAACACCACAACATGTTAGGATATTAGGACACTATTGGGTTTAAACGGCTCATTTGTTTTGACATTGTTGAATATCACCTGCAGCCTTTTTGTGGTTCTGTCGTTTCTACGCTTTTTACATTCACAATCTGTATACCTGAAACACTGCTGGAATTGATTATTTTGTCATTAAAGTTATGCTTTTTAAAGTAAACAACACTGTATTAAGTTTGTGATTTCATTCCAAGTTCCCCCTCCAAATGCAAGTTGGGGCTCATTTGAAGTGCAAATGTTCAAGAAAGGTTTTAGAAGTTCCTGCCAAATCAAAGAGTTTTTTTCTAAGTAAGCTCAGTGTGAGCCAAACGTGAAGTGCTAAAATGAATAAATTAGTTGTTCAAAGGTCATATAGAACCTTAGGACTCTTTAAAAGACAACCCTTTTTCTTCTTGGTCTATTCAAAATGTGTGAAAAACAGATATGATACAGAGTATATATCATGGCATCTGATGTTTGTGTAGCTGGGTTTTAGAATGAAAATCTAGATTAAGAATACATCAGAAAACAGCCAAACATTCAGATTAAGCCACAAAAAAACAAAACAAAACAAGGAATGTATATTATTCACCAAATTTTAAACTGGATAGTGTGCCTGCATCTCATCGGACATTTACCAAATTTACATATGCTCACCAGGACCCTCTGAATCAACATGGATTTCTAGCCAAACTTTCTGTTATACATCACAAATGCTCATGTTGGTCTGGGTGTGTTACATAATCTCTAATGGGTCTTTTAGTTTCTTGAGGCAACATTAATCAGCCTAAAACTAATGAGGCATAACAGAGCCCCTGATGTAACAAGATTAGTGAAATGACTTAAACTCCTGCGCAGAGCCCATTTCCACGTCTTTTGTCTCCGTCTGTGGTTGCTTAGCATCGGATGCACCTGGGGCGAAGCACCAAATGATGTAACTATTTAAAGTGGATGGGTTCCAGCCAAACTGAGTTTGAAAAAACATCCATGTGTTAGCATTGTTTGACTTTATCATTACTACTTAGTGCTGAGGGTGAATAATAGAGAGCTCCTGGCAGGGAACCAGCTCATCCACGTTGTGGACAGACTGAGGAGCAAACATTTTAATGCTATGTTCTGCTCTTGCTGATACATTATGTATCATCTTTAATTTCAGATAGTAGATTAGATTATATTTCCACTAGTTTCTGATTTTCAGTTCCTTTTATGAGGGTAAGCTGTAGACAAGACTTTAGTATTGTGATGGAAAGAAATTAAAACAAAAACAGAAAAAAAATTGTAATGCAAAAAATTCTTAATGAAAAAACATTTAATGCAAACACATTATTGTGTGTGGTCACTATTCTGACAAACTTTTAAATTTACATAGAAAATGTGTCTTTGTTTTTTCTTTATCGACTGCACAACGTATTAGCAATATTTCAAAACATTGAATCATCCAACAATGGTCCGGCAATACAAACACCACATGTGGAAATGATCATCCTATTCATCTACGCAAAATGTCTTCTAACAAATAAATATTCAATAAATAGCTTTAACTTTCCATAACCAGTGATTAATGGAACAATCATAACACATCTTAAAGGCTATTTAAAGCACAATATGTAAGACGCCTTCCAAGACATTTAGAAACTATTGCCCTGAAACCTAAAGATATTTTTAAATATTCTGGGCAAGTTTACCACACAACAGTATGCCAGTATGTTTACATCTGAAACAGGGTCTTTTAGCTGTTTTGCAGTTCATTGCATTGCATTGTAAGTCTCTTTCATACAGATTGCAGGAAACTTAACCAACACTACATTCTATCAAATATTTCTAAAGGTCATTAGCTGATTGGAGCACCTGTTGTGACCAGTTTATAATAGGCACCCCTATTGGCCATGAGGTTGTGATGCGTGCCTTGCTCTATGACAACTCCACGAGACATCACCGCTATGATGTCAGCCGTCTGGATGGTGGACAGTCTGTGAGCAATGACAATGCAGGTTCGTCCTTTTCTGGCCTCATCCAGAGCAGACTGGACAGTCTAGAGAAATAGATTAAAGAAAGGTCCCATGATTCTTTCGGTGTGTCACATTAGTGAAGAGATTGATTTAAAATATGCAAAACCTTATTTAAAACAGAATGCGTGGCTTTTTTGTGGGATGGTGTTTAAAAGATACCACTTGCCTGTTCACTCTCTGTGTCCAGGGCAGAAGTAGCCTCGTCCAGCAGCAGGATCTTGGGCTTCCTGACAATGGCCCTGGCAATAGCAATCCGTTGTTTCTGTCCTCTCGACAGCTGGGAACCTTGGGCACCAACTTGAGTCTCATATTTCTACCAGAAGTGGTGAAGATGTTAAGGAAGGTCACAAGTTTTTTAAATGACAGCTGATTTCTAATGAAGCCATTTTCACAGCCACATTTCAGGTGATAGATTGAAAAGTGAGTCCTAAATGCTATATTGGCGATCATTCAATGCAAAAATTTAGTCAAATTTTCCATGCAGAAGATGTTTTGGAAATTTTGATTTAATCCAATAACAAAAATGTATGTGATCCCATTCATTCTGCTTGTCAGTTTGACAATTTTCAGATCATGTGACACAATCCAGAACCCAGGCCAAATGTTTAAAAAAGCTTTCCGAAGTCTTAAACAGCTGTTTATTAACACCTTATGAATCTTCCTTTTTAAATTGATCATCCTTGTTAAAAGCAAAGAAGAGACTCAAAACCAGGATTCAAGCAGAGGTCCGTGTGAAATGTAATCGTACTTTGAAAACATTGTACTTACATCAGGGAGAGTCATCACAAAGTCATGAAGATAAGCTTTCTTGGCAGCCTCAATTACGTCCTCCATGTGCACATTGCGTGTGTTGTCTCCGTACTGTATATTTTCAGCTATGCTGCAGTCAAATAAAACGGGCTCCTGTGACACGATGCCAATCTGAGATCTCAGGAAAGGCACATTGACGCTATGGGATGGCTGTCCATCAATCAACTGAAAACGAAAGGTGTCTCAATTAAAAGTGCAAGAAGGGAATTGAAAAAATCATTTCTCAGTTAGGACCAAGCGGTACACATCTTTCAACACGCACCACTTGTCCCTCGTCAGGATCATAAAACCTCTCCAGTAACTGAACGCTGGTGCTTTTCCCACAGCCGCTGCTCCCAACAAACGCCAGCGTCTGGCCAGGTTTCACAGACACCACCAGGCCATTCAGTACCTGGACGTCTGGTCGTGTGGGATAGGTAAACTTACAGTTCACAAAGTCGACCTCCCCTTTAAAGTTCTCCTAAAGATCAGGGACAACGTTGGTGAAACACTTTCAGAATTTGACCAAGCTGTACAGTGTTGTTCAAATCCACCTACCCATTTCTTTCCATCCGTGTGGCTCATGTTGATTTTAGGGACTCTGTCCAAGAGTTTGAAAAGTTGAGTGGCAGCAGTTTTTGCTTTTGCATAATCGGGAGTGAAGGATGATGCTCTGCCCAGAGCCGTTCCACTGATTACTACAGCAGAAATCACTCTGAAGAGAGAGCAAATGATCACAGTTTTGATTTTTGATAATTAAGAAAACCACAGCGTGTGACATGAGTTTTACAAACCTAAAAACAAACATGTACTGTAATCCCTCGGCTCTGACCAGGTAGCCTCCATATCTAAAAGAAGCAGCATAAGCCATGAAAATGACACACTGGGCGAAGCCGAAACAGATTCCATAGATGTTGGCTTTCTTCTTTGCCGCTCTATATGGCAGCTCAAGTTTCTGTTCATAAGTCTCCACGAATGTTTGCTCTTTGGCCAAGCCTGCAATGGTTCTGATGTTGGACAGAGCTTCACTTGATACCTTTGGAAGAGAGATCAATCATAGCTGTCAGACATGGCTAACTCTGGTGAATACTGTCAATGTTCTGATACCACAATGAGGGGGAAACTCACCCGTCCAGCTATTTCCATGGCTTTTTTATCCTCATTTGCAAAACCGGTCAGCATTTTGGCTTGGAATGCCCCAGACAGCCCAATTAGAGGTAGGAAGCACATAATAACCAATGTTAACTTCCAGCTGAAGTAGAATGCAATTATAAATGAGGCTCCTATGCTGGTCAAGGAGTTCACGATCATGCCAATCTGGGAACCTGTTGCCTACAGAAATTATTCCAACCATACGAAAAACAAAACTTTAATCACACTGACAAATACAGGTTACAGTGCAATATCTAATTATAAAGGGCTTTAAAGTTATAACTCACCCCCTGGACCATGGATGCATCTGTGGCAAGTCTGGTGGTTAGAGCTCCAGAACTGTTTCGAGGGTCATCAAACCAGCCAATCTCCTGTCTAAGCATGGCCTGGAAACCTAATTTCCTCAGACGACGGGTCAGCAATTCTCCAGACTTAGCAAAGGCATATCCCTGAAACATTAAATCTGAATCAGTCAGTCTGCAAAACAAAACTTAATTCACTCCTCTGTTCTATTATAAGCTCAACCTAGAAACTCACAGATGTTCTTTCATGGCTCACTAAATCATTGTAGTCCATAATGGCTTTTATTTGCTTCAAAATCATGTAAAAGCAAACCTGACATTTCAGAATCTTTTTATTATATCTTAACATTTCAACTGACCTTAAAATCAAATTTAGTCATTATTGTGATTCTGTACAGAGTAAAAATCTTTGAACACATGTATCCATTATATATTGTTCCTGAAGACCTCACCAACAAAACATAAAACACAATCAACATGTTTACGATTGTGTTAAGAACAGAATACTTCGAATATTTGTTGAAATATGATTGGATAATTCTGAGAAAAAGAGAACCTGAACAAACTGGGAGAAGAAACTGATCACAGCCACGATGCAAAACAAAACGCATATGCCGTTGATCTGCTCCCGCTGCTCATTCAAGTCCCGGATAGAAAAAGTCTGTAAAAAAAATACAGAATGAAACCAGTTAAGCCCTAATCCAACCAGTTCTGCTTGGAACAAATAGCATGCAGCGCCTTCATCATGGGGACAAATCCTACCCCAAGAATCTGGCTGAACAGGATGGCATAGATGGGGTTGACGGAGCCATTGATGCCGGCTCCCAGAGAACCCATCAGCATGTACGGCCATTCCGGCTGGTTGTACTTCAGGATGCGTGCTACTGGAGCTGGTTCTTCATGCTCGTCTATATCCTCATCGAAGGCCTGTTGAAAGATACACATCAGAGACGGACTGGCCTGTGAGCCAGGATGTTGTAAAGCTTGAAAAGAAATCATCTGTACATTTTCTTGAGTGATGTCCACATCTGAGAGAATCTTGAGGCTGCCCGATACGGCATCTGGGACAAAATCATTTGAGAGTTTGCTCTGGGATCGCAGCCGAACAGAGCTCCTACAGGGGTAACAATAAGAACATTAACACATTTAGTTAATAATCTGTTCTTCAAATGCGCATGAGTAATCTAATATCTGTACCTTTTACTTGATCTGCGGCTTCCACGCCGAAAACTCCCCACTTTTAGGTCAACGTCTTCATCTGGAGCTTCACTAATCACATCTAAGGAAAATAAATAAATAAGTAAATAAATATACAAATAATTCTACTACCCTTAACCATAAACAGAAATCTAACAGAAATACAGAAAAACAGATTTTTGTTCCAACCAATCAGGAAAATAACAAATTTCTGTTAACTGTTACTGATCAAAATTTGTACCTAACTTAACTCCATAAAATAATTTATACAAAGTTGGAATTGTGCTGTTTTTGTAATTGTATGGCTTAATGTTCTCCAAAAAGTTTGAAACCAACCTTTAATAAATTTGTCACTCATGCCCATGTCCCCCTTAAACCTACCAGTGGCTGTGTTAGATGAGCCCTGGTTCTGCAAGGTAACGAGAGTGAAGTAGACACCCTGTCTTTCTAGAAGCTCGTTGTGTTTCCCTCTCTCAACAGCCTGTCCATGCTCAAATCCCACAATCACATCAGCATTCCTGATGGTGGACAGACGATGGGCTATGGAGATCGTCGTCCTGCCTGCTCGTACCTATGGAATTGTAATCATGTTATTCCACAAAACAAGACAAGATGTTATTTTCACAGTGTGTGCAGACGGGAACCCACATTATCCAGGGCTTTCTGGACTACAGCTTCACTCTCATTATCCAAAGCAGATGTGGCCATATCCAGAAGCAGAATCCTTGGGTTTCGGATGAGAGCTCGAGCAATAGCGATCCTCTGCTTCTGCCCTCCACTCATCTGGCCTCCGCCTTCCCCCACCATCGTGTCAAATTTCTGGAGGATTAAAAGGAATATCTTAAAAAGGAGGAGCCTGCAGTAAATTTGTGATTGTGCTTAAGCCTCGCTTGGTGTGTATGTGTACCTGTGGCAGATCCATAATAAAACTATAAGCATTGGCCTCTTTTGCTGCCTTTATGATGTCGTCCATGGTCACTCCAGGTTGACCGTATCGTATGTTGTCAGCAATGGTTGTGGCAAACAGCACTGGTTCCTGCTCCACGATGCCGATGAGCGAGCGGAGCCACTGGATGTTTAAAGTTCGGATGTCGTGGCCGTCCAAGCACACCTGAGAACGGGATTCCCATCACAAAATGGCACAAAGAAGCTTTCTCTCTTTCACTGTATGAGATGCATGTTGTAAGCGTGGTTACTCAGATTTTTACCATTCCTTCCTTTGGGTCATAAAACCTTTGAATTAGTTGGATTGCGGTGCTCTTTCCAGATCCACTCGGACCCACAAAAGCAGTGGTTTCTCCAGCTTTTAACTGCACACTTAAATGATCTAAAATCTAGAAGAAAAGTTTTATTTTCTATAGTTCAATTTTTGAAATCGTAACAGGTACAAAATAAATGCTGGGCATAAAAAATTACCTTGACTTCAGGGCGTGATGGATAGTAAAAAGTGACATTATGGAACTCAATATCACCTTTGACCTTGTCTAATTTATAGCCACCATCAGAGAGACAATCGATTTCTGGTTCCTGTTAATGTAGCAACAGAGAATATTTTAAAATCTATTGCTCCAAATGTTCCCAAATTGGATGTCCTCATGAATTAATTCTCTTACCCGGTCAATTGTTTCAAAAATAGCCTTTGCAGCAGCGCGACCAGAAGCAAAGGCCTCTAAGCAAGGTGAGGCCTGACCAAGGTTCATAGCAGCCATGAGTACTCCAAAGAAAACCTCAAAGCACAGACAGAAGACGCATGGTGAAGCAACTCTTCATCTTTCAGATACTTATTTTTCAGAAATACTTTTAAGGAACTACCATCTCTGATAGAATGACAAAATAACCCTCCTTTGTTAAGAATATTAAATGATTAGGACACAAAACAAAGTGGGTTGTATCTTTCATTGGGAAAAACATGTTGATATATCATGTCAACAGCAATATCAATTTATTCATAAGGAATACGACGTTTGTAGTTTTGTTTATTTTTGATGTCACATACCTGAATAAGGCTACCGGGGGACAGCTCCTTGGTGTCGATGACCAGTTTAGATCCATACCAAAAGGCCAGAGCGTAACAGAGGAAGATGATGCACCACAAGTATCCTTGAAACACTCCGATGATTGAACCCTTTTTTACACCCCAGTTCTGAGCATCCACAAGGTTTCTGTCATACCTGTTCAATAGAGATAGACAGAGATGAAGACATCTTTATGGGATGAAGCTGCACAGGCCTGTCAGCACTGATTGAAGTTGCCTGTTCCACAGTATGTCATGAACTTCCATACAATCTTACATCTTGTTTTTACTTTCGGAAAATGCACTTTTTTTTAATTGTGCAGTGCCACCTGACGTCTGACACTGATTTTCAGTACTTAAGTCTTTTGATATTTTGTTTTGCTAAATACCTTTCAGCTTCTTTTTCCTCCCCACCAAAGGCTGCTACTGTCCTGATGGCAGACAGGACCTCGTCAGCCACTGCTCCTGCCTTTGCATAGGCCTTCAGCTCTCGGCCTGTCAGTCTGGCCACAGCCTTTTGGAACAAAAAAAAAAAAACACTCATAGATTTTGGTAAGTTTCATATTGTCAAACTATTACAGTTCATTAACTTCTTACCATGGCCATCAATCCAGCAGCTAGACCAATCAGTGGGCTCACAGCTATGACAACCAGAGTCAGCTTCCACCCACCGATGAATCCAACCATGAAGCCAAATATGAAAGTCGAGATCCTCTCAATAAAAATGGAGACCTGATCAGCGATGGCATTATTAATCTTATTTATATCACTGAAAAAGAACATATTATGAGAAGCATGTGGTGAAAATAACTACAAACTTTCAGAATCACTTGATCTGCATGTGAGAAATCTGAGAAGTCTTATCTTACTCAGATATTCTTGTGTTCAGTTCACCAACCGAATTGCAGTCAAACCATCCGATCTCCATTCGCATTACTTTTCTGAAGTAGGTCTTTCGGATTCTGTGAGTTTGTTTTGCAGCTGCTGCCACCCAACAAACAATCTAAATGGTGGTACAATAACAATGTGCTACAGTGTTAGAATCCAACATCAGGCCATGGATTTTTTTGTCTGTAATACTAACCTGAAAGTAACTAACAACCAGAACACCTATTCCAATGCCAATGTAGTAATAAGCAAACATGGTCATCTGTGCTTCAATATCAACTCTGTAAAAAGAGAAAACACTTAATAACAAAATCTCTGGATTTCAACTTCAATCATATGAAGTATAAAGCTAGGACTCACCCACAGGCAACTGTGCTGTTGTCAGTGCTTTCATAAATGGTGCCATTGGTCCAATAGATGGTGCCGTTCTGGCATTCCTTGTTCGGGTCTTTCAGCTCCTGGACTTCCAGCTCATACGCCACAAATGTGTTCGTCATCATGCCATAAACTAGAAGCATGAGAGGTGAAGCCGAACCATGAATGAGAGCACACAGGCTCCCCACCACCATCATGAGTTTGTCTTTCCAGTTGGCGAATCGAAACTTAAAAGAAGAAAAATGCGGATTTAAAAACTGAAAAGACAATAGCAGCAGAGCTTCCATAAAATGGGGAAACCTGAGGAACATGGTTTGGAATAACAAAAAATACCTACCAGTTGAAAGTATCCAACACTTAATGCATTCGCTTTCTCCTTTTCATCTCTGTAAAAATATATAAATTACATTTTATTTAAACAACATACAACCTGCAAACATTTTTCGAGTTGGAACATGTGCTGGAGGGCATCAGTCCTTCCATTTGAAGTTTACCTCCTCTGACTGTTTGCTGAAAAAAGGTAAGAAATAAGGAATTCAGTATTCGGATTTATTTTCTTAAATCTGAAAAACAAATTAAATTAAACCGCTGAAACATCTCATGTATTTGACCAGGTCTATGAGTGTAATTTCACTCACTTCCATAATCTCCACCTGATACTGTTGGAAGTTTAGCAGATTTCTTCATGTTTGCCACCCTGACTCAGGCAGGTGTGTCCTCACCTGGCAACTGGAATAAAAAGAATATCCATTCATGCATTTTAACATCTACAGTTTTCCACAAATGGCAGTCAAAAATGCTATAGCCAAGAAACACTGAGTCAATATTATTTAGCTGGTTAAACCTTTTTCCGATGTAAACATGCTGCACTTTACCTTTAGAACGCCAAACAGATGATAAAATGACCAAATCAGGAGTCACTAATGATGGACGATCCCGTTTAACACAAAATAAAAGACTGAGTGAGGAGAAGCCAAATGCACAGCGCCTGGACGCTCCTCAAAATCCACCAGGATCAGAGGAATTTCTACCCTATTACAAAGGTTGACTTTTGTCTTCACTTGCCCATTATCTACACTTCAATTAGGCTGATAAGGGGATGTGTCAGCAATTATCTCTACCAGACAAACAATCCAAAGCAAAATATTCCCACTAAACTCTGTTCATTTATATAATTCTCTGTAAATAATACGTTTAAGAAAAATTCAGAATAATTATTTATTTTAGATATCATGTTGGCTAACTTTTTAACTTGCTTACTAATTCATGCTTACTATTTCCTTTCATGTATTTATTTCCTATCAAAGGTGGCTGTAAAATGGGTGTAATGACCGCAGGGCCATTGATCGCAGTCATGAGCTGTCAGCACACCGAGTACAATCAAAAAACATGGGAATGTTGTAGTGAATGCTGTCATTAAAACGTATTCTTGAAATATTGTTGACTGAATCAACAAAAATGTTGAAATCGTGATACAAAAATTTCTTAGGGAAACACTTCAAATCAAATGGGATAACTTAAACATTTGCATGGAATCTAAGTAAATGTTACTTTATACATGTAATGTCATGACAGCAGGACGTCCAGGCTTACTTCCAAAAAAGTTTTCAAAATTGTCCCAGTTTGTCAGTCCCTCCTTCCTGTTTGCCAGTATGGGCCCAAAAAAGGACCCATTGTAGGAGGAATTTAATAAAATGATGAAGTTGTATTTTCTTTCCGGAGAAAGCTCAGCTAAAATTTGTTTAACACAAAAACATTGAATCTCTTAACACTTCACTCACAAATATGACTGTTTCATACATTCTACTTATGTTTCTTCCATAAACCCTTTGTACACAGCAAAACACCAGGACTTCTTTGATTTAGATTTTTCTCCTCATTCATGACAAAACAAAAATGTTTTTCTCTGCAAATGGTTTTTAAGGAAAAGTACTATGGGGTCAGTACATCCCAACAGTGTCATTTTATCATTGTAATCTTCTGACTGGGCAAAATTTTGAGCTTCCTTAATTTACAATGAAAAATAACTAGGCAAGAGGCATAATGCCTTATGTTCCTCGCTACAAAAAGAGGGAATATTCACAAACATATAGTGATTAATTAGATGTTCAGGGGGTGAATGCCCTACAGAACAAGTAGTGGGTGAGCTGGTTTTGGAGTTTGATCCTTCTTTACAGCCCATTATTATCCACAACATGGGGGATTGATAATGCATGAGGGGGGTGCAGTTGAAGGCACACAGTAAATGCCCCTATTACATATTGGGACTGTGATGATTATGACATGTTTGAAATACAAGAACACACTGTATTCATACATTTATTTTAGGAAAAACTACAGTGCAGAAGTGCCCATAGAAGTAGGGATCCTCCTGATTTATTTCCGCCCCAATTTCTTGTTCTGAGAAAGTGGTGCCAAAGAGGCCTTGAATGAGCCTGTAATGTGTTCATATCATAATGAGGAAGAAAAATGAAAGATGTGCCTTATATTTCCTATGAAAAAGTACAGGCAGTCTCGTCAGATAATGAATTTGGTGCAGATCAGAGATATTTGTGTCATGGAGTCACATTCAGGACAGAATGGGTAAGAAGCAACCAGAGTATAAAAATTGTTGGCAAAGAATCAATGGCACTACAGAAGAAGTTTCTTGTTTTTTAAACAACAAACTGAAACTAACAGGAGATGGAAAAAACAGATTGACCTGCAAAACAATGAAACCAACAATAGCAAACTGCATTAACAAAAATCATAACCAGTGTGTATTCAAGTGAGTTGGGTAACAAACTGACACAGGGCGGGGGCTGGTAATTAGATAACAGAACACAGGTGCATAAGGAGAGCAGGAGCCAGGAGTAAGGGTTGAATAGTCAAAATGATTACAGTCTGTCATCATTACTTAGCTCTTTTCTTTGACCTTCCTGAAAAATTTCTTGGCTAAAGGAAAGATAGCAAGAGAAGTTAATAAGGATTTGTGGCCGAGGTTAAAGGGGCAGCAATGATAAATGTTCATTCTTTACAAGAACTCTTACAGTCACATTTTTATGCAATTCTTATGACTTATATTTATGATATTTTGTATAAAGTGTAACATCACTTTGTTATCAAAGGTGGTTGCTGCTCATACTCACTCCCCTGGCTTAATGTGTGTCCATATGAACCACAGTCACACAGAAGTGTGACTGCAGGGGATTGTGGGATGTAATTATCACCTTTTGCTCACAAAGGATGTAACTCTGTTTTAATGGAGGCAATTAAGGAAGGGCATAGTTCCTGCTCTTTCCATTTGGAGCTTTCAAATCTCTCTTATAACGGCAGGTCCATAAATACCTTCAAGTATTTTAACTTAGCTGGGAATGTTCTAGATAATTGCACTCAGAGTTGTGTTTATCATAACCATCATACCAAGCCAAATCATAAAACAGATGAGCAAAAAATGAATTATTGCATTAAGAAATAAAGGGATGAACGTTGATACTTTTTGGTCAAATTAACCAGATTAAATCAAAACTAATGTAGTCTAAATATTGCAAATATGCCATCCCATTATTAGCATAAATGTCCTAATTATTATTATTTCTATTTCATAATGTGTGTTTGGTTTTATTCAAGTGATTTCATGACTTATTGGTCAATTACTAATAAGAATTTGAATAATAATTATAATATCGGATCATGTTTAAACATAATAAAAGATAAACATGCTACAGAGCTAACTGAACGAAAATTGCATTTAATTAATAAATCCCCGTCAAAAATAGGTGCACCATCATTAGCTCAGGGTAAAATAATGTGGCATCATGTCTGTGTTTACTCCGCCAGCGCGCATCCTTCAGTGTCCAGCAGAGGGCGCTCCTCACCCGTCGTTTCCGCCACAAACACAGCGAAGCCGACACACCCCCGGAAGTTACGGTGGAAAACGCCGTATGAAGAAGAGACAGGAGAGAAACTTTGTCCAAACATCTTGCCGGTGTTTCCAGTCCAGCGACACGACTCCGGCTCTCGCTCTGACCGCACAAAACACGCGTAAGTTGCTACTTTGCTTCCTCTGTTGTTTCTTACCACGAGCCTTCGAGTGCCATCCAGGGAGTTCGATCATTTAATTAGAAACTGCAAGTTGAAAGCAGCTGGTGTGGAATATGCAATGAAGGTTATTAGGTTTTGGACGATGAGACTCTACATCCAGGGGGTGTGTATGAATCTGCGTCTTTAAATCAGGGCTGTCAGAAACTAGACGAGAGGATGAAAAGCGCGTCCTCCATAAACTCCCAAATGTTCAGCTTTTCAATTAAATTGATACAAACATGTGTTATAAAACACGGCTCAGACACGCATGTCTGCAACCCACCTGTTCATTGTGTTTCATGAAATTTTGCTTAGTAATTTTATCATAATGTTGCCAACAAACAGATGCGTGAATAAATTTTCCATGTGCGTATCTCCTCTATTGTGTATACGTGATTCTCTGTGGCTCAGACACAGGCTTCCGTTTATTTCGACACATCAGACGTTTGTTTTACTGAATGATGTCATTTGCACCGTTGCTGCTCGCTGTCAACCAGCCCGACCAGCCCCTTTTGGAAGTGAATCACTCCCGGAGTCCTGCATCAGCCAAACCGCAGTAGTGTTGCAGCCTCTCAAACCTGACGGGACGCATGCTGCTGGATACCTGCTCCAGCTCCCACGTGTCCACCATCGCGTCCTGCTGAGCCAGTTTGGTGGAGCTCCTCAGCAGCAGCAGCAGTGTTTTTCCACAGCACGACCACTTTTAATGCGCAATCCAGAGAAATAAACACTTACATGAGTTTGTTTGTGACCACTTTAGTTCAAGCTTCAACGCTGTGAGTTTTAGCAGCTTTTCTTCTGTCTGTGTTACTTTTTTTTTTTTTTTTTTGCTTTTTTAGGATGACTCAGCAGGAGATTGGAGGCTTTAATGAATCCGGAAGGCAGAGACTGAGCATTAATAACCTTTTGCATCCTCTGATGAAAGTTCCCGACTGTCACCTTTACGATTTACTCGCTTTCAGATGATGGCACGTGTTGAATTTTATGCCAGCAACATGTTTGAAGAAACTTTGCACAGGGGCCTGTTTACCAGTGATTCAGCTCAAATGTCCTAAACATTTTTCCTAACTGAGCAGGCCGTAACCTGCTGTTCTGAAGCCTGCTCCTGCCTCTTCTCTGGGTTGTTGCTCAGCAGTGTGGGGCCCCCGTCCTGTTTTTCCTCTCAGAACGTGCCAAATGTTCCCAGTGGGGGAAGAATCGGACTGCTGGCTCCAGGCTCTTATGAAAGAGCCTTGTTCAAATCAGTCCTCTCCCGTTCAAAAGAGGAAATTCAATCGCAGCAGTATTCATGGTTTTTAAGAAATGATTTTCCTGCAGATGGATGACCAGATAAGACTTGAATCATCTGACAAAAGTGCAGCAGAAATCTTCAGGGGTCAGCAACAGTTGTTTAGGGTGTGGATTAGTTTTTTTTTATGTAGCCTAGAAACAATTTAGCAAATCGACATACAGCCTTGTGGCAGGCAGCATGCTCTCACAAACTCTGTCTGCCCGTTCAGTTTTACAGCTGAATAAAGAGGTGTCAGGGTTGTTCCTGGGGGGGACAATGACTTTTCCCTCTTTCCCATTTAATCCACGTTTTGTTCCTGCTCATCTTGATTTGCTTTTGTTTGTTTTTTATCCATGGAGCTTGTTTTTTTGTTGGAATAATTTTTTTTATATGTGCACAGTGTGCTGTGGAGTTGTCTTGCTGGAATAAACTTTGATTTTTTTTTTTTAAACTAAAGTCACGTTTTTCTCCGACATCTCAGTCTATCATTGAGTCCATGGTCAAATAGTTTTTTGTGAATGCATTTGGGACTAAATTAACAGAAGATGTCAGGAAAAAATGAGGTGTGGCAATTCTTTGTGCATGTCTAAAGTCAAAAAAGTGAGTTCAGGTTTAATTTCTTGTCGTCCGTTTGTCCTCAGAATCATGTTCCTGTACGTTCTGGGGCTGGTGGCTGTGTGGTTTGTGTACCGCTGGTACAAAGAAACCAAAAGAGTTCCCAACGTGGGGGACAAGTACGTGTACATCACCGGCTGCGACTCGGGGTTCGGCAACAATCTGGCCAAACATCTGGACAAGCTGGGCTTTTGTGTGGTCGCCGGCTGTTACACCGAGAAGGGTGAAGACGAGCTGAGGAAGGCCTCCTCAGACAAGCTCACCACTGTTCCGCTGGACGTCACCGACTCGGAGAGTGTCAGCAAGGCGGCAGCCTCCATTAAGGGACTAGTTGGACAGAACGGTTTGTGCCTTCTTGTTTATGGCCAAAGCGCAAGAGATAAATTGGTGTTAGCAGGTTTTGTGGCATCGGACGTAAGTTCTGAGTATTATCAGTCTCCTTTGCTGATTTCTGTGTGTGTGTGTGTGTGTGTGGCTTCAGGCCTGTGGGCTGTGGTGAACAACGCCGGGGTGGCCACGCCGTCCGGCCCCACTGACTGGCTGACCATCGAAGACTACAAGTCCATGCTGGCAGTCAATCTGAACGGAGTGATCGCCTCCACACTGAGCGTGCTCCCCCTCATCAAGAAAGCCCGGGGCAGGGTGGTCAACGTGGCCAGCGTGTTTGGCCGAATCAGCCCATTCGGCGGGCCTTACTGCGTGTCCAAGTACGGGGTGGAGTCCTTCAACGACAGCCTGCGGTGAGGGCCATTCTCTCTTTTTAATTTACAAAAACAAAAACATTTAATTATGTGCGTGTCTTTGTGTTTTAACTCGTGTCCTCTTTGTGCGTCTCAGTTTGAACATGGCGCCGTTCGGGGTCAAAGTGGCGTGCATTGAGCCGGGGTTCTTCAAAACCAGCGTGACTGACACAGAAATGTTGAAGAATAACTTGAAGAAGCTCTGGGACCGACTACCTCAGGACACAAAGGACGACTACGGGCCCACTTTCCTGGACACATGTGAGCTCTTTGTGCTTCTGTTAGCAGAACGTTACGTTCAAAGAAGTCTGCAGCACTTCTTTAGTTATCATGTAAGATGAACAGGAACACTGAAAGTGTTTCTAGCATTACTTTAGGATGAGTAGCAGGCCTCTCCATGTGCAACGACTCATAGCATCATGAGGAGGGAAAATTTTGTCTCAACATGTCAGCTTTTTTTTCTTTTCTTTTTTTTTTTTAGAAAAAGTATTCCAAACAGAAAAAAAAAAGCCAAGCATGCCTTCACAGGTGTGGCGGAACAGTTTGAGGGCAGCACAGTGAAAGTATGCGCGTGCCTGAAGTGCCGTCTTCAGTGTCTGTCTGTGCACAATGTAAACTTCCAGTCTTCAGCTTTAAAAAGCAGCCGGAATGTCCGCAGGTCAAACCTCTGTGCTGTGAAGGTTTCCCCCTCTGGGGACGTACAGGTTTGACCCCTTCAGGGGGACGTGTCCAGAGGCGCTGGCTGGACCGGAGGGTCAGATCAGGGAGTGGACCCTTTGGACCTGCGGGTGAACGTCACTGCCGGCTTGTTTGTGTTTCAGCTCTCGGGCAGTTGGACCAGAGGTTCCGGCAGCTGACCGACGGGGACCTGATGAAGGTGGTCAGCTGTATGGAGCACGCCGTGGCCGCCGTCCACCCGCGCTGCCGCTACTCCCCCGGATGGGACGCCAAGTTTTTGTGGCTGCCCCTGTCGTACATGCCCACCTGTGTGGCGGACAGACTCTTCCTGAAAAATAGCCCCAAACCCAAAGTGTCTGTGCTGTAGTGTCCGTACTGTCCGGCAGCGCCGAGACATGCTGAGCTAAGATGAAGAAGACTTGCCGTGTTAGTCTGGACAACAAAGGCGTGTTGGCTTTACTGATCGAGCGTCAACTCTGTACACGAAGGACCACTAATCACTTCTGACAATAGCCATTAAATCTCAACGCTCTTGTTGTGATTAAATCAGCCTCACTCTCATCTGTTAACTCTTCTGGACTAAAAGTCTCAGCTTCATTTTTTAGGCCTTTTAATCCACATTTGCTCCGTCCATGATGATTATTAAAGGCGCACAGCGGCGTGCCATTTAACCTTTGCTCGGTAATCAAATTCAAAGATTGGAGGTGCATGAGGTTATCAAAAGCTGGAGTCATGTAATCTTGTTACACAACCCGACACTGGTGAACCATTTACCCCTGCTGTAATATCCGTTATGGACCTTGACTCGGCACACAACGCTCCACAGATTTACCTGGAGCCGGGAGGTGTTGTTTAGATGGGCTCATCAACGCTCTGGGACTCGTTGTGCAGTTGAGGGAAAGGAAGCAGCTACGTCTGCACAGCTGCAAGCATGGTATGTTTACACAACTGTTGTGGTTATTTTTCCAATGTATGTTGCCTCAGTTGATGACCAGTTGGAGCACTTCCTCCAGAAACAGACCGGACAGAACAGGAGAGCTTGAAATGTTCTCATCTTTTCTGTTTTTTTCCGACCAGACTTAGTGCAATGAGATCTGATGCCATCTGCCGGCTGAGTGAAAAACTATTGTTTAAATATGTCTCTCTGCATTCCTGTCTTGCAAATGTTTTAGTTAACACCAGGGCTGAGTTGTTTGTTGTTGTTTTTTTTTTTTTGTATGAGGTGTGGCACAATTTATAAAAAGATGTTTCTCTTTCTAAATGTTGGGGGAGCAGACACGTGCTCAGAAGAAGTTCATCCTGGTGCATTTTTGACTAAATGTAACTGAAGCATTCGTGTCAGAGGAGCTTGTGTTGTGTCGTGTTGGTGTATGAAATACTATCTGGATCTGTAAGTGTTGAATAAAGTGGGGACTTCAAAAAAAAAAAAAAGTCCTGTTGGCCTCAGACATTTGTTGAAAAAGAAATGTGAGCTGGATGAAGCCCGTGTGTGTGTAAGGTTCCCTTAGATTTGTTTTTGTATTAAATTAATCGAGGGATGAAGAGATTAAACCCCGACAACCAGAGCACACCTGCAATTACTGCTTCATTCAACAACTTCTCTGTTCAGTAACTATCCAGACCCTGACCCACTTCTTTTGAATGGCCTCATTTTCTTTTATTATATAATCAACTTTTTATTCTGCTGTTTATATGAGGTTAGGTTTACTTAATTACCTATATTTAGAAATAATAATCCTAACAGACGTTCAAGGAAAAACCTGTCTGTGGTGAGCAGATCGTTGCCGTGCTTAAACTGACCCAACAGGGGGATTGGATAAAGAAGGCTGGGAGTCCTCTAGTGGCAGCTGGAATGAACAGGCCCACTCAGGAAGCTGCTCCTCTGATAGGAGAGTTTAATAGCTTTTCAGTTTTTACTTCAACGGATATTAAAGGTTGCACTTCATATCCTTTGGATATCGCTTAATGATTTGTGCCCAAACAAGACTATCATAAATAACTTTAATAAAGAGCCTCTGTGTGTGGATTTATGACTCCATGCAGCTGATTATTGTCATCAGATACAGAATGAGAAAGGACCGGGTGGAAAGTCCAAACTTGCACCTCATTTATGACCTAATATTGTGTTTTTGTTTGTTTTTGTTTTGTTTTTGCCCTCTTTAGGGGTCAACAGAGGATCCTGCAACACTTTTGAGTGAGGTAAGAGTAGTCTCACTAAAGGAAAACACACACACACACGTGCTCTGTCCCACCAGTATTCTCCAGGTCTCTCCTGGTGTGTGTGTGTGTGTGTGATTTTCAGGTGGTCCCCTCTCATCTGGCCTTGGCCGGCGCCCTGCTGCTGGTCATCCTCACCGCGGTCCGCTGGTCCATCCTGGACTCGCGCCGGCTGGACAGCTTCGGACAGAGGCACGTGCTCATCACGGGCTGCGACAGCGGCTTCGGGAACCTTCTGGCCAGACAGCTGGACGGGAAAGGCTTCCGGGTGATCGCGGCGTGTCTGACGGAGAAGGGCGCGGCGGGGCTGGCGGGGGCGGCCTCCCCCCGGCTGAAGACCCTCCTGCTGGACGTGACGGACAGCGCGAGCGTGCGCAGCGCGGTGGAGCTCGTGCGCAATGAGGTCGGGGAGCGAGGTGAGATGGGAGGGTTGGGGGGGGGGCACTGATAGGGTGCCAGTCCCAGGGAAGCACCGGGGGAGATAAAGGCAGCCCGGACGGTCCTGTGGTCAGCCCATCACCATCCTCCCACTGACGCTTCTGGTACTGCACAGGAGGAGGAGGATGTGTCATGATCCGCGTTTTACCAGCCAAAAACACTGTAGAGCTTCAGAAATGTATCACAAACACAGGAAAAACACAACTATACATCTGGACTATCAGGGTACAGATGCTACAGTTTTTATATGCCTGGCTGAAACCGTTTAAACTTCACACAGTACACAATCTACCATAATATATATATATATATATATATACTGTATATCCCTGCTGACAAGCAAAGAAGTCAAATATTGGGACTTTTTGTAACCATTATCATGCAAAGGAACAAGCTTTTCCCTTTAGAAAAATTCCATTCCTATGTCCTGGGTTATTTATAGTTTTATTATGTAAAAATGTAAGCTTTTTTGTGTGATACAAATGGCTAAATCAGGACGGCATGCCTCCATCCCTGTGTCGCTTCACTTCTACATAAGCTTTGGAGACGTGAAGCGTTTGTGGAGCCCGATGTGGGATTTTTGCCGTGCAACAGTTTAGGTTCTTATTCATTTCCATTTGATACCAGACTCAATGATGTAAGTCCTTTTGTGAAAGAGACATATAGATCCCACTTTGTTAAAAAAAAGTTAAAAAAATAGAATTGATGCAAAACCTACACATACATCTCTTATCCAGTGTGCCACAATTTAAGCCCTGAAGCTTTAGAAACAGCTGTACAAAGCATGTCGATAGGGGTGCATGTTAAAGAGGCATTGACTGCTGAATATGTCAGTATAACAAAACCAAAGGATTAAAAGAGGTCAGGAGGTCAGGAGTTAGTGTCTGTGGACGATAATCCTGCCTGGTTTTATCTCTACAGGTCTGTGGGGGCTGGTGAACAATGCTGGGAGGTCAATACCCATCGGCCCAACAGAATGGATGCAGTTAGAGGACTTCACAAAGGTTTTGGATGTGAATCTGATAGGAGTCATCGACGTGACTCTGCAGTTTTTGCCTCTTTTGAAGAAGGCCCAGGGCAGAGTGGTAAATGTGGCCAGTATTCTGGGGAGATTGGCCCTCACTGGTGGAGGATACTGTCTGTCCAAATGGGGAGTGGAAGCATTTTCTGACAGCCTGAGGTAAAGTGGTGAAAACTAAATAAACACAAACTGTGGAAGTGTTCACAGAAAAACGTTGAATATTTCAATGCTTAATATTACTCAACTTGTTAAATTTGGGTTTAGGAAAACAGTCAAAAACTAGATTGTTGCGAAAACATGACAATTTTTACATAAGCAAGTACACATCAGAGACATAAAAGAGCAGAATTTGGTCAAAAAGATTAATTAACAGATGGATATTAGGTAGTTACAAGAGAGGGTAAAAACGTCTTCCTGAAAATCATGATATGATATATTCTCTGTCATACTTTCGAAGCCTGCCTAACCTTCATTTCACATCTGGAATTGAAACCGCTTATACTTATCATCTGTGACATAAATAATATTCTTTCCAGGCGGGACATGCAGCACTTTGGTATCAAAGTGAGCATCGTTGAGCCTGGATTCTTCAAGACAGCCGTGACCCGTGTGGATCTTATCGACACTGACCTAAAGAGGCTGTGGACACGCCTGCCTCAAGATGTCAGGAGCTCTTATGGAACAACATACTATGATGACTGTAAGTAGATCATACGGTTAATTTCAATCAGCAGAAGGTGTGTTTTTAAATAGCTCCACTGATTCATTTTGTCACCCAGATGTCAAAATGCAGGACTTTTCCATGGGCATTTTGTGCAGTCCAGATATCTCCAAAGTGACCTGGTGCATGGAGCATGCGCTGACTGCTCGTTTTCCACGGACACGCTACGGAGCTGGCTGGGACGCTAAGCTTTTCTGGATACCTCTGTCTTACCTTCCTTCATTCGTGTCAGACTTTGTAGTCAATGTTCTGCTTCCATCACCTAAAGATGAAAGAAGCATCTGACAAGATTTATTTTACAGGACCTGATATATTTGATTCGTTTTTTTTTCTGTGGACAGATTTTCAATGTGAAAAGGAGAGTAAATAAACTACAGCAATGAGGTAAAAAGTTTCAAGACTGTGTTTACAAAATGGCAAATTTATTCATTCATGTCTCAGCAGCGACAGTTTCATTCATATGGGCATGTTCTGTTTATATGATCACAGGTGCAGGTTTATTTTTCCTCACAAAACAATTTCTTAAGAATTTATCCACTTTCTTTTATAAAATCTCTACATCTGCATTGTCAAATCATAGGTTGCTCTTCAAGATTACAAACTGCATATCCAAACAACACACCGATGCTTTCAAGTACCACTCCAAACTTATTTGGCCATCCCAGAAAAAAAAAAACGTGATCATGTTCATTCAAAGTCAAATGAGTGTGATTTAGTACAATAAGCACACACGTATTTATGCTGGAGCACATATCAGTGAATGTTAAAGGTCTGATTGTAATATCCCAATTTCTTTTGTCATACTTGAATTTGTGCGCCCTGAAATGAGGTATATAAACATGCAAGATGAAGTATGTTCATCTTCAGTTTCGTTCAGTGGCAAAAACATCATTACCCAACATTATTGTCAAACAGCCTCTGATCATATAAGTACTTTCTATTCGGAATGACGGTCACATTTTCCATGTGTTAAACTGAGTTTATATTGAACTACTCAGGATCTATTCAGATATTTCTGACAAACTCTTACTGTTGAAATTTACAAATATACAACATATTTATTAACATTTCTATCAGCAGCTTCAGTGCAAAGATATACATATTGTATATCACAATAAAGAAAAACAACATGAACACATGAATTGGCATAAGAAATGTCAGAAGGCATAGTCACAGAAGACCTTTTTTTCTTCACTATAGAGATGTATTTCCCTGTCCTAAAACAATTAGATTTTTGTACACAGGCTGCATAAAAAAATAAATTCTGTGCAAAGTGTGTTTCTTCTTTGATTCCCATCTGTTAGAGTTGGGTTATACGTCACTGTCCTCTTTAACAAGATTGGCTGTATCCTTGAAACTGTCCTCGGTTGGTGAGAAGGTGCTGGGACGATCCCTCTTCTGAGGTTTGGCAGGGGCGACAAACGGAGACGGCTCGGGGACAGAAGACTGCTCGCAGCTTTTGACAGGCTTTTCATCCTTCATCTGCAGAGCGATGGCGGCAATAGGGTAATTTCTGGAATTATTTCATGAAGTTGCTCAAAATTCTTTTTGTGTCCGAACCTACCTCTGAATACGAAGGGTTGTCAAAAGTGGTGCTTGGCTTTAATTTGCGTTTGAATAAGCTCCACTTTGACTCCTGAAAGCAAACACAGTCGCTGAGCGGGGACAAACCTCAAGACTGGTAAAGAATATACAAATAGAGCTAATGAAGTTGGACTTGTTGACTGTGGGGCATTCACCTGGACAGGTTCAGTGCTGACAGAAGATGCTTTAACAGCGCCTGCAGTCTGATCTCCGTGGTACATGGGGTTCACAAAGTTGTTCTCCAACTGCTCACCGGTCACATCAACAGTGACCTCAAGCCAAACGGGAGGACAGCATTTCTTTTAATAAATGTTACTAAATAAACTAAAGTTAGTCATGAGGAGGCCAAGAGTAATGATAGATAGTTTGAAGTCTCCTGCTCACAGTTTATCAAAGATGTGATATTCAGGTGAAACACTGTGTACTTGGCTTTTTAAAAACTGATACCTGTTATTATATTTGGACTATTCTTCTGTATCCCTAAATGCAACATGGAACAGATAAAATGGTGTAGCATGGAAAATGACATTATTTTTCATAGTAATGGTGAGTACCTGTGTAGCATGGATGACTGCTGGGTCACTGGATGCAGGAGCAGTAGCATACAGCGGGTTCTCAAATGTGACTGGCTGTCTCCCAGCATCAGTGGCAAAATGATCATCCTGTGGGAGTAAAACATTGATGGGTCTGTGTTGAAATACATCAGTGGATTGACATGGAAGTCATACCTGTTTTTTAACCTCTAGTGTTATAAAATGCTGCTCATGCAGGCAGTTGTGAAGGTGGTATCAAAGGTTAAAAGGAGTAAATAAATACCATAAATGGCAGCTGTTTTGTCAAAAGGTCACCAAAACTGCAGATGGAGCAGAATCAATAACTTGGAGTGTCATTAAAAGCTAACATGGTTATCTTCAAAACTCACCATTTGCATGGCCGTGTCAATGAATGACACTCCAATGTGTGAGGGTCCCAGGTCCACATTATCTCCGGACCGGAACGTTACCCCGTTTCCAGTGTCAGCTGACTTCACCAGGCTGCTGAGGCTGGACAGAAAAGCAGACAGCCTGTAGATACTGTTCACCTGCTAAGCTCAGACAGGATCCATCTGAACAATCTGCTCTGAGCTCTGGGACAACTTTGTAGTGAGATAACAAAATGCATATATTCATGTGTCACTGATACCTGGGTAATTTGGGCATGGAGGGGATGAAAGAACCTGTTCGTTTGTAGTTAAGAAAAACCCCAACTGCCAAAGCTCCAGTAATCAGGATGATGATGACAGCCAGTAAAACAGCCACAGCTGGGGAATAAAGGGGGATATTCATGTGTGTGCAGCAAGTTGCAGTTCATTAACAGCCTTAATTACAGTTTGCTGATGAATGCACTTTTGGTCATGATTTGTGAAGGATTTTCTAGAACTGCATAAGTTACATTTTTTAACTTGCACTATGTACTAGTTGGTTGATTATTAAGGAAAAGTTGTTATCATGATCACCAGCTGCTGAGCTAGACAGTCTTCCAAACAAAAAAGGAGAACAACATCACGTTTGTTTACCAAAACAAGCAGTTCATGACTAAGCTGAGCAGCTTCCACATACCAAACACATAAGAGCATTTACACTGGTTTTCAAGGACAACTAAGCAAATCCAACTCGTTGGAAAAACACATGTGAAACATTATAACACAACAGTAAATTGAAGGTTAAAACAAAAGATGATTACCTGTTCCGGCTGGAGCACCCCTTGACTTTCCCATCTCACAGTAACTGCCCACATAGCCATACGGACATCTACACGGCATGACGGTAACACACAAAATAAAACACTAAGATAGCTTACTGAACATGTTGGAAAATTGGAACACCAACATTTTCTGGGATAAATGACAACAACAGGCTTTTATGGTTAAAAATGGAACCTGCAGCTAAACTCACTTGCACTTGGGCAGACCCCCTTCATCAGTGTAGCAGGTTCCACCATTCATGCATCTACATGCAAGGGGCATTGCAACAGGAGCCTCAATGGCTGCGGGGGCAAAAGCCAGGCACACACGATCAGCAACGACCAAATGAAATCACACTTGAGTCTTACAAAAGCACATCAGGGCAGCCAGGCACAGGTGGAGGATGAATTTACGGATGCAAAATTAGATTGGCAGAAGGGCACAGTGTGAAAAAGCTACTTACCTGCATCACATTCGTGGGAGTCAGCACTCATCAAAGAGGAGCCTTGTGGGCAGGCGCAGGTGTAGCCACCAGGCCGGAGGAGACAGAGGTGACTGCACACACTTTTGCAAGGGTTGGGCACTAACAGGCAGAAAAACGATAACAACAGTTTTTATTTTTTTATTTTTTTATAGAATGATATTATGAAACGTATTTAAAGCATTATCAAATTAACAAATCTCTAAAAATACTCCACCTAACGAGCAGAAAGTGGAGGTTCTTAAAATCACACCAGGAACTGTATAACAGCGATTACTCTGATCATATAGCTGTATAGAAAATGGACGGATGGATGATTCTCTCTGTCTCCTGACCTGACTGGTTGTGCCGGTGCTCCTGATAAATACGGACTTGTGTAAGCCAGGGGTTGATGGTTAAAACTTTGACTTTACTTCCTGTCCCAAACTTGTTGGTCTTCCACACTTCACCTTTCTCTTTTGTTGTCCAGTACACGTGACCCTCAAAGACATCAAGACTATGGGGATGTCCAATATCTAGAACAGAAAAATAAGCATTCATGCACATTAAACTAAGACATCATATCTGTTTGTATGCCTACAGACAACCCTTAATTTCAGCATTCTCACCTCCTGATATGACAATCTTTCTGTCTGTGCCGTCAGGCTTCATGGACTCAATTATGTTCTCTTTGGAGTCACACCAGTAGATTCTGTTTCCATTGACATAGTCCAGTGCTAGCCCAGTGGGCCATCCAAGGTCCTCTTCTCTCACCAGAACCTGTCTGTGCCGACCGTCCATCCATGCTGACTCTATCCGAGGATTCTTCCCCCAGTCTGTCCAGTACATCATCCTGCGAAGGCAGTAACAGATACGAGTCAGTTTGAGATACAAATCTTTTTCCAATTTGAAACAACAGCTGTTAAACTTCCTACCCCAGTGATGGATTCACAACGATAGCAGCAGGCTGATCAAGATCTGAGTGGATCAACCACTTCCTATATCTTCCATCCAATTTGGCTACTTCAATTCGATTGGTTCCTGAATCTGTCCAGTAAATATGCCTGTACAGAGTGAATAAAAATGCTGAGGGAATGTTAACAAGATTTCCCGCAACTGCTGTATAAAAAAGAAGGTTCACTTACCTGCCAACCCAGTCTACAGCAATGCCATCAGGATTGGCGATGTAACGCAGGTTCAGATCCACTTCTTTTACTGGGTTGTTGCCATAATCATTGAAAGTGGTCATGTATGCACGCTTGATTGAGCCAAACTGAGATCCCCGACCAGCAACTGTCCAGTAAACTACACCTAAATCACAACAGAGAACAGTTCCAATCTTGATGCTATCTGGATTTTTTTATTCAGTCTATTTGACAAAAGCTTTGAAAGCTCCAGATAAGCAGACTTACTGAGGCCTTCACCCTCTGGATCCCACAGGTAATCCAAGGCTTGGATGTGCTCAGCGTTGTCCACATAGTCAGAATACTGCTCAGAGGACAGGTTGAAACGACGGATGCGAACGTTGTCTGGCAGAAGCAGCACTGGTGGGTTTCCTAATCACAAATTTACGTGTGGTAAGCCTCATTTAAACTTTATCTTTTGAGCTTTGAGGTAACATGAAACCAAAGGAAACGTATATTCTTTTCTTTGTCAAACTCCCACCTTGAGCAGCACACTCAGTCCCATGTGGCTCACCGAAAGACAGAAAGCCTTCAGCACAAAAACACTCATAGCTCCCCTTTGTGTTCTTACAATCTTGAGGACAGATTCCATGCACCTCACACTCATCCACATCTGTAAAAAACAGAAACAAGACACAATATAAAACAAATATAAAACTCTGCAAAACACATTTTTCACAATATTTGGTGAGTTGCAGCTCACCTTCACAGGTGTGTCTCTCTGTGCCTCTGGGCTTGTAGCCAGGTCTGCAGGAGCAGAGAAAGCCCCCGTCTATTAGGTCCGTACAGTTGTGTTCACACTGGTTGCTACTGCATGTGTGCCCACTGCCATGATCTGATACAGGGATAGAGAAACAATCAACAAAAGCAAAGACATAAACACAAATTTACACTAACCAATCAACTTGAACACTTCCATAGGAGTACAAATGCAGTATAGTCTTACAACAAGAGTAAGAAAATCCACAGTAATGTTACTTTAATGAATGAATTTACCCAACCTCAGTAGTTATATTGAAAGCACTGTCCCTAAAGGGAAACTGAGGTAAACTCAGCTTCAGTGACTGACTTGGGATCAGAAAACACCAGGTACCTTATCTACAATTATACTAAACATAACCAGAGCTCTAAAGACAAAACATAAACAAACAGCAGAAAAATTATTTGTTTTGGAGCTGTGTTGATTAGAAAGTCCACATCATGCCTGGAAAATAACAAAGAGGATTTGGAGATGGAAAAATATGCAGCAATATTGGTGGCCAAATAAGAATAAAATGTGTAGAAATGGTGACTCAGTTAGGAGTGAAATGGTCTTCAAAATCTTTAAATGAAGCCAGAGTCAGTGTAATTCAGAAAATACACAACAAATAGTGCATCAGACTTGCATAAATGTAATCAATAAATGTTTCCGGGGCTGCTCAGACAGTGCACGAGAGGACACTACTTCACATAAACCTCTAGATGGCATCCATGACACAATTACCTTACTGCTAGATGCGCAAAACTGAAGGAATACAGTCAGATTTGTCAGTAGACAAATCTTTTGTCAGATAAGACAAAGATCTTTTTATTTTTTTATTCAGAGTCTATCATTTTTGGGTGTAATATTGTATACATTAACATATTCAGGACAATGTTTGATTATGCAGGGTATCTTAGATGATGGCACCAGCAACTCCTATAAATGTATCAAAACACCTCCTTGGCAAATTGGCCACTAACATAAGCACACAGCTAAATCATCCTAGCATATGTTTGGAAAAAAGGGAAACTATAACAAGGCCAAGTAAAGAGAAAAGTAAAGCAAAACAACTGCTCTTTGTCATTTAAAACATGAAATATTTTAATCTCATTACTGAAAGCTGGTCTACAAGTGGGCTGTAAGGATGGCCTGCACAAAGTAACCCTAAACCTTTTCTTAAAACTAATATTTTTTGCTTGCTATGATCCATTTATTCAACCAATAACAAAAATGATTGTGTGTATTTTATCGTTTCGCTTTGCTCCCTATGAATGTTACTCACGACAGCCGAGCTCGTCTGACTCGTCTCCACAGTCATCGTAATTATCACAGGCATACTGAAGTGGGATGCAGTGTCCATTACTGCACTTATACTCCTCATCTGTGCAGGGCCCATGTGTTGGGCTTTGACCTGTATGGAAACAGTATCTTACCTCATGAAAAGCTGGCCATTAATCTATTTCTGTTCAAATATTAAGTTACGGTTAAGAAAAAAATCATCAAATGCTCCAACAATAGTAGATAAAGCAATCTAAAAATCTGAACTCACAGTTTTCCTGTTTCTCATCTGAGCCATCACCGCAGTCATCAACAGAGTTGCACAGTTCATGGCTGTAGATGCAACGATTGTTGTCACAGCGGAAACGGAAGGGAGTCTCACATTCTATGTCCACTTTGGAGAAACACAGCCATTAAGTTTGATATGAACTTAGATAAATCAAAAATTTCAGCTGCATGACCTACTGCAGAAGCAACATCAACATAGATTGCAGGCAATCAATAACATTTTTTGTCTTGAATGGCCGTGCGTCTTCATGTTTCCTCTTACAGCAGAGATGCAGTTCCTCATCTGAGTTGTCTCCACAGTCATTATCTCCATCACATTTCCAGTGAGGCTGGACACAAACGTGGTTCTTGCATTCAAACAGGAAGGGGGGGCAGTATGTGCCGTTGGGGAAGCGGGTTGCTGTAAGTTACAAAATGATGTCAAACTAGCTTTGTAGGTGATACAATTCTACATTACCAATTTCACCTTCATGAATCTTCATGGAACAAAGCTACAAGCCAGTTTATTAGAAAAAACCTACATAGTGTTGAGTTAAGCTACCAAAATGTTAATGATGGGCAGATACTCACGACATGATGTTTCATCCGTGTAGTCCAAACAGTCTGCATTTCCATCACATTTGAACCGTTCAGCAATGCAGTGTCCACTGCCACACTGGAAGTAGCCAGGATGACAAGTCCGCAGCTCTGCAACAAGCACACAGTGTTACACAAAAGGACCATACAAGGTATCATTCAACGCACACATAGACAGACTATGGGGTCAATCAAGATTCATAAATCTTAAACTTAATTAGGTAACTGAAATTGCGCACTTACTGCAATATCACCATATAAATCATTGAAATCATTTACATCAAATTTTATTATCGCTATTGTGTCAAAAACTACTTTGAAGTTCCAGAACGTAAGGTTCTACAGAAGTGATCTGTAGTGGTTTTCAGAGAAAACTATGATTTGCAGCAGACTAAATAAACTCCTCCTCAATAACTGAATGTTGGTGGTCCTATTTGTCTATGCTTCAAACTTGAGGTTTCATTGCTTCTTTGTAAATTGCAGCCCTCCGTTACTCACAAACAGCCAGATCCCGAGCCAAAACAAAGAACCTCCACTTACCACAGTCCCTTTCATCCGAGTTGTCCTCACAGTCGTTGTCATGGTCACAGACCCAACGGTTGGGAATGCAGCGCAGATTGTCACAACGAAACTCACTCTCTGTACATGAGCGTGGCGCTGGGAGGAAAGATGGAAACAAAATCATGCAAACGCAGAACTCTTATAAGATTGATTGAACGTTGATTAAAAGTATCTGAGAGCATCTTTTGTCATTTCTATCAGCCTGTAGCCTGATTGGTAATGACAGTTTGATCAAGCCTGCTCAAATGGCAATAAATGGCAAAATTATTTTCTTCATTTATTAACCTGCATTGAGCTCATGAGTTTACTGAAGATAAACAACCTTAGCATTCAGCAGAGCAGAAAAGTGGGAAACAGCACCGCAGATTTTTTACATCACTGCTTCTCCTCTGATAGGCTATACTACCCCTATTAGCTGGCAAGTTCTCAGACGTGTTTCTAAGAGATGTTTAAACGCTCCAGGGCAAAGGGTGACAGACTCCTTCCCTCCCCTCTTCTGACACAGTGAGGACAGCCTGTTTCTCTAACAGCTGATAAGACTACCTCTCTCACCACCCCAGTCAGTTGAAGTGTCAAGCCTCTTGCAAACTCCCCAACTGTTTGATGAAACAACTGCAACACTGACCTCTGCCATCAATATTCCTTACTCCTTTGAACAATCAACAGGGATGGAGCTACACTATTTTCAAACAATAGCCCTAATTAAAAAGACATTTAAGATACCAAACTATTTACTGTAGAAACAGAGTTTAGCACTGATAGTGAAAATGACTCACTGCAGCTGCGTTCATCTGAGTTGTCTCCACAGTCATCTTCCCCATCACATTTCCATCTCAGAGGGATGCAGCGGTGGTTGTCACAGCGAAAGTCTCCGCTGGGATCACAAGTCATCTCATCTAAAAGAAAAGTGGGTGCGTGATATATGAACCATTTGGCAAAAGCAACAAAACTGAGCTGATCCATTCCATACAAATGACAAACACTGATAAAATTGTGGCCAAACTCTCCATCCTTTACAAGTCTCTTCAAAACATGTAAATATGCACACTTGCACCACACAGTTCATAGGCAACATTTAATTATTATTAATAGCTCAATTATTATTGAGCTATTATTACACAGAAAAAACAGGAATAAGATACAAACTCCATAGCAAGGTCACAACAGAGGCTTGGTACAGAAATATGTTTTCTATCAAATGACAGTAATAAAATTACATTATTTTACTGCCCATTTCAAATTCAAGGGTAGTAAAGAAACTACGAGAAACACATTATCATCACAGAGTGCACTAACACTAACCTATATAACTTTAACCTATATATTGCAATCGCTTGAATGCTAACTTCTCTTTCATTAGCAATGAATGAAAATCTTCTCAAAACATCTTGAGTTAAGTTTAGAGAAAATTAGTTATTCCAATGGATTTTTCTATCATTAATCACATAAAGATTATGATATACAATAAAAGTTCTCAAACTATAACTATCAATTGAAAATGTCAGTTTGACATGAAAAAATTCTCGGTTTCTTTTTTTTTTTCAAATTAATTAAAATTTTCAAATTAAACAGGGAGGAGAGCAGACTGCCAGAAACAGATATGTGAGCTTTATTAATGCCAGTTCACTTTATGCCTGAAAAGGATAAGATTGCAGGAGATGAGAACCACAGGAGGGAGAGGAGTGGAGCAGAGCTGCTCTGAGCCATCTCTACCACACAGTGCTAGAGGTCAAAGATAGCGCAGCCAGTCCTGTCCTCCAAGCCGTCCACCTGGCCCATCTGCTACATTCTTACAGTAAGATTAGCACTGATCTCCCCTCCTGCGCAGGCATGGCACTAATGGAGTGAGGGCCTCTGATAAGAGATGGGAGGGCCACAGCCGAGAGTGTTTGGATCGCAATGACTACAAAAAGACTTATGTGAACCCTGCCCCCACGCAAGGACAGAGAATTAATACACATACACAGATATATATTTAGAGGTAGATGCTGGGGGAGGGTGAGTTGTGAGACGCTCTCCATCAGCACCTCCCAATACCACAATACCACTGTGCGAAATGTTCCACAGGAGGTTGAGCTGTTAGCTAATTAGCCTTCATTCACTCCCAAGGCAAATGCCTACTTACTCTTAAGTTTTATCTTTAGATCAATGACAATGTAAAATAATTAGGCCAGATATCATTACGTCTCATTAATCCTCCTAAAAGGAAATTCCTTCCTGATGTCAAAAAGAAACAGGTCTTCAGGTCTGTTGTAAGGGTGGTTGTCACGGACTCACCACAGCTCTGCTCATCACTGTTGTCCCTGCAGTCGTTGTGGCCATTGCAAACAGACCACAGAGGCACACAGCGGTAGTTGGTCTTACAGTCAAACTCTGTATGGTTGTCGCATCGATATGATGGTCCCACTTAAGAAAAAACAAATCATTTCCAAAGTTAATTAACATAGGCATGTGCAAGTTAAAGCTGCATTTTATTTACTTCAAAGGGTGTTCCCTTCTGCAGCCAGAATATAGCATTGTTAAAACAGTTAAAATGACTCACTGCACTCCTCTAATGGTTCATCTGAATTGTCACCACAGTCATCATCAACATCACACTTCCAGCTCTGTGGGATGCAGCGTCCATTACGGCACTTGAATTGTCCAGGGCGACATGTCCTAGTGGAGCAGTGGGAAGGGTCTTCATCTGACTGATCCCCACAGTCATCCTCCCCGTCACACTGCCAGGACTCGAGGATACACCGCTTATTTGTGCACTGCCACTGATGGCTTTCACACTGATGTGTAGCTGAGAACAGTAGAAGTTAAATACATTTAAAAGTGAGCAAATTATGGGGGGGGAAATCTGTCTGTATAAGAGAGATTAAATGTAGTCAATATGAAAAACAGGCGTCAGCTGCTAAAACTTGTTCAGTGACAATAGAGGTTTATGGAACCAGAGATACAGGGAACATAATACAAGCTCCTAATGATGTTTTAAATAGGTAAGCATCCACTCATTTTGTTGGTTCAATACCTTAAGAAAAGGATAATAAATGAAAAAAAAGTCTCTGTACTGTGATAACAGTAAAATATTTCAACTTGTGTAAAAAAAGTGCCTTTAATAGTAAAGAGAAACTAACAATACTAGCCTTAGAGAAAAAAATAATAATGGAAGGCTTGGGGAGTACGTCACAACTAGTTAATCACCACTGACCACAAAGCACAGCATCTTCATCCGAGCCATCAGGACAGTCCTGGTTGCTGTTACACAGGAATTGTGGACTGGTACAGTTTCCATCATTGCACTGAAACTGACCAAGACTACAATGGCGAATTGGGCAGGTGGAGGGTTCATCTGAGCCGTCTCTGCAGTCCCGCTGACCATCACATTTCCACCAGATAGGAATACAACTATTGACATTAGAGACAGAATAAATCTGGTGTTGAATAATGGAGACCATAGGAAATGTTTAACACAGGCTGATCAAGATAAACTATCAAACTAAAAATTAGGTAGATTTTTCAAAACAATGATAATTGTAAAACATAAAAATGTTCTGCTAAGAAAATGTGTGGCCTCTGTTACACACATCAAATAAAAATGATCGCAACACACTGAATACATTCAAGATGTCTTGACAAACCGTTCATTGTTAGCACATCTGTACTGAGTGCTGGTGCACATGGGCAGACACCGCGTTGCACCTCCGATCTGGACAGTCATGAAATGATCAGGGCACTCGCAGACGTGTTCTCGTCCACCATGACGGATCAAGCACAGGTGAGAGCAGCCTCCGTTGTTTACAGCACAGGGGTTATTTACTATCAGAGGAAGAGCAATGGTTGGACAAAATCAGTTAACAGCAACCTCAGCAAACAGTAGCTTGCCACTAGTGAAATTCAAAGATTTTGAACTCACCAATAGGCTGTCTGTAGGGATGACATACATGAATGTCAAACGGTCTGTGTGTGGTGTTAACTAGGGCTTCACGGCCGGAGCCATCATATTTGTTGCCTTTCTCTACTGTGCGAGTGTTCCAGTCAGTCCAATATACAAAGTCCTCAAACACAGTCAGTGCAAACGGGTGCGGTAGATTTCCATCATATACTGTGTGTCTGTGCTGACCGTCCAAGTCAGAGTATCTGAGAAAAGAGTTCAAATTTCAAAGGATTACTTGTGTGCTTTTGCTGCAAGTGCAAAGAATGTGACCACTTTCTGTTGTACTTACTCAATGTAATTGAGATGTGCGTCAGACCAGTAGAGTTTGTCATTGGTATAGTCAACTGTGATACCGTTGGGCCACTCAATTTTTGTGGTGATAATGGCTTCTTTGTTGGTCCCATCCATTCCAACACGACCAATAAATGCTTTGTCTCCCCAGTCTGTCCAGAATACATATCTAACAGGGAGTAAAGAAAGCTATTAGGCCAATGTCACAGCTATATCAGAAGTAAAGAGAAGAAAGAATTATTTCTCCAAAAACACATATTGGAAATGCATTAAATAAATTTAGCTATTTTCAACTTTGTTGATGTGTGGTTGTTGCATCACTTAAACATAAAATTAGCTAAACATATTAATACAAATTCATTTAATTATTTAACATATATGTGTTCAAGACAATAACTAACTGTCTCTTGTCTCTAATTAACTCTTTACAGTTTTGTAACATTTTTGTACTCTATTGCCACACTTTTTTAAACCAATGGGGAAACTTTCTATACCTCATGCAAACTTCCAAGAAATAATTAATTTACTCCCAGTTATATATCAAATACTAGGAACAAAAGTTCAGCTTCAACTGCTACAACTAATGCAATCAAGTAAATCTTGAAAGAACTGCGAGTTAGCTGCTATTGAACAACAATACTTTTTTTTACCACAAATTCAATCCAACAAAAACTGAAGCTGACTGAATTTAAAAAGTGGTGGCCAATTTAAACTAATAAGCTACAGATAAACAAAGTGAAAATAGATCTTTTTGCCTATGTTAATTAATTATGACAATCACATTCGTCTGTCTAAGAAACTTTCCATATTATATTGACATATTCAAAACTTATACGGACATTAAAATAAAACTCTTATTTCTGATTTAAGACAAATTAAGGAAAGGCATTTAGTAAAATAATTCCTTCTACTATATGACTTAATTCCTCACCCATATTTGGGATGCACAACAATGCCTCTGGGGTTTTCAAAGCAATAGGTGTTATTGTCATCAACACAGAGTTCTGCCAGTTTCCTCACAAAGCGACCATCCAGTTCAGACACTTTTAGACAATCCAAGAAGCTGTCCACCCAGTAGAGCTTTCTGGCAATCCAATCAACTGCAAGGCCCTCCCCATGCAGAACTCCACTGACCACCACCTCTCTGTTACTGGCATTAAAGGACATCCTTTCAATCACTCTGCGGCTCACATCAATCCAATAGAGGCGCTTGTCGACGCGATCAAAGTCCAAAGCAACGACACTTGTCAGGCCCTGCAAAATGAGAGAATAGGCCTGCCCATCTGCTGACAGATTCCTTAGATAGTAGCGGTTGCTGAAAATGAGGTAGGGCAAGATGTTGCTGTTCTGACGACAGCTTCGTCCATCTGGCTCTCGAAGGAATCCTGGAGCACATTTGCACATGTAGGAGCCGACTGTGTTCTCACAGATCTGACTGCACACACTGGGTGTCTCATCACACTCGTTGACATCATCACATGTTTTACTGTCAGACATGAGGCGGTAGCCGGGTCGACAAGTGCAGACAAAGCTTGTAGGTGTATCAGTGCAGTTGTGATCGCAGTGGTGAATGGATGGGTCTGTGCATTCGTTGATCCCTGTAGTCATAGAGGAGGCAGAGTGTGCAAAGTCATGAAAAGGCAAAATTCTAGAAATACCTACTTATACCTCATGTTTCAATCAAGAATGACTTATTATACCTATAAGTTATCTCTTATTATTCTTGGAAGAAGATTTGAGGCTTTCCTACTTCCCCCGTGCTAGTAAAAAGTTCTATATCTTTCTACTTACCACATCCTTTCTCATCACTATTGTCTGAACAGTCATCGTTTCTGTCACACACTTGGCTCAGGGGGATACAGTGTCCATTTTCACATTTAAACTCTCCTGGGGCGCATGTAGGCGCTGGTGTGTGACACATGTGCTCATCAGACTCATCCCCACAGTCATTGTCACCATCACAGACAAAGTTAGGGGACACGCAGCGGCCATTCTGACACGTGAACTGGTGTGATTGGCATGGCTGGTATGTGCAGCCTTGCTCATCACTGCTGTCTCCACAGTCATTACGACGATCACACCTTAATTTAAAAGACCACAGGACATTAACCAAAAATACAAGACAGACGTAGTACAAATTCCATTATTGATATTTCCCATCTAACCTGTAGGAGCTTCGAATGCAGAGACCATTACTGCAGGTGAACTCATTGACGCCACATGATCTGTGTGTGCAGTTTTGATGCTCATCTAAAGCATCTGAACAGTCTGCGTCCCCATCACACACCCAGTCTTGGGGAATACATTTCCGCTGAGGTGGTTGGTTGTTCACACAAGTGAATTCTGTGCTTGAACATGTGCGATTGGCTGGGAAAACAGCAAGACCAGACAGGAGGATTTACAAGACAATAAAAACTTATGGTGACATATTTAGAAAAATCCAAACATTCCAAACTGTATTTCCATGCAGCTATGACTGGGAAATTTTCCATGTATGGTGCATGCCATTGTTTGAAGTGGGTCTCCTACAGAGGCTCAGGAAGTCTTTAGCTTCAGGCATCTTATTTTTGGAGCACACACTGGTGCGATATAAGAATCTTGATCCACTCTGAGCCAGGTAGCCAGAGAAAGGAGACATGCACAAAGTAACGAGTGAGGCAGGAGAAATCAGGAATGCGAGCTCCTTGGACTGCAGACCTTCTACAGACTAAGACTTAGATTCTAGCTCACAGTGTGCCCCCAGCAACACTCCATCTGTTTTGAGTACCAAAGAGTCAGCATCTTGATAACAACAGTATGTCAAGGGGAAGTAAAAAAAAAAAAATCTAAGTTGTTTGTAACAGTTCAGACACTGTTTTGGATTGAGAATGATGAAGTAAAAAGGTCTACAAAAATTTTTTTCAAAAAACAGATATGAAGAAGAAATGAGATATGAAAGAAAGGTTGAAGAAAAGGTGGGTACCACAACTGTGCCTCTGGTCTTCGTCACTCATGTCACCACAGTCATTGTCCCCGTCACAGATCCAAGACAAGGCAATGCACCTGCCATCATCGCATCGAAATTGGTCTGGATTGCAAGTCCTGACTAGTGTGGCTGCAGAGAAAGATCGCACCAGGTTGTTTAGAACACAAAAAGGTTTGCAGTGGTGGGACTGTAAAATGTGCCACTTGAGCTCATTTATTTCCACTGTAAAGTTTGATGCTATTTTGTATTTATCTAGTATTTTGAAAGCCAATTATACCAGGCACCCCCCCAAAGCTTTTCAACAAACGAGGAAAGCACAATACAAGACTGGCAAAGCTTTAAAAATAGTCATGGCAACTCCACATTCCCATGCCTGGTGAGCTATTTAAACAAAAGGCAAAGTGAGGCTCTGTAACCCCCCCGTGGACAAAGAGAGGGGGAGGGGCTGTTTGTCGGGGGACACTGAAGGGCGTCACCACAGAGGAATGCGCCACACAATAGGAGGCCTGACTGACCACATCCTCAACAAAGAACTACACCGCAGACTCACACTCTTCGCTACATCACTCACAGAAGTCTCACATAACACAGAGATGCACAGTGACGGAGTGACACCTCCAAACAATAACCGAGCAGCTGATAATGGGATGGGGGAAGCAACACAAAGCTAACAGGCCCATTCTGGGTGTGAGATAGTTGTGCAAAACTCACTGCAGGAGAGTGGTTCATCCGATCCATCAGAGCAGTCAGAGCCTCCATCACAGTACCAGTGGCCAGGGATGCAGCGGCCACTGGAGCAACGGAACTCACTCTGGGCACAAGTGGATTCAGCTATACGGAACATGAAAACAGGGAGGGAAACAGTTGGAAGATTATGCAGACTGAAAAAAAATGTTTTATTATTATTTAAAATGTAAACAAGCAGAAACCAAATGTTTGATTTGATCTGCTCAAAGTCAATTCTTCCTACAAAGTTAAGAAGCATCTAAATATGCTCCTTGCCTTTGTTACTGTTCTGCGCTTTTTTCCAAAAGCAAATGTAAAAGTTCACTGGTTAAGATACTTATACATTATGATGGTAATAAATTGTGATATGTAGGAAATTCAAATGATCCTTAAAACCATTGATTGAATTGTTACATCTTTGTCAAAAAGACATCAGGGGCAGTTATGTTGTACCGGTATTAACAGCATTACTGACACTAAAAACACATTCATAAATAGCACATCAAAAGCTAAAAATGGATCATTGTAACATCGTACCTGCCAGCAATGATTTATGTGGCCATTTCCTGCTCATTGCAGGATCATCATCATCATTATTAAAATTCTCATATTGTAGTAATTAGTGTACGGTACTTTTTACACTGATTAACTCACCACAGTGTGTAGGGCTCTCATCACTCATATCCCCACAGTCATTGTCTCCATCGCACAGGTATGAACGTGGAATACAAATGTTGGTAGACTGACACTTTGTTTGCTCTGGTTGGCAGGTTCTCTCCGCTGAAATAATCTTATATTAGAACATATCTAAAACACAATATATTATAATATATTATAACCATTCTGGCCAACAGAGGACACTCACGGCAGTTTTGCTCATCGGAGGTCCCATTGTCGTAGCAGTTGTTGATGCCATTGCAAACATATTCCTTTGCAATACATCGCCTATTGTTACAGGTGAACTCTGTGTTTGGGTCACAGAGTCTAAACTGGCAGCCCACTTCATCACTGTTATCTCCACAGTCATCATAATGGTCGCACCGGTAGTGGTAGGGAACACATCGACCATTTCCGCAAGTAAACACTGTGGGCTCACAGGTGTGGAAGGCTGCCAATTAGAACCAAGAAAAGGTCAGGGCTCTGAGCGATAGAGTGAGATCAAAAGCAATGGGCAAGCTCAATCACTGGAGGCTCATTTTACCTGACAAGGCAATAAAGGAGGACAGCAACTGTGGTACTGCATGCAAAGATAAGCGTATTGATTCAGGTGTTAGTGTTGTTTTTGTTATTACTTAGAGCATGACATGGAAATTCAGTAGCAAAGTGCAAACATACACACCAGCATAGCTGAAGATTGGTTTATGTCCTGAGAAAGATTTTTTTAAGCACAAACAAAACAAATATAACTTGTTAGTATTAGTAAAAGTAAAACATGGAGCTCAGGAGATTAAGAACAAACAGCCTCTGATTAAATGATGGAGGAGATTGGAGGAGCTTTTTATCAAAACAATAAATGCACAAATGCAACATGAATAGTTCAGGTACTATAAAGAACACTTTACCACAAACTCTTTCCAGCTCATCACTGCCATCTCCGCAGTCATTGTCATTGTCACATTTCCACTGGGCTCGAATGCAGCGACCATTCAAACAGGTGAACTGGCCTGCCGGGCAGCGAGTCCCATTATCAGGGATACAGTGCTTGTTGTCAGCCAGGTACCAGCGACCCTCTGATGGGCATTGACACTCAGCTCCATTGGGTCCTGAAGGGAGATACACATAGAACAAGTCATGCAGTTATCAGTCACTAATGTTATCTTACTCTACACAAAGTCAGAAGCTATACCTGCTGTGCAGATGTGGCTGCAGCCTCCATTAAATTGCTGGCAGGGGCTATCACACTGTTGCTGTTTCCTGCTGGCCAATACATGGATGTCCATTGGTCGAGAAGGAAGGTTCTGAATCATGACCTTTTGGTCAGAACCATCGTGCTTGTTGGCCCGATAGATGCTTCGGGTATTCCAATCAGTCCAGTAGATGAACTGCCCGAACATGGTCATGGCAAATGGGTAGATGGCTGTGCTGACAATGACCTCACGATTGGACCCCGTAAGAGAGGATCGTTCAATCTTCTGTCTAATAGTAGAACAACATGTTATTAAAAGAGAAAGCGTCAGATGAAAAGATAACATCACAGACGCGATAAAATACATTTTTTCAACAATCTATATTTTTAAATCTTACAAGCTAGCATCAGCCCAGTAGAGCCTCTCCTCGGCATAGTCCAGTGTAAGGCCATTGGGCCACACCAGACTGCTGTTTACAATCTCTGCTCTGAAGTTTCCACCTAAGGTGGCTCGCTCAATCTTTGCATGAGTTCCCCAGTCTGTCCAATACATGTATCTGTTTGACAAGGAAAAAACAAGTAAACATCTAGTTTGCGCCCATCAACAAAGAGAGACAGTTGTGTAACTGTTACCCTCTGCAGGGATCCAACATGATTGCTCTCGGTCGGGAGACATGAGCGATGATTGTTCTCTGAGCTCCATCCACAGACATAGAACTGATGGTCTGGTTTACATAGTCGCTGTAGTAAATTCTTTTGTTTATCCAGTCATATGCAATGCCATCAGGAGCCCCAAGATCTGTCAAACCACAAAGACCATAACATAGTGATTACTATAACTATTAATCTATTTTTGTTCATTGGCTATGTTTGAAGTGGACTTATTTGGAGCTGGAATTGATTAGATTCTTTTTTTTTTTTTTACAATGAAATGTATTCTATTTGGCTTGAATTGTATTTAATGGCTGAAATGCCTAGAGATTTTTTTTCTTATGCAATTTCATTTTTAAAAATCTATTGAGTTGGTAGTCAAACTCTATGAGTACTAAACCTACCAGATGCCACAATGACAGGAGCTGAAGTGGGAGAGGCCAGGCTGATGTAGCTGATCTTGCTTGCTCCAGCGCCTGAGCTCTGTGTGAAATAGATCCTTTGGTCTGTGAGATCAAAATCCAGAGCCACAGAGGTTCGAGGCACATTGACAACAGGGAAAGGCACAGCGTGGTCCTCAGGATCAAGTCGCAAGCTACGCACTGTGCTCTCAGTAGTGTAGATGAGGTAATCATCCCTTGACACCACACAGCTCTCTTTATCAGCAGCAAGATTCCCAAAAGCACAGCTGCATTTTTTATTTTGGGTGCCTGTGCCAGAATCTTTTAGGGCGAAGCAGAAGTGGGCACAGCCTCCATTTGTTTCCATGCAGGGGTTGTGGTTTAGCTCTTGTGGGCTGGTGGGCTGGGTATGCTTGTCAAAGATAGCAATGTCCCTCAACATGTTGATATTGTCTCTGATCACAGCAGGTGGTTCTGTGTTTCCTGGCTCTTTACTTGCCTGGAAAACCTTCTTGAGGTTTCTGTCCACCCAAATTATGCTATTCTCAAACACTGTGATTCCATAAGGAGTAGGGTACCGGCTGCCATACCTAACAATCTCTGTCTCCCCTCCATTGGGGTTGATACGAGCAATCATATCCAGGGAGTCATCGACCCAGTAGACATAGCCAGTTTGCCAGTCTAGAGCAAGGCCACGTGGAGTAATAATCCCAGAAGAAACTAAAATTGTACGGTTACTTCCATCCAATAGTGCTCGTTCGATTTTGGGGTTCTGACCATAATCAGCCCAAAATAAATATCTGTTTCTGGGGTCAACGACAAGGTGGCGTGGCATGTCCACCTGGGTTTTCAGCAGCACCCTGCGGAAAGTTGTGTTGAGGCGAAGCACCTCAACATACGTCTCTGTCAGGAAGGCGTTGGTAAAATACATATTACCTGCGGACAGAGTCATGTAAAAATTGTGATTATTAGAGTATCAAAGTGCATATTTGACCAAAACTGTGCACTATATATCAAGAAAAACAGTTAATCAAGCAGGACACAGACTCAATTTTTTCTGAACTGACCAGTACTTGTAACTATGCTGGATAGATCTCCCTGCTAAACTCTGGGCAAACTTTTTATTACACAATATCTAAGCTTTGTAAGTTTTTTTTTTTTTACTTTATCACAGTAACAATAAGATCAAACAAGTATTTTCAATAAGTCAATGTAAGAATAGTCCTTTCTTTAGCAATTATTCATATTTTCTAACAGAAATCAGTCCTTTATCAACTCAACATACTATTCACAGAAACAGAAAGTTGAATAAGGATGCCTAAATATGCCATAATTTTTCATTGTACAGCTGCTTACCTGCAGCCCAGTCTACAGCAATTCCTCTTATCCCGTTTCGTCCTATTCCAGATGTCACAATGCTACGTAATCCGGAGCCATCCGGCTTTATCCGTCTGACCCCATTCTGTGTCGCCACCGTGCTGCTAAAGTCACACCAGTAGATGAAGCCAGAAGCCATGTGCACGTCAATATGTAAAGCATTACGGCCTGTAAGAGGATATTATAACAGCGTTCACTTCATCTGTTTGACTCAGTTTTTCTTTTTTCTAAGAATCGTTGTTCATCACATAAATATCTTGCATTCTTAATGGCAAAACAGCATATGAGAATCACTGACCTCTCCCAGCCACAGGTACCATTGCCTCAGAGTGATCTGACCCTTCCAAACTGAAGCCTTTGATTGCAGATAGCGTGGAGATGACAACATAGGACTGGTAGGGAGCACAAGTCCTATTGTCTGCGTTAAGTTTAAAACCTGTTGCACATGCGCAAGTGAAAAGGCGCTGTGGGGAAGGTAGACAAAGCTGCTCACATACTCCCATGTTGTCTGAACAGCCATTAGATGTACCTGCAGATCCTGAGTTTGTGGAGAGAAAACAGTGAAACAGTACATGAAAAGTAAACACTTAAAACCATGAATGTTAACCCTGTAAGGTAACTAATAATGTGCAATCGTGCTACTCACTGTCTCGAAAATGAACTTTGAGGACTCTTAGGCCAGACACATTGTCTCGCAGCACAACTTTATTGGCACCTGTGGACTTGTCCACGCGTTCTATCACTTCAAAGTCACGGTCAGTGAAGTAGAGGTAGTTCTGGTAGATTGCCACACCCCAGGGGTGAGACAGGCCTGTTACTAGGGTGATACGGTTGCTTCCATCAACATCACCACGCTCAATCTGAGGGAAGAAAAATGTGCATTTAATTCTTTTAGCATCATTATCTGGCCATACGCATATATTGAACACCAGAGAATGAAGAGCTACCTTGCCAGTGCTTGTCACAACCCAGTACAGCTTGCGCTCTTGGATGTCCACAGTGAGAAACTCAATGTGATCAAGATTGTTGGTGAACAGGTTGACAGGGTTTAAACCATCCATGTCTGCTGATGCCACCTTTGCAGGAATACCACTCTCTGTTCCCTGGTCAGTCCAGTATAATTTTCTTGAGAAAATAAAACATGAAAGTCAGTGTTTTTGTTATGAGGCAATTTTGTCAAATAACAGAAAAGACTAATAATTCTAAATATAGTAAGTAAACAGGGACTTATATGGATACATCTAAATAAAAACAATTACTTAAAAAACACATCAAATAATTCAGAGAGGTTTAAACATATGTCATGAGAGTATATAAAGTTAATTATGGTGAAAACAGCAAGCCCAGACATGTCTTTGCTACTCCTGAACTGTAGGCTGTTGCAGTTTTAAATTGCAGCGTGGTATTCAGTAACACTTATTAGATCTCTCGAGAGGCTGAGCAGATGGCAATGTGGAGCCTGTTCAAGCTCAGTAGCAGTGGATTTATGTGGTTGTGCCAAGATGCTGTTAAATGGGACTTACCCACGTGCTGGATCCACTGCAATGCCAACAGGACTGCCTGCTCCAGTTGCTGAGCCATTATTTGTGATTAGAGTTTTCCTGTACTGAACATCCCCACTCAACTTTAAAACCTGACCGAAAAAAACAAAAATAGGTTAAATTCCTGTGCTTTGTGTAACTGTGATTTGAGATTATTTTAGCACATTTTCTTTTCATATCTGATCTAACCTCAATAGACTGTGTAGCTGGATTGGTGTAGTACAGGTTCTGTGACATCCAGTCCAAAGCCAAGCCTACAGGGGAGCCAAGAATGGCTGCAGGGGCAAACTCTGTCCTGTTAGTACCATCTGATCTCACCTTGTGGATTTCACCCTGTTAGACAAGGAAAAACATAAGCCAACCAGATAGGGAGTGTAGATGTGCAAAGTAAATCCATTTTCAGTTTTTCTTGCATGATAAAGCTGAATCTTTAATGTGTTTTCACTGGTAACCCTAATCTAAGGAGACACGCAATCCTGAAATAATTCAATAAACCTAAAATAAGTTCCTAATAACTGTGAGGAGTTGTTAAAGTCGTTGGAGTGTGACTTACTGGATGCTCCACCCAGTAGATGGTTTGTTCATTGTCATCAAAGTCAACATCATAGCCATTTTGAAGGCCAGCAATGGGAACCATGGCATCATTGCTCTTGTCATCGGGGTTCAAGGGAATACCATAGATGATGCTGTCTCTCACAACCACCAGGAAAGGATCCTCAACTAATAAAACAAAAGAAAAAACATAGATTTAGAACTGAGGAGGAAGTTGTTCATCCTACACAATAGGAAATAAAACAGAATAAAAAAGAGAGATATTTATTATTTCTAAATCAGCGTTAATTAGGTATTCTCCAGTTATGATGGTTTAACCCCTGGTAAGCAAAAGTTACAGTTGCTTTTAGTGTATGATATCTGGTGTAAATTAGGTGTCCCGTGCTAAAAGGCCTTTATCTGTAAAGAGGATTGACTGGTGAAAGCTGGTTCCACAATCTGATTTGCTTTGTCATCACAGATTAGAGTCAATGAATGGTTGTAGGGCATTTTCATTCTTGGATAATCATTGGCTTCAGGGGGATATTGTGTTCTGCTAGGGTTGAATGGGTTGAAACCTGAGATGAGTTAAGCTGCTGACCGAAGGCAGGCTCCTTGGACTTTAAATTAAAGGAACTTTGTCTTCTTGAGGCCATGAAAGACACGCTTATATGATTCTTAATATTTATGACTGGAACAGTAGTTGTGAAGCACAGGATCTAAATGGGAGGCTGTTGACAAGTACCTGGATCAATCTATAAAATGAGGATACTGATTTCAGGTTTTCCTCTCCTACCACCAAAGAGATAGGTCTCCAAGCATAAATTAAGCACGAATTGTAATTTTTGCAATAAGAATTCTTTTTTTTTTACTAATTGATAACCAAAACTGAGATGAACACTTTAATACATCAACTTATCAACTTTGTTCATCGGACTTGACTTCCCTTTCATCAATTTAAGTGTTGAGTGTTTCCCTTCTTTTTGGCAGCATACATACCTCTGGTGCAGGTGAACTGGTCTGCTGCCAGTGTCCAGCCAGAGGGGCAGGCGCATGAGTAGTATCTTGGTCCCACAGCAGAGAGTAAGCAGATATGAGTACAGGGGCTCCTCAGGCAGTAATTTTGCCCTGCAAAGTGCCAAGTTAAACATGTACACAAAACATGTCCACACAAAGTCATCTGAGAAATCTTCACAGGTTGTCACTGGTTTCTATTGACAAACTCAAGGTATCTATCAGATGCTGATAATGTTCAATGTGCAAATTAAGATAGTTGTGATGCAGTGGAGGAAGTGTTATATTCATTGTGTCTACCGTACCTGCAGGCTGCCTAGCTGGATGAACTGCCGCCAGACCCATGGGCTGAGGGAGGTTGAACAGCATCACTGTCTGGTTCTCCCCATGCCATTTATGAGCTCTCATCACTCGGTTGATGTATCTGTCGGTCCAATAGACAAAATCCTCAAAAATGGTAATTGCGTGGGGGTGTTGCAGTACCTTTCCATAGAGAGTAGCAAAAGAAAAAAGGTGTGTCTTACACATGCTATTCAGAATATACTGACTGTGCTATGTTCACCTTAAGCTTATTAGCATACACATCATCTCTGTATAAAATGTGTCTTTATCGTGAAATCTGCCATCTCAGTCACTCACCAGGTCACTGGCTAAAACCTGTTTCCGGTTGTTGCCATTATAATCACAGTAGTCGATGAAATCCAAGTAGGCGTCGGCAAAGTACAGCAAATTATTTGGATAGTCAATGGTTAGACCATTAGGCCAGTACAGTTTGCTGTTAATGATCACAGTCCTCAGTTTCCCATCCATGCTGGCCCGCTCAATGCGCGGGTTCCTGCCCCAGTCAGACCAAAAAATCAAGTGGGCACTGCAAGAGAAGTGAGCTTTTAAGAGCATCTGTTTTTACACTGAGCACAAAATGTGCGACATCAACTTGTAACTTTCATCTGACCTGTCTCTTGGGTCCAGAACAAGACCTCGAGGGTTCGTGACATTCTCACTGACTAATACGGTCCGGTGGGTGCCATCCAGTTTAGATACTTCGATTGTCTCCAGGACATAGTCAGTCCAGTATAAGTTCCTTCCCACCCAGTCCACAGCAAGGCTTTCAGTCACGGTCACCCCGCTGTCAAATATCTGTCCACAAGATTTTCATTCTTAAATGACACTTGTATGACATAAAATGGTAAATCACTCAGACCAAACACTACATTTAGTTCACTCTCTTACCACAGTTCTATCGCTGCCATTCATGTGAGAGCTCCAGATTCTGTCCTGGCTAGTGTCAGACCAGTATACTCGGTCTGTGGCAGAGTCAAAATCAAGGGCCACAATGCTGCGTCCATCTCGAACCACTGAACGAACCACGTTAGGTTGCGCTGTTATGTCATCTTGTACAATCTGATTCCGACTGGCCACTAACAGGAATGCTTGTCGATAATCTGAAAACAGACATCAAACCTCTGTTTTTTTCATCTTCACCTTCATTCCAATCAGAGCAGTTATCAGATTTTGTGAGTTGGTCACAGTCCCACAACAAGGCCAGTAAAAAGGCCCTAATCAAATGACAATCCTTTGGGAATGCACTTCAGTCTAAATAATGTCCTATTGTATTGCAAAGCCATTCAGAGGGTTATCAGCGTGGACGAGGAGCTCATGTCAGGCACACTCCCCATAAACAGCCCTTTGTTTGTGATTATGTCCTAATTACACCAGTGATGGCCAGTGAGTGACATATATGTTATTTGTCTTATCTCTTGAAATCCGAGCAGCAAAGAACGACAAGGAAGAAGAAAGACTGTGTGTCTGAGTCTTTGCTGTGGGGGGGGGGGGGTGGTAACCTCCCCCTTTTCTGTGGCTTCTTACCAAGATTTTTTCTAACAGAGAAATCTAAGATATGTTTCATAAGCAAAATACACTGAAACTAAACCAAAGATGGACTTATGATTTCACTACGAAATTAACATAGATTATTTTACAGTCCAATCGGACTAATCTATTTTTGTACAGGTAATTTAAGACAAATCTTTCCTTACCTGAGGCCTTGCAGGTGCGCTGGTCTGCTTCGAGAGTGTAACCACTCTGGCAGTGACACCGGAAAGAGCCTCTCTCATTAAAGCAGTGCTGGCTACACAGTCCAGGAGGAATACACTCGTCCATATCCTCACAGGTTTTGGAGTCATTGCTGAGTTGGTAACCCACAGGGCATGTGCACTGGGCCCCAAATGGCCCTTGGATACAACCATGTGTGCAGCCGGCATTGTTGTCAGAACAGCTCTCCTGATCTGTGATAAAAGCCAGAAAATTACTAATTAGAACTAACAAATTTGACTGAATGTTTTTTAAATATGTGCTGTAATCTAATGATGGCACTTGTAGCAGAAACTACTTTTTTTGCTTGTCCTTAGAATCGCTGACATGCCAGAATTATTCTGTGCATATCTGTGGTACTTGATCATTAAGGAAAATAATACTACGAGTAATCTAAAACAAAATTATGGACATATAGCATCTGTTAAAAAAGGAATCATAGCTATTTGCAGAATTTCTACCAATGATTGAGAGTTTGTTCCTACCTGGTAAAGGTTCATCTGAAAGTGGTGAGAAAGGCAAGAAAGGAAAATCATAGATCATTTTCAGGTTAATGCAGGACAAATCAGACACATGCTTGATTTTAACACGAAAATACAAAGACAAACAGATGAAATTCGACACAAACTTTTCACTGAAATTAAGCCCTTTCGGTTCATATAATACAAGAAGTAGAAAATGAAATCACATTAAACAAAATCAGTGCAGACAATGATCCTGTACGCTGTTCAATATAGAAAAGTTACTGAAAAGAAAACAATCATGCCCAAATGAACAAAGCACATGTTTTATATGGAAGAAAGCAGAGGGCTGACTTACTGCAAAGTGGAGACTCATCGGCACCATTAGGGCAGTCAGGAGTGTTATCACACACTGTTGTGAGGTTGATGCAAACACTGTGGCCAGGGCACTGCCACTGCCAACTCGGGCATCTGAAAGGGGGTGTGGGACAGTCTTTTTCATCACTCATGTCCCTGCAGTCATTGTCTCCATCACAAATCCAGCTGCGTAACACACAATTCCCATTATCACAGCGGAAAAGTGTGGAGGGGCAGGTGCGAGGTGGGCAGGCGTGGTGTTCATCGCTGCCATCCTCACAGTCTGGGTGGCCATCACACTCCCACGTCGATGGGACACAGCTCCCATCGGACTGACACTGAAACTCACTTTCGTGGTGGCACATTCCTGGGGGCCTAGTGGCTGATATACATGTGGAGATATCACAAATTGAAAAGTGGTAAATGACTGTAGAATTCATTCCATCAATCTACCCTGTAATGCCAGGCTTGTTAGCACAACTTACGACAGTTTCGCTCATCGGAGCGATCACTGCAGTCGAAGACGCCATCACATCGGTAGAATGAATTGATACACTGATGACCACTTGCACACTTGAACTCACTGGCAGTGCAGTTGTAGACTTGAAAATCCAGAAGAGTATGTTAATGCTCATATTAAACATTTCTGCACTTGTGTGTGTAGTTGTTGTGCAACACAGCTAATAAGAGCAATGAACTAAGAGGCTTAGTAAATGCTTATGAATTTTATAGAGGGCTTAGTGGACCTCTGACATAATGAGTGACACATTTAAAATAATTTTTTACAAAGAGAAAAAATACACCCCCCTTAACTCAAGTATTTTACATGTAAGGACAAAACATTTGGTATATCCAAGGTCAGATAAACAACAAACATATTCATTAGACAGTATTGTTATTAAAAAACTAAGAAAAAATGCAGAAGCAAAGTGTGGCAAAAGTGTGGGCACTTCTAATACATTGGACAAGCAGTTTCCAGCACGGCAGAAAATCTACAATAGAATGACTGAAAAAGGAAAAGAAATTAACTGCAATGGCCATAGCGGGTAATGGTTTAAATGCTGTGGGATAATCTTGAAAAGTGAGAAAGTTAACTGACCTGCAGCAAAATTAACAGAAAAGTAATTGCTGTGTGCTACTGTCTAAAAACTTGGCAGTTTCAATAACTGAATAAATATTGACATTGTGCTATATCTCTATACATCTCTATATGTGATTGCATTTATCTAAATCCAAGGCCTGATGGGACAATTATTTTACTTAGTGATCATATGTAAAACCTGAAAACAGAACAAAAATGTACGTTTTTTTGTCTGTAACCCCATTGTAACAAGTCACTTACTGCATCCCTGCTCATCTGCTCCATCAACACAGTCTCTGTCGCCATCACAAACATAATTAGGGTCTAGGCAACGGTGGTCAGGACACTGAAACTGGCCTGGATGACATGTACCCCCCAGATCTGCTAACAAGAACAAGGTCAGACATTACAAATAGCGTGTACAAGTCTGTATTGGGCATTGTAATAGTAATCTGTATCATTCTGACAAGTGACAACTGAAAGTACAGCCAAAATTTACCTTTGTGTTTTTATAAAAAGAAAAGTAGTAACTGTACATGAAATTATCATCCAAGCTTAAGCTTATTATACTATACTATAAGCTTACATAAACTATTCTTTCCTTTTTGCACTTTCATTGAAAAATGTGTTCTTTCTCCTTCATACATGTTTTTCAAACAGCTCTGGCAACATAATGGATATCTGTGACATCTCTCTATGATATAGGTTTAGAAATAACAAAAAAGTTCCCACAGTCTTTTAGCTTTTTAGTCTCTATGGAGATACTCACAACAGTTGGCTTCATCTGAACTGTCCCCACAGTCATTATCCGTATCACAACGCCAGGTATGGGGGATACAACGGTGGTTGGCACAAGTAAACTGATTGGCAGGACAAGTTCCAGGCACCTGTGTCGGGCAGTTTATCTCATCACTGTTATCAAAACAGTCATTGTGCCCATCACAGCGCCATCCTGCGGGAACACAGCGCTGATTGGAACAGGTGAAGGCCGATGGTGAACAAGTTGAGTCTGTAATAAGAAAAAATATGGTCTTGAGTACAAATCATATAAACATAACATGAACATAACCTGAGAACAAAAAAATGTTTGTGTAAGGTCAGGTTGTGGCTGTATAACAAACTGTATTTAAGTAAAACAATAGAAGCATTACTGTTAATTCCACAGTTGACTTCGTCACTGTTGTCATGGCAGTCATCAACACCATCACATCTGTAGCTGTTTGGGACACATTTTCCATTGTCACAGGAGAAAGAGTTGGCTCCACATTGCAGTGTGGGTGGTTCGTTGGAAGGGTCCTCCACACATGTCTGCTGGTTGGCTGACAGCTTCATGCCATATGGGCAGCCACACACCCTCTGAGAGTCTGGTGCAGGGAAGCAGAAGTGGCTACAGTCTCCATTAGGATTTGTCTGCCTGTTGCAGAAGTTGGAACCTAAGAAAGAAACAGGAGGGTCATTTCCAGAAGTACAAGCGAGAGTTGCAGCTCTGCCTAAATAGTGTCATGAGAAAATGAACAAAGCTTCTGACCTATCTGAGAGTTGGAGTTGAAAGACTTGACATGCATGATGTGGCTGATTCCTCTCCTGATAATGACCATCTCCCCGCCATCAGACTTGCGCACACGCACGATGCCACCCAGCCGCCAGTCAGTGAAATATGCATATCCTATATGTGAGAGGTGAAACAGATTACACCTTATGTTCACTTATCTTACATCGGATTCTGTACGTGCTTACTGCTCTTTTTACACAAGTTTGATTAAAGCAGGTTCCAGCAGACCACAATCAATAAGGCACAATAAATAACTCATTAGAAATGCATGACCTTACCTTCAAATATGGTGAGGCCAAACGGATGGGAGATTTGGGTTATGCGATCCAAAGAAAGCCTTCTCTGTCCATCAAAATTGCTGTGCTCAATTTTGTCAAAGAAAGCATCAACCCAATATAGGCGCATTGAGCTATGTGGACATTAAAGCAAAGGAACGTGAGGTCAAAAAACACACACATTAATATCACCTGAAAATTAAATTTTTGTTAAGATAGAAAGGTTTATGGTTTAAACTATTTTGCTAAAACATTTAGCACACTGAACAGAGGCTAAAAGTATTTTCTTGGAACTGATTTGTCAGTCACTTATTTGGCTCACCTCCAGTCGATGGCAAGACCATTTGGCCAGCCAAGAGTGGTGTTAACAATAGAACTGGCATGTGACCCGTCACCCCAAGCTCTCATGATCTTTGCTGGCCGGTACCAGTCCGTCCAAAAGATATAACTGATAATACCAACAAGAAAGCTCATTGTCACATTTCAGTCAAAAAAACTCCCAGCTTTACAACTATTACAGATACTTGCGTAACCTTTTAGTCACAGTATATTTTCGACACTTCTGCAATATAGAGCTTTTCCGTTTTGGTCAGCTATTATTCAGCCAAGTATATTTCAGCCAACTGAAACTGTAAAATACTGCCCTTCACACAGAGCTAATCTCCGATGTCAGAAAAAGATACCATATGACGTTGAGACTATTGGAAATGGCAGCTTGCTCTAAATAAGGATTTCTTTTATCAGGTGGGGACTAATCTATGGACAGTAAATGAATGGGTGAAAACTTTGTATGGTTTGACACCTAAAGGTTGAGAATTTTCAATCCTTTGGAGCAAAAATCATTGGAGTGTTGTATGTAAATGACACACATTTGATCGATTAAAGTGAAGTCCATCTAAAACATTAAGTAGAAGTGAGAGGGAAAACACCTAAAGATTCTCAAACTCACATGATACTGATCTTTATATAAACAGAACTTCATACTTGGAATGTCTAAATTCCACTGATATCTGTAAAGTGTAATTTTTTTATTCAACCTCAACAAATTCCTTGTATGTGTTCTGAGAAGAAAAAATACTATTTATGTCTCTGGTAGAAAATATCTCAACATTCTATTATGTTAGAAGATATTTACCCAATAAGAGGATGCACTACAATGGCCCTTGGGTTGTTAAGGTTGCGTATAATGGCCCTCCTGGACTTATCAGTGAGCTTCATGACAGATATGCTCCTGTAACGAGGGTCAGTCCAATAGAGATTTTTTGAAATCCAGTCATAAGCCAGATCTTCCACTCCATCCACTCTGTTGGCTGCCAGCACCTCCCTGCCTGTGCAGATCAAAGCAGTCAGAGCACAGTTTAACTCAGAGATGAAAGAGGAACACATTCAAATAAATAGGCTGTCAGGTTGCATTTTCCTCTTGTGGATCGGACAGAAAAAACTAGAGCAACTCCAAAAACAACATCAGAGATCTGACCAGTGGTGTTACAAATCTTTTGCCAGAAGCTGATTGTGGATTACCACCAAGTGGTACCTTCTGTAGCTTTGTTGATGGTTTAGACAATCAGTTTTAATTCTTAGTAAAACACTTTTGATTCTTTCTTTTCATGTCCAGGATAAATTTGCCCTATCCAAACTGCCTCTTCTCCCTCCCCCAACAGTACTGACCAGCCCTCTCATGCACTCCTTAAACTGATTGTAAAAACCTGGATAATTTACATGTTCGAGCTCTCCATTAAGAAAACAATAATCCAAAGAGGCAAACACAACAAACCCAAACTACATTAACAAAAGGGCAGCTGGTAGTTTTCACTCTCCACACAATGCCTTTGCTTGTATCACAATGGAAGGATTCTATATCTAAACAGTAATTAAAACAGTTTAAATTAATAAGCCCAAGACATAGTCACCTGTCCCATCCACTTTCTGTTTATAAATAATATCTTTGGCTGTGTCAGAGAAGAAGATAGCATCATCCTCAGCACTAAAATCCACTCCAACGAAGTATGAGGGCGATCCAGTGACAGGCAGGATGATGTCCTCCTGAGAGGAAAGGTTAAAGGGGATCCCTCTTATGGCCAGCTGGCTGGAGAACAGCAAAAACTGCCTCACAGCTTTAGGAAAGAAATCAGAGTACCACATTAACCAAAACAGCCTTTAATCCAAATTGAAAAAACACAATCCTCATGTCACAAGAAATTTTTATTTTATTTTACAGTTTTGCTGAACTATTACATGTAATGGGTAAAACAAATTAAGACCAGACACATTCTGAGGATGGTTAAATCAAAACAGCTAAACAGGGAAGTTTTTACTTACCCAAACATCGTTTGCCATCAGCATGAAGGTCGTAGCCCATGCGACATTTACAGCGGTAACCAAGTCCTCCATTGTCACTCCTATGACTCAGAACACAGATCTGCTCACATCCACCTTTGTCTGCACTGCAAGGGTTTGGTACTGGTGACAAAAGGAGGAGGTGACACAATCCAAGTAACCAGTAAACATGTGTGATATGAAATATGTACTTGAAAAATACTATCACCTACATGGCAGATATTGTAGATATGTACATGTATTAATGGCTCCAAGAAACATACAACTGTCAGCTAATCGGTGGGCACTCTGAAGATAAAATATTTGACCCACTGATTAACCTACCTTGAGGCTGTTTCAGCTGATGTATCACTGCCACTCCATGTGGAGTCTGAGATGTTCTGTAGACCACTTGAGGACTGCTGTCAGTGAACTTATTGGCTTTCATTACAGCCATCTTGGTCCAGTCAGTAAAATAAACATTGTGCTCAAACAGACTGATACCAAATGGATGTGGGACCACACTTCCTCCATGTACCACAGTTTTTCTATCAGAAAAGGGGTGAGGACATTAATTTTTTTTAGAAAAATTTACAAACTATTTCTATATTACTTGCATGTCTCACTGAATTTTACAAAATGGAAAAGGATGTGTTCTTCTCAGAGAAACAAGAGATATTCACCTGTGCAGACCATCATATGTTGCAGTTTCAATGTAGTCATAGCGACTGTCAACCCAGTAGACACGCTTAGCCTCTATGTCTAGTGTTATTCCAGCTGGCCATCCCAGTTTAGTCCCAATAATGCCATAGCGATTGGTACCGTCCATGAAGGCCCGCTCAAGGCCTGGTTGTCCATTTGTTGCCTCCCAATCTGAGAAAAACATATACCTATGAAAGGAAAAAAATGATTAAACTGAAAAAATATGGTCATATGCAGCTGAGTATAGACAAACTGGCTAAAACTGCCCTGTACCCCAAAATCTCAAAAGTGTCTGTCAGAGTCCTACATTTTTTTAATTAAGAATGGCATCTACAACAGGACATTATGTTTCCAAGTGGGTGGCTGTGCATCTCACCAAAGAGCTGTATGTTAATTCAATTTCTTTGTAAGCACCTGGCTATCCCCCTCTCTTGAACTATACGATTGGATTACAATGAGGGTCATCACTTACATTGCTTTCCACTAATCTACCCAGAGCAATCTGTTAATCTCAACCCCCACCATATTACTCCATGCCAATGGAGCACAACACACACTGAATGTGGAAATTGGGAATGGCTGGAAAGATGAAAGGCTGTAGACGTGTGCTTACCCAACAGTGGGGTCTACTGCCAGTCCTCTAGGGTTTCCAAGGTTTTCAGTGATGAGTGTGACCCGGTTACTTCCATCAAAGTCCACCATGTCAATCCTGTTGACGCTGGCCTCCACTACATACAGTTTATTGTTCACCCAGTCCACCGCCAAATTCTCAGGGTAGTCAACTGATACATTCAAAACCACCTGGACGTTTGAGCCATCCATATGCACAGAAAACACCTGTACACAAAAGATGCTTTTGTTATCACAATATTACTCCTGAGGTGGTCAAGTCCTAACAGATGTATAAGAAACCACAGAGGGTTACTCTCACATTTTGCCAAGTGAGCCCTCACACATGCACATTCTATTGGCGACTAAATTGGGGCATATTGTGTTATCAGAAACTGTAGTATACGACCTGAAACTGTAGCCCTATATTTTTAAGTCAGTCTGATGAGACAAGGTTTGTTGTGTGTCTGTACAGAAAAAACTATCTGCATACCAACATTTAATTGCAGACTGACTAGAAACAATCAGAATTTACTCTAAAAGCATTTATTCAATAATGGCCTCCTATATGTTACAATGGACATGCATTACTGCACAAGAAAATAAAAGGAACTGTGGTAAAAGTAAGAAACTACTGTACAACTAACGTAGGGTTAGTTTCTCAGACTCTAAACCTTGGCACTGGGCAGCTGAAGAGAGACTGCTTTTAGCAGCTTTGCTTTTTTCGAAACAAGATCCAGACATCTAAAAAGCAACATTTTCAACTGACCTGTTTAAAGAGAAACAGAAGACGTGGAAATAGCCTGGTAGTTTAACCTTTCTGGTTGCATTCACATGCCCTGTTTGTGCTCTACCTACTCTTAATCTGACATGCTGCCATGGAGGTGGCTAATATAGACAGATTCCCCATCAGAGATTTCTTCTAGCCTTTCAGCCAAATGGCTGTGCCTTAAAGTAATGAAAAGCCCAGACAAGAGCTGAACAAAGACGTTTTAGCTAGCAAAAGAATGCATATAAATGAAGAGTGCCACTGAAAACAAATACAGCCTGATTAGTTCGGACAAGATTGAGTTACAAAAATTGCACCCTGGTATGCGGAATCCATACCAGCCTATCAGAAAGGTTTCAAGATTAAGCCATTTGGATTCCATTACATATCTATTTCCCTTCATTATGAGCATACTTCTAGGAGACCAAAAGCAATGCCATTATTATAGTTTCAACATTGCTGATATTTTAAAGGATAACGTAGAATTTGGTCCAAACCAGTGCCAGCCCAGCCAAGGCATTTACAGGAACAACGAACTGTTCTACTCCTCATAAAATATAGTATGTTTTTGGAATGTCAATGCTCTATGAATGACACAGTAAAAAATAAATACAATACTAAACACTGGAAGAAATTAATACCTTATTTTGGATGGTATCTGTCCAGAAGATCATTTGAAGATTGTAGTGGAAGTCAACCCCCACTGCAATTCCTCTATTCTGTGAATTAACCAGAGTTTGTAGATTGTTCCCATGGATGTCACCCTTTAGTAAGTCTCTGCCATTAGAAAATATTAAGGAAGGCACGCCAGCTGCAAAGAAAACAAAATACAAAGAAATGTACAACAGACAACAAAGAAATCATGATCTTGTATTTTTTAACTAGAGCCTGATATATTCAAAAGCAGTAATAAGTTTTACGATATGCATTCATAACTAAAATGTCAGTGGAAATTTACAGAATGTTGCTCATATTTCAGATCCCTGACTCAGACTAATCATGGCAGACACTTTCAAGTCACTGTCATTACACACTTCCCTCACTAAAGCTAAAGGCAAAAAGGTCGGCCTCTCAGTCAACACTCTTTATATGGGCCACAAAGGCAAGAGACTAACTAAAACAACATTTAGCACGCAACAATGCACCAGAAAGAAGTGCAGGCACTCCACATAGAGGTTGCCAAAAAGAAGAGGGGGTCTATGCTAATGCACCTCATTTGGATGGATCATTCACATACTCACAATCGGAACATATTGTATGTAAGAAAAACTGTGGAAGTGACTCACTTGAGGTGTCAGCTCTACAATATCTGTGTTGCTCTAGAACGTAGCCCTCCCGACAGCTGCAGTGATGGGAGCCTATCCGGTCCTCACACAGTTGGTCACACATGCCCCAAATAGAGCAGTCATCAAAATCTTCAATATGATCATAGTAGATGGGGATTAAGCACAACACGTAGCATTTAGATATACAGACCAAATTTATGGATACAACTGGCATTTACAACAGCAGTGTTAAAATGGGATTTTTTTAACAGTTTGATTTTGTACTATAATTCTCAAAAAACAAAAATGACATTTTACCAGAACCAGAAATAATGTAAAGAGATGATTGTAGCACCCATTTATTTTTTATCAATAAGTAGAAAACATGGCTGTGGTTTCATTAAAAAGATATTAAAAAGGATATACCTGTACATGAGCGACTATCATTGCTGCTAACAATATATCCAGAAGGACAGGAACAAGTTCCTCCATCGGGGGAAGCATGACAGCGATGCTCACAACTAAGCGAGGCACATCTCCAAATACCTGACCAACACAGGGACAAGAATGGTGATGGACATTTAACAGCAACACAGTTCCTGTGAGATTATAAGTACTTTGTAGAGTAAAATGTTAGTTTTGGATGTACTAACTGCAGTTGTGCCCAGCTGTGGTGTTAGTTTCATCGTCTCCCTCAGGACAGTCAGTCTTCCCATCACACAGCTTATCCATAGGGATACACAGACCACTGGAGGGGCAGGGCCATTCCCCTGGGTAACACTCCCGTGGAACATTATCTGAAGGTAAAACACGTTATTCTTTCTTACACACAAAGAATATCATTCAAAAATCTAAAAAGGAGGGCATCAAAGTTTTGTGTCCTCAATGTGTTAGAGTTTTTTTATTTAAAACAGGGAGCATTGTCTCAAAAGGAATCCAGATCTTAAGGAAAATTGTCAAAAAGACATTGTCACTGATGTAGTAGAGTGGAGCAGTGATGGGGTCACATGGGGGCTCAGAGGGCTTCTGCAGCCTATCCTATAAAAACACTCTTCACAGCCATGTGGAGGAATTCTTTAGCCCTTTGGGGGGCTGCGCAATCTTGTGTCACAAAGAGGCATTTGAATAACACACTTAAAGGAGCACAGGCATAGCGTCTTGCAGGACTAAACCAACCATGGAGACCAAAGATTAATCAGGTTTCCACTACACAAGTTCTTTTGCATTTTAGGGCTTTTTAACCAGCCATGATTTTGAAGCCTCTGATCTAAAGCAGCAAAAAGTAACACAATAAAAGAGCTCTGAATCTTAAAATACTGCCCACATACCACAGCCTTTTTCATCTGCATTATCCTCACAATCATCTTCTCCATCACAAAGCCAGACTTGGTGGATACAGCGACCACTGGGACAAGTGAAGTAGTTTCCTCTGCATGTGGGATATGCTGCAAGTGAAGGCAAAAATGGCTGTGTTCATTTGATGTTTTTATCTGTCGAAACCACCATAGTTAATAGTTGTTGAACTGGTGTTGATAATCATTAGACAAAAAACAGGAGTTATAGGGACAGGTAATACATACTGCAGTTTAGCTCGTCACTTCGATCTCCACAGTCATCGTCATGGTCACAGACGTAGCGGTGAGGAACACACAGTCCATTATGACATTGAAACAGGCCCGCGTTGCAGTGCTGTGCTAAAGAAAACATAAGAAAAGGGATATGAGATTTGTTTTGTGACTATGTCATGCTTTTGGGTTTACTCAACAAGTGTTAAGCATTACTAGTAGAAAAATATACTGGCTTCTTACTGCAATTTGCCTCATCAGAGCCATCGCGGCAGTCAAGTATGTGGTCACATCGCTGCGTCCGGTTGTAGCAAGCCCCATTAGCACACCTCAGCTGTGTACATTCAGGGTAATCTGAAAGATTAAGCCATCATGAGGCCAACATCATGCTTTTAAATCAGCCTGACAACTGTGCTCTTCACAGCTTTTAACATGTGAAAAGCCCAATGAATGAGAAGGATAAAGTCAAATTTAAAAGCACCACCATAACAGCCGTAGTTGCCAAGGCATTCTTCATGCAATTGTGAGATTACACAGTGTGCACTGCTCTGAGTCTACCATGTCGGCACAATAATGGCAATGCAGCTGAACTTCAGCTTGACTAATCCACCAAAGAATCTGCAATCAACCTCTGACAACAAGAAGCATATTGTGGACCGTTCTGTCAGTCAACGAGCCTCTTAATCTTAACAAATTGATTAAAATGCCACAGGAGTATGACAGAAAAAAAAGGAAACCACCCTGAAGAAGACTTACGGCAGTTTTTCTCATCAGATCCATCTGAGCAGTCTGCCAGGTGGTCACATAGGTATTCTCCTGGGATGCAAGCCCCATTACTGCAGCTGAACTGACCACTAGTGCACGTCCTGCCAGCTGACATAAAAAAAGCAGGTGATTCAGCAACAGCAAGACTTTTTTAAAAATTCCTTATCTCTCAAATTCTAAGCATTCCAGAGACACCCTTGTGTGTCCACCTTTGTGATCTTATTGCTTAAACACACTTACATTTAGTTCACAATTCTAGTAACTGAAATAATGGAAAGTATAACATGCTAAATCATTTTATGCTTTTATCAGCAACAATTTAAATTAAACTTAAATAAAAGTGGCATATTTAAGAATACTTTATTCTTAAATAAAGTATTCCCAATGATTTAAAACAAACTTACGACAGTGCTGCCTCTCATCAGAGCCATCTTCACAGTCTTCCTCATCATCGCACACCCATACATCTGGGATACATTCGCCATCACTCAGACACTGGAAATGACTGTCATCGCATGTTACCTGAGCTGTCGGAATACAGGCAATCATGCAATTACTTACACCATCTTACTAAATAAATAAGCACAAATCAAGCAGAGCACCTTATAATGAAATCATATTACTTTACTATCACATTCCTTAGAACTGCAGCAATCAGGTAAGCTAGTATCAACATCAAAATCGTACTTTAACATTAGAGTTTTTCTACACTATTATATTTTCAATGGTCATTAATGTGAAAAATATTTTCATGCATTTTACAATGACTGATGTATATATTCTATTTTTCTTCATTATTATAATGGTACATAGTTTAACATAATATGTAACTCACGGCAGTCGTGTTCATCGGAGTCATCCACACAGTCTGATGTGCCATCACAGTGCCATTCACCTGGTATACATCGGCCTGTCCCACAGCGGAACTGCCCCAACTCACATCCTGCACAGATTATTTTAAAATTCCACCATTTCATATCAAGCTTTTTATTGATCTCTTTTTTAAACTAACTACCATTCTATCAACCAAAAAAAAACCCAACTAAAAAACATTTCAAGATCTTCATTAAACATACTTAATGAAGCATGTGGCATGGAGGAGGGGCAGGAAAGCCTTCCCCTGATGAGGTATTTCATTAATAGCATTGACAAGCTCTGGAGACAAGCGTGCCAGCCATTCCCCTGCCCCGACAGTTACACAACCTTCTCTGTGCTCTTCCCAAGCCTCCTTTTGATGTTCGCGCAGAGTGGCATCTGTAGAGATAAGGTACCACAGCTCTACCTCTCCTGACGCTTTCCAGGAGAGATTGATTCAGTCAGCATAGTTCAGAGGCAGAGCACTTTGTCATGCCCAATCAAATAGGAATGTGCAATTCTGATGGTCTCTTTGACAGCCTGATTTATGGTGCATGTTGCTCCTGTCCGGTCTGAAATGTAATTGGAATAAATAGTGGTACTGGGTGGTACCGCAACCATTTCAACCCAAATTCTTCACAAGAGGAGCTGTGAGGTGGTGATTGGTGGTGCATGCTTGGGGTCAGTGGTCTGTCTCTGTCCTGTCTTATCCAGCATGTTGAAAACATTCTTCCTCCTTGATAAAATATCTCTGTACACTTGCAAAATATTGGAGTTACTTATCTGAACTCAAATGCTATGCCAGCCCTTACCTATAGCTGTACCGTTTCAGTATGATGGGTTGATTACAGAAAAGTTTAAAGATGAGTTGTGTTTTTTTCTGCTATATCCATGTGTGCATTCACTTGAGGAAAGTTACAAAAGATTGATAGTGCACAAGCCTAAAGCTCAAAAGGTTAACAAATGCAGTGTGAATGAGACGTATATTATGTTTAGAGTCAAGGGTTTATCATCTGCTTATGTAATGCACTCTTTTAAAGATGGATCGCTTCCATGACCGGTGTGGGGGGGTTGCACTCAGAAGTCTTTAGTAGAGTTTTGTCTCCAAATTATTTAACCCACAAACTACCAGACTGCTCCACAACCACTTCTGATAAGCAGGCTGAATATCTATCTCTGTCAGCTCCTGTCGCTGAAAACAAAAGAAGTATTTTTTCAGCTCAGTTGACTAACCATAAGACTGTCCTCAGTATGCCCAGAACAGTGATTATAAATGATTAAGCCTCATCCGCCTGTAAAGCAGGTACAGTTTCTTTGACAAGTATGAATTACAGTGTTGTTCTGGTGAGGTGATGATGTGCTTTTATGTGTTGATGTGTTTGGGTAAGAGGTTAAAATGTTGTATTGATACAATAGTGAATAAAAAGAATGAATAAATTGCCAAAATTTGTTCTGTGATTATTACAGTTGGAATCCATGCAGATCAACAACCTAAATTAAACCACATATGCCTGGTAGAAATCAATCTGCTCAGGCTCTCAAATGCAGCCACTGTTTCCTGACAGCATTACCTCTGGGAAAGGTGACAGATACAGTACACTGAAGCTGAACCTTTTAGCAGCACCATTTTGTGACGGTTCTTCTTACATTCTCTAAAGCACAACCGTAACTTTTCCTAAGTCCTCAAATTTCCGTCTTCAGCGTGGCATAGTCACAGTTTGACTCTGTCAATCAATATTAGTGGAGATGGAAGCAAAGCTCAATGGCGCAAATCTGCAATTAGAGGTGTTTAGTCTGAGTCTGGTGATCAGCGTTTTCTATTACTGTTTAAGCTCAGTCTTTTGTGTAATTTAATGTTTTCCTATCTCTTAATTTGCAACTTAAACCCACAGCAGGAGAGACCACTGCTCTCTCCGTGGATGAAGATCAGGATGCCCTGCTACAGCCCAACAAAGAAAGCAGTAGAGGTATTTTCATGAGAAAGGAGCACCCAAAATGCCTTAAATCCCACTGTGAAGTTACAATGGTATAAAAGAGGTACTGGCAGGGGGGGGCAGTCATAACAAGAAGTGTCACCCCAAAAAGTCAGTTTAGAGGTGGGAAGTAGAAATAAAAATACAACAGGCCTTTCTCTCTGCGGTTTGAAAAAAGGAAAATATAACCATTTGGTTATCCATTAAGAAACCACCTGTTTGCTGCTATTAAAACAACTCTTTCTTGTCATGTAAAAGATATGTCCAAGTTTTCATCAATGCCTTCTTGTTTTGGCCCAACCCTTTGCACTCAATGAATGTGCGTAGAGAAGTTGAGAAAACGGCTGCTGGCAGCATGAGACGCGGGACCCGTCCATGCTGTCAGAGCAAAGTGCTGCTGGTTATTTCATATGGAAATCAATGCTGCAGAATGCAGTCAATTGCCAAACAAGTGACTTTGGCTCTCAGTGCTACACTCAAAAGCAACTAAAACCCGTGGGGCTTTGGCAGTAGCATGGAAGCAAAAGGGAGGCATCAATGAGGGGAATGGTTTGGTTAAAACTGAGGAAAGCCCAACTTATGATTAAATGGCTTAGCAAAAGTATCCTAAACCAAGATGTCACATTGAAATACCACTTTTACAGGACAAGTTTTTTCTCCTCCACACAGTGAGCTGCGATGAGTTGGTGGTCTGGAGTTAAACTACACATTTAGGGCCTTTATATAGAACATATGTAAACTGAAGGAGTAACAAAAGGATTTGTTCTGTTCCAGTCTCTAACATTCTGTTACTGTTGCACAAGGATTTAGGCTTCGACATGGGAAAGAAGCTGTTATGCGCAAGGTTTAATATGCAAGTGCTGGCCTGGAAAAGTTATAACACGAAAGAAAACAAAACAAAAAAAAGAGATTTTGTCAAATATAGATAATTCAAAACTCATAAAACTTAGTATGCACTTTGTTTGTTATTACTGGCTAATGATTGACCGAAAAGTAATTACATTTACTAACATAACATGTCTAGAACAGCAAAACTTCAGGTGGATAATTAACAAATAAACCAGCACCATGAAATCTCCCCTAACTGTCACATTAGCCATTAATGCAGGTGTAAGCATTCAGGAGTATCACTCTAAAGGGCTGGACAGTGAGTTCCAGAAAGCGATAGAAGAAACAATTATCAAACTGAAGGATTTTTGTGGAGGATCAAACTGAGATTAGAGAAAGTACCCTTCCCCCTCGTAGTAAAACATAATGAAGTACTACCACTTTTCCACACCTTCTTCAAAATCTGACTCACCTTCACAAAGAACATATAACTCGCATTTTTGGTTTGTCATGGATTCCAAATCTGGGTTAAAGATTAACACACATCCATTAAAATTGGTTAATTTTATACTGTTAATCCCAACAAATGCCAAGTTAATGATAAATGCAAACGTGCTGACAAAGTCAGATGGCAATTGTTGGTTTTAGTGAAGTCATCATTTTGTACACTTCAGCTGTCATCAGCAAAATTTCATCCATAAGCTCTCAAGCTTCCTTGAATCAAAGGAAATGCCAAGAGAATTTCTAAAATGATACAGTTCCAGTGTCAACACAGTTATATTGTCTTTTTGGTGTCTTTTTTCTGTGTCTATAAGCCAAAGGGGAAATATGTTGAATATTTCATAATGAACATTAAAGCAGGAGTGTGCCCCTTCTGGTGGCGCATTTTTCCTAAAGTCTCTTCAGCTCCTTCTGTGGAAATGATTCCATTCTGGAGCAGCTGCAGTGTAATTAGTTGCTTGATTCACACTAAGGAGCTTACATACTAAGGGTTGAGCAAAAAGAAAGCAGATTACAATTTGAGAAGCAGGATCTAGCCGGGCTACAAACACAACAGACAACCATGAAACTCTCACAAATAAAGAGCAGTATCTGAGCATTCTGCTTTTCTCTATTTACATCAGAAAATAAACACCTTCCCCAGGCCCGAAGCAAAAGGTGGGTGGGGAGTTGGTGGCATAAAATCTGCGCCCCTGTATGAGATTTGTACCAGCAGCTCTCAGTCCTCACAGATTGCCTGTAAGTCACATGCTCTTTTCTGTTACCTAGCAACAGTAAAGCTCAGGCAAAAGTTCTTCAAGAGAACTTCCAATCTGCCCCAGGAAGGCTTTGTGCTCAACCTTTAAAGTAATACCATGAGGTAAAACATTTAGCTCCACTGCCAGGTTTACTTGGTGGCAGCATAAAACATGCCAGATCATATTGTTTGGCTCCATCAGAGAGCTGTACTTTTCAGTTTTCAAGGTTATTTCCATTGTTTCTTCTAATTTAACTGCTGATTAACTTCTGATTAAATTGCTGTGGCCTGCTTTGTATTGATGAGCAACAAGTGCAACGAGTGATTCACTTGTAATCCAATTCCTAAACCAATCATTCAACTATGTGGAGATGAAAGAGAAGGAAAGGGAGAGAAAGATTCAAAGGAAAACTACTTACCCTCTGTGTGGCTCCATCTAACACAGTATATGAGAACGAAAACGAGTTGAAATAGCAGTGCTCTCCACATGGTGGCTGGCCCGTCCAGCTCCGCTGTGCAGATGGAGGAGCTGTTGGGACTGAGGCTGGGATGCTGGTGCTTTCCTCTGGCTTTCTTGGCCCGCTAGTTGATGAAAAGGGGCGTGCACAAAGGCCAGGACTGCCGCTCCCCCAACCCAATCTCGTCCCTCTGAGTAAATCCCCCCTTGGCCCAGGAATCTGCATAATGCCATGCAGGTCCGACTTGCCCCGAGTGCCAGTTATTTTACTCTCTTCGCAGGCTGTTGCTGTTTGCGATCCACACTTGGTAACTAACGTGATAACAGGTGGACAGAAAAACAATATTACTACGGTTTAAGTTATCTCATTAATAAATACACGTAAAGAGAGGGGAGGTTATGTACTAGAATGGGCCCGTTATCTGTAGTGTCCACGCTTTACATTTCCTAATAATTGTCACACATCACAGGCACATAAAGAGGCCAATTTACACTTCTTCCCCGTATTATTCTCCAATTATAAATTAAGCCCACTGATAACTAAAGGTGGCAAAGACAGACAACTGTCATTAAATTACATCAACTCTTATGAACGAATCTAGAGCAGGACTTAGGCAACGCCAATCCTTCCACCACGGTCCTACCAGGTGACGTCTTCGCTGTCCCGGACCGACTGGAGGGGAAGCTCGTCGCCGCCATCTTGCGGATGATTAGCAGAGCACGCTCTACACCTGCTGGCATTACCATGCAGAGGACGGCACTGGTTGCCAGGAGCAACCGAGCAACTGAAACTTTACAATTATTCTGAGTGGAAAAAAGTTTGACCCACTATTTGGGGAATTAGCAACAATACGTTAAGAGTTTGGGGGTGACATTGAATCTTCATGGCAACGCCACAGAGAAATGCAGAGAAGCTCTCGAAGGAGGAGGACAGTCATATGAAGGTATGCAAAAACAACCCGTAACGGATAAATCTGTACTTAATGAATCCCTGCTTTGTCTTATTCTAAAAATAAGTATATTCCACTGTTCTTTCTCCTGATAAGTTGACAATGAATGGTGACTCAAATTATTATATTCTGCATTTTTAAATATTTAGATTAATCTAAAACTTTGAAACTCTTGAAATAATTATGGTAAGTAGAACCTTGGTCTAATAACTGGTTCCGTCTGGAAAAGCTGTCCAACAGGGTAGTTCCTATCTATTCTATTTTACTAAAATAAGTCTGATTTACTCTTGATTATTCTATTACTTCTTCTTATGCCTCGTGGCAACTTTTTCTAAAGAAGTTTACTTAACCTGGTGTGAAGGTGGGGAGAATCATTACTTGAGGGCCCAAGGTGTCAGAGGCCTGCTTGAAGTGTGGATAATTCATCCTGTGACAGAAAGCATTACAATGAGACAAAGAGGCTGACATTTCCCCAACACTTTTCCAAAGAATCAAACTGATTTCAGCAACAATGGTTTTAAGAAAGACTTAAATAAAGCACAAAGACATCGTAGTAAATTACGTTTAGCACCAAGTAAAAAACAATTCTTCAAAGACAAAAGGCCACACCTCGTAAAGCAGGAACAAAATTACTCAGAACACCAAGAGAGATCAAAATATAACAACATGGTAAATACAGAACTTAAAGCAAATACTGGACATACCCTAGCAAGTTGAATTCCAGTTCATCATCTTTCATAAGAATTTGAATGTATTTGTGGCTTTGTAATGTACGTATAGTTAAGAACCTTCTTGAAAGTTATTTCTAAAATAATTTCTAACATTGAAGAGATAACATGTTAGCTAAATGCTAGATGGTCTTTGTGCTTGTTTAATTTTATGGCCACAGTTGATGGCATGATAACCTTGATCAGTATTGTTAAAAAAAAGAATTGATTGTCAAATTTTAAGCTAAAAAATGCATCGGTGCGTTTTATGTCAAATAGTGCTAAGTCATCATATTTGTTGTGTTAGGGAAGTTGCAGACCTAACAATAGGAATAAGCCCATAAGTTTTGCATATAGAAACACTTTTCCACCTTGAGAAGGAAAAAAGCCTTCTAATAGGAAAAAAACTCTAAGTAAATAAGGACATAGGAGTGGCTGGCCACTGCAAATAATGTGGGTGACCCAAAAACACTTACCATGTTTAATACAAGGTGTCTTGTGTTTTTTTTCCCAGCATAACAACAATGGTCTAAAATCCTCTGAGAGTCCTATGGTGGAGATGCTGCGATCCAGGATTGATGAACAGTCCAGTTTGATCTGTGTACTGAAGCATAGAGCAGATGAGACACTTCTAAGATCTCAAGCCCGGCAAAAAATCAATGCTGAGCTTGAAGTCCAGTTAGCTCACATTCAGAATGAACTGGACATGGAACGGAAGAGAGCAGATTTATTAGAAAAAAGATTTGCAGATTTAGCTGCAAACAATCAAGGAATCATTTCTTTCATGGAGGAGCACAAATCCCAGAATGCCCTGTTAAAACTGGAAAACAAGCGGCTGCAGTCAGAAAATGATTCACTTTTTTCACAAAAATTACATGACAGAGAGGTTCTAATTCAGAAACTCAGCCAAGAAATCAAGCTGCTGCATGAGAAATGTATAAACCAGGAAAAGGAATACAGGTACTGCACATTTCTCACAGCCCTTGACCAAAAAGCACATCAATTTGCAAATGCATGCCTGGAAATGCCCTGTTTAATATCACTGTTAAAAAAAAGTGTTCTTAAAGCATAATTAATAAAAAATTTGCTGAAAAAACATTCATTCTAAATTATATTGATTCTTCAAATAAGATCACTTAATCACTTAAGGATTGAGTGCTATTTGTTATCTAACATTGCTTTTGTACTAATAACTTGCTCCATCGTGCATTAATACAAAAGGACAAAATTAACCGGATGTGAGTCAAAACTCAGAGAACAGGATCTTCAGCATAAAGCTAAGGAGACTTCACTACTCAGTCAGCTGCAAGACGCTCAACAGAAACACAAAGATGCTACAGAAATGTGCAAAGGTATGTAAACTAACTGGATATTGTATACGTAAACACAGAGAGAGAGATAAAACTGTGGCCTTTACAAATCAGATTTGAAGCAGAAACTAGAAGATGCTAGAGAGCAGCATGCTTCGAAAGAAATCAACATGAAGGAAAGCATAGCTGACCTGACCGAGGAGAGGAACAAATTGCTGAGCCTCTCCGTGGAAAGAGGCAAAGTAATACAGGTGAATGAAGACTATTTATGGTCAACATTAATTCACATATTCTTATTCTTGTCATTTGGGTGCTTCCTTAACATGCTAAGTGGTCCATAATTCAGGAGAAACAAGTTGAAATCCAGCAGTTAGAGACAAAATGGAGAGAAGAGAAAAAAGCCCGGACCATGGCAGTGGACAGGTAACTTGGGGACCAATAATGTTTGGATTTAATGGCGCTATTCCTGTGGTAGTTTTGTATGGTCAAGACTAAATCATGGTATCAGATCAATGCCTTCTGGCCACTAGAAAACGAGACATTGGACTAAATGACTCCTACCATTTCAGCATAAACTCCACTGTATTTTGAGTGTAATAGAAATTACAGTTAACTCCCTTATTTGACCAGCAGATAAAATAGAGAAAACATCTTGGGTAAATTCCCGTCTGGCATTTGCATTTGAAGGCCTCACCTGGAAACTGAGGGTTCACCTCACCGTAAAACCACACAACTCAATAATAAGAAAGCTAGATAAACATCCCAAAACCACAAAATGATAGGAACACTCATTAGGAAATGGCTCATGACCTACAAAACCTGAAGGCAGTGTGATGATTACGTGCATGCATTAAATACAATGTTCACAGGTGTTTATGATGTGACAGATATACCCCTTTGTTACTGCAAGGACACTGAAAATGTTTCTCTTCAGGTTTGAAATGGAGGCAGAAGCTGTAAATGCAAACGAAAGAGTAAAGTCTCTTCAGGCCGCTCTCAGTGAATCCATGAAAAGCTTTCAGCAGCTAACCCAGGTTTGGTTTAATAAGCAATCTTTGAAAAGAGTGGTTTAACACAGTTAAAGTTGTGAATGTGCTTAATTTCTTGTCTTATTTTATAGGATTTCGATGCCTACAAAGAGCACAATGCTAACCTCCTCACACAGGAAAGAGACTTAAATAAGAAACTTCGCCACATGGTGGGCTAAACCTTTCAAGTACTCTTTAATCTATGAGGTGCATTTGACATTTTTCAATAAAACCAAACACCTGTCGCTTTATCAACCAACTAGACGAACGTTAACAAACGTGAGTCACTCAGAGAACAAATCATGACAAAACCTTGAATATAACAATATTACATATTTAATTTTCGCCCTCCTGGGAAATAGAAAGACTACACACATGCTTAGCATGTCATGTTAGAAGTTGTCGTGAAAAAGACACTGTACAAGTTTATCTTCAAACTACATTTATGAATGCTCCTCTGCCAGTTTCTCAGCCTTCTGGATGACTTCTTCAATGGGACCCACCATGTAGAAAGCTTGTTCTGGCAGAGCATCATATTCACCTTGAAGAGAGACAACAAACAGTTAGTCTATTAGTCTACAAGATTCATCCCATGACATTTTTCCCCTCAGAGGTGTACTTTACCTCCCAGAATGCTTTGGAAGCCTTTAATCGTTTCCTTGAGAGGGACCAGTTTACCCATGTGGCCGGTAAAGACTTCTGCCACCTGGAATGGCTGAGACAGGAAGCGCTGGATCTTGCGTGCACGAGCTACAGTCAGTTTGTCTTCCTCAGATAACTCATCCATACCTAAGATAGCAATGATGTCCTGCAGTGATTTATAGTCCTGTGAATACATTTTAAAAAGAGAGAAGTTAAGTTCAGCTCATATCTTTGAACACTGTACACATATCAGTACGTGGAACAACATCCAACCCAAAGCTTGCCTGAAGAATCTTCTGCACACCACGAGCAACATCATAGTGTTCAGCCCCAACAATGTTGGGGTCCATGATGCGGGAGGTAGAATCCAGAGGATCCACAGCAGGATAGATACCGAGCTCTGCAATCGCCCGAGACAGCACCGTCGTTGCATCCAAGTGAGCAAAAGTTGTGGCCGGGGCAGGATCCGTCAGATCATCAGCAGGCACATAGATAGCCTGTAACACAGTTTTACTATCAAAAATACGGGCAGTATTTGGCTTGGCGCCCCTCCATAATCCAATAAAAAGTGCATTCTGGCATGTGGATTACACTGAATGTCTCCTCACCTGCACAGAGGTGATGGAGCCCTTCTTTGTGGTGGTGATTCTCTCCTGCATTGTGCCCATGTCTGTGGCCAAAGTCGGCTGGTAACCCACGGCTGAGGGGATGCGACCCAACAGGGCAGACACCTGCAGGACAGTGGTGCAAGCGTTAAAATAAGGTCACATCCTGTGGGTTTTTGTGGAGGGCGTTTCCTAAAAACAACCTATCAGCAGGACGAACCTCTGATCCAGCCTGAGTAAACCGAAAGATGTTGTCAATAAAGAGAAGCACGTCCTGTCCCTCCTGGTCACGGAAGTATTCAGCAACCGTCAGACCAGTCAGAGCAACTCTGGCACGAGCACCCGGAGGCTCGTTCATCTGCCCGTACACCAGCGCCACCTGAGAGTAAAGGAAAAGATGATGCCAGTCAACCTGATGGAACAAAACAGCGTGTCAGGTTTGTGTTTCACAGTAACCCACCTTTGAGGTGGTGTCCTTCAGATTAATGACACCAGACTCGATCATCTCATGGTACAAGTCATTTCCCTCGCGGGTTCGCTCTCCCACTCCAGCAAACACGGAGTAACCACCGTGCGCCTTTGCCACGTTGTTGATCAACTCCATAATCAACACAGTCTTCCCAACTCCGGCACCGCCAAACAGACCTGAAGGCCCACAACATGCTCCGTAAGACTCAAACCTTAAAGAAAACTTACATGAATTCTCCACAGCATGAAACATTCACTAACCGATCTTTCCACCCTTGGCGTAAGGTGCTAGCAGGTCGACCACTTTGATGCCAGTCACCAGGATCTCCTGCTCAACACTCATGTCTGTGAACTCAGGGGCTTCAGCATGAATAGGTGCAGTTCTGTAAGAAGATGCTCATTTTTACACGCTTTTTACACACTGACAGGGTGGTTGTATTTTCCTGTTGTTATACATGCAAATTTCTTGCCAGTATGCCAAGTCTGCCAGTCATGTCAGCACTCACTGTTTAGTACTTATTGGACCCCTCTCATCAATGGGTTCCCCAATCACATTCATAATCCTCCCCAAGGTCTCGGGGCCAACTGGGATCCTGATGGGGGCTCCAGTGTCCAGAACCTTCTGACCACGGACCAGACCCTCCGTTCCATCCATGGCAATCGTCCTGACTGTGTTTTCGCCTTTTTGGGGAAAGAAAGACAAACTGTGAGGGCAAATATCTAAACTGGCTGAACGGTAACGAGGTGTCCGGTGATGACTCAACTTTGTGATCACATCAGTGCACTCACCCAGGTGCTGCGCCACCTCCAGCACCAGCCTGCTCTCCCGGCCAGCCACCTCCAGCGCATTGAGAATGGGAGGAAGGCCTTCATCGAACTGAACATCCACCACAGCACCGATCACAGCCACAATGCGGCCGTTGGCAATGGCAGCCTTAGCAGCCGGGGCAGCGTAACCCCTGCCTGAAAGGTCAGTCACATCAATGACCTCAGCTGGGACAGTACAGATGGCCTCCTTAGATTACAGACTAAATAGAGTATATGCGATGTATGTTAAATCTAGAAGATACAGATCTAAAGATCAAATGTTGCGTGCTAACTGCATCCTTATTTTGGGAGGACAGCTGGCTGAAAAGCTTCAGGCAGCATATGAAGAGTTACAGAGTTACTCTGGAAGGTCATTGATTGGAGACAATACACTGATATATTTTGGAGCGACAGCCTCTAATTTAAGCCTTAATATGACCCAATAAGCAGATATACTTTATTATAGTTGCCTCAGTTAACCCCAGATACCCCCAATGACCTGAAATAAGCAAGATCGTTTTAGAGAGGCTCTGACATGATCAACTGAGTATGAAGCCAAACCGAAGCGTTAAAAGCCAGTCAGCCTAAAATTTCTTCACTTACTCGGATAAAGGGCTGCATGCCTGCCACTGATGGTTTTCAGAGAGTTGATGCCAGGCTTTAAAGCCTGCAGAGCCCCACTGCAGCACCGTCCCACAGCACCCAACATGGCTAAGATGGCTGAAGGTGGTAAGGACACTGTCAAATACAGCCAAGCTAACTGTCTGAGCATGCGCGTTCTGCCCCGCCACTGTAGCGCCCTGGCGTACCACAAGAGGGCAGCAGAGATAAGTCATGACTAATGTCAGATTTCGTGTTAGATCACGCGACATAAGTGTTCATTAGAGTGACAATATTTATTAAACTGTTATTGTATAGCTGTTGAATATACTTAGGCCTGACCCTGTCTAAAGTATAGATGAAATGATGATTTATGAGGTTACTGAGAAAAGATTCAGCTGCTTAAAAATCCACCTGACAGTCTTGTTTTTGGCTCAAAGTTATTCAAAATATTCCAAATGAGATGAACAAAAAGTAAGTACTTTGAATTGTCTTGTACACGAAATATGTTATACAAATAAAATTCCTTCGCCTTACTAATAACTGAAAAAGGCATGCAACAGTTATACTTTGGTTGATGCCTTAAGGATAAAATATAAGGTTAATTGAATACATTACATTTGCAATTCATTATAAGCATTTTAAATATATATAACTGTTGTACAACATTATTTAGATATAGTTTGCAGACTACTTTAGAGTATGAATGAATGTTAATATTTCCACAAAACAGTAATAAAAACTACAAGACAGTCATTGCATCTAAAACATGAACAAATTGTTTTTAAAAAAACAGCCTTATAAAAACGTACAAAGCCATCTTGTAGAAGCTAATGCCCACTCATCCTCGGGGCTTTTGAAAGAAGTTCCTTTTTTGTTCTTTTTTATTGTTGTTGGGTTTTTTTTCTCCCCAGTTACCAGTTGCCCCAAGGCATTTTTCTCTACAGTAAGTCAGAATGTCAATCTTTTAAATTCAATATAATATCAGTTTATTGTCACTCATTTGTTTTTATTTATACAATGTTCTACCATGCCACACCACATTGAGATGTATCAATTGAGTTATTCATAAGTCAGCCTTTGTTATTTTGTACCCTGTTCCCAGAAAAAGTCATAGCTGTGTTTCATATCAATTTTGGCAAAATGCAAACAATGTAAATGGGGATTTGAAAAAAAAACTGATTATTTTTTCTTTTCCCAAAACAAAACAATAGAAACGATCGTTTGGAAACACCCAGCAAGTTTGGATTTTTCCCATCTTGCACTGTATGTACATTTTGGATCATTCACTTCGAGTAAAGATGCAAACTTAAATTTTCCAAACTATCATTAAGTGCAACATTCCTTTGTGTCAGAAAGTCTCCTCTAATTACTTCTCGCCTGGAGCTCTGTAATACAAAGCCTCTTCACCTCGAGCACAGCAAGCAAAAGGCTCCATGAATTCTCTGCCAGTCTGCACAGGACCAACCCCATCTTTAAGCTGCATCGGGAGGAGATCGTTGAGAGGTCACCTCTGCTAAGGAATGGTCAAATGGTCATTTTTCAGGGTGGAGAGGGTGAAGTGCTGCCTGCAGCTTCCAGTAATTTATATACCAAAAAATATATTGCATTCCACTCACCTACTGGTGTCAACCCCATCTTGATTAAAATGATGTCAGAAAACATTAAATGGGATGAAAAATTGTTTCTAATCTGTATTTGACATGTCTGTGACCTTTCAGTGTTTTAGTTTTTTGGGGCTTTTTTTGCTGATTAGTTTTCAATAATCATTTAATAAAAGATCGACCTTTCTGTGGTTTTAAAACAATCTACTTGTCGGTTGTTGGGATTTATGAAATGGGGTAGAAAGACCCCATTTCATAGACCTTTTAACCCTTTTTCCTCAGGCAGACATGTTATGGTCATTCCAAAGTCTTGGGCGGAAACCAAAGGTGTTCTTTGCCATTACGGCCTTTGAAACTTTATAGCCCCTTACCTTCGGAATTTATGCTGGTATCAACGCTACCGTTATTAACTCCCAAAAGTCTTTATTCTGTTGTTTCATTTTAAGACCAATCGCCACAGAGGATGTTGTCACTCTGTTAAAATGGATAGAAAGCAACATGCTGGTTGCTCATTTAGCTCTAACTAAAATGGCAACAAATAAGTTTCCAGGTGGTTCAGATAAAGCTAAAGATCCATCAACACACCCTGTACTGCATACCTTTCTCTCATCTCTCTGGCCCCTTTTAAAAATTGCCACTGAAAAAAAAGTAAGTATGTGACCAATAAAAAAATTTGGTGGGTTTAAACTGCATTAGCCCTTCCACACCTTGACATCTGCAGCCGGCTGTACTTGTAGTAATTCAGATACATACATAATGTTGTTTCTCTATTGTAAACCTATCCCAACAACCCTCCACAGCCCCAAGGCAAAAGCAAGAGTTGTTGGCATGGCTCCATGGGATCTGCCTCCTTATAAAGGAGGAGGGAGCATCTCAGTGTCCTTTACTCTGTTCTGTGACTGCTGCTGTGCTCACTTTCCATGCTGGTCCTCTGCTGTTCCACCTGCCGCCATCCAGACTTAAACACTGGAAACTGAATTATTTCCAGGACATTGGATTGTGAGTAATTTTACGTTTAGGAGTAACCTGTTCCTGTCTGATTTGAAGTTGCCAACCCATTTGCAGACTGTGGTATTGGTTCATGTTGACTTTTTTTTCCCCAGAGGTGAGGATGTTTCCTTCTTTTAAATCAGTACTGCTGGTCATTACACTGTCTGGCATGTGGGCCCAAGACCTTTATGAAGAGAAGAAAAATTACAAGAAATCCAGGGCCAAACCCCTGCCTGCAGGCATTCATGATGGCCAAGGTGAGAAAACAAGCACAGCAACTGAAATATACGAATAATAATTACTTATGTTGTTACAATAAATCAGTGCTTCACTATCATTAATGTAATCTCGTTATCTGTATTATATTTAATCTATAATATCCTTGTAAAACACCACTATTATGTGACTGTTGTACTCCTCTGCACTTTAAATCTATGTGTCATAGATTTGTTAATGTGTTAAGAAATGAATATCGAAATAGCCAGGACTATTTTCCTATCCCTAAAAGAGTTGTTTTCTGTGCTCATAGCCATCCTTGATGAGGACTGTAGCTTGGAACTCTCCTTCTTGTTGGACAGTTCTGAGAGTGCAAAGGACAATCATGAGCAGGAAAAGCAGTTTGTTCTAGGTATGGTGGACAGACTCCAAGGTGCACGGCTGCAAACGGGTCGCAGACTGAGCTCCAGGGTGGCTCTGCTGCAGTACAGCAGTCATGTTATCAAGGAGCAAACCTTCAGAGACTGGAAAGGCGCAGAGAACTTTAAAAACCGAATCGCCCCCATAGTGTACATCGGTCATGGCACTTACACCACCTATGCCATCACCAACATGACCCAAATCTACCAGGAGGAATCCAGACCTGCTAGCACCAAAGTAGTAGTGCTGCTCACAGATGGTGCGTCCCACCCAAGGAACCCAGACATTTTCTCTGCAGTCACCGATGCCAAGAACCAGGGCATCAAATTCTTCACTCTGGGCATCACCCGGGCTGCCAACGAGTCCGTCAACAAAGAAGAGCTCCGTCTGCTTGCCAGCTCCCCTGCCTCCCGCTTCCTCCATCATCTACAGGATGACGGCATAGTGGAAAAAATCTTCACACAAGTTGTGAGTATAATACCTTTCAACAGAATCGAGATGTATTTGCTTTGAATAATAATCTCTTTAGAATGTACACATGGACAGACATGTTCAGGTATTTCTGTAGAGATGGAACGATGACAATAGTCAAGAGAGACAAATGAGATAATGTGCCTGACAGATCTGGATTTAACCTTGTTAAGTTGTTTGACATGTGAACTTTGTTTGAACAAAACTACAGACTGTGCATTATGCTTTGACATGTCTTGAGACGTACACTTTATTCATGAATCATGATTCATGATATAGCATAGCTTACGTTAAGGCTCCAAAACTTCCATTATAATACCTACACTGATGTGAGAATGAAACTAAATAAGAACCTGTATCTTTCTTTCTTTTTTTTTGCAGACTGCTTTAGCTGATGAAGGAGTAAGTACTGGTGTAACTACTAGCTCATATATTTAATCAGATATTTAGAACAGTGCCGTTGGGTTTGACAAACACCTCTTTTTTATTAAGTGTCCCCTGGCCCAAAGATGTGCTTGTGAGAAGGGAGAAAAAGGACCCAGTGGGCCTGCGGTGAGTATTCAGGCTACAGCTTTTTATAAATACCTTGTCACATAAAGAAGTTTCTTTTGAAATGTCACAAACCTCCGTCAGGTGGAAAGGATTAGAGATTTCCAAACTCCTGTGCAACAACATAAGTATATCAGGATGGGTGATTGTCGTTTGTTTGTTAGACAAGATAATTGCATAGTATGTCAGTATAGCTTCCAGGCTTCCAGGCTTCCAAGCACATATCATGGTAAGACTTGGAAAAAAGACACTATATTTCAATCACATTGTCTCTTTTTTAAAATCTTTTTCTTACGTTCTTACGGGGTCATGGGGGTCTGGAGCCTATTCCAGCTGACAATGGCTGAGAGGCGGGGTACACCCTAGACAGTTCGCCAGTCCATCGCAGGGCCCTTTTTATTACTTTACAAGCACTTTTTCATCCAGTGCCCTTTTCATGTAATGTAAAACATCAGCCGTGGAAACCAAAGATCCCACATGAAAAGCTCTACTACCTTTAGAACCAGGCCTTTGGCCATCATAAATCTCACACATGACCCCAACTGTGGGGTCGTCAGTTGGAAAAATCTGCATGGTGCCTCACACACCCACTCACACCTTTTCACATGTCAATCAAGCTCACATTCAGTCCCCGCCCCTCCTCAGATTACAGGCAGCTCAGTAACGGTCAAGCTCTGTGGTAGACAATCATGTTGCTGACAGACAGCTGTGTGACCAGGTGCTTTCACCTCTGAGAGATTCTTCAAATTCTTACACTCAGACTAAGGGGCTCGTATAATTGCTCTCATTAGTTTAATGGTCAGAAACTAGTGATTTCTGGTGAACAACAACTGACGCATGCTGTCCAGGTGCACAACAGAGACTGTTGGCCACGAGAACAAGATACCTCACATTTTAAAACCCGAACAGTCAGACAGCTCTGTCAAACATCACCCTACTTCCTGTTAGTCTCCAACAATGCCTGTCCAGAGAGAGGAAAAATGTCCATTTTGGTCTTGCACAAGGTTGTGGGCCATGTTGATATTTATTCAAAGATATTGTAGTAATCATTAACAAGATAAGGAAATGTCACACACAAAAACTAATCAAATATCAACCCTGATTTTGTTTCATTATCCAGGGAAAGAAAGGTCGTCCTGGTGATGATGGCGCTCCGGGGCAGAAAGGGCAAAAGGTGTGGTTCCTTTTATAGTCATTTGAGGTAGCTTGTGGTTCACTCAGTGGTCATTCAAAGATTGCCAAGTTTTGCTAATAAATTCTTAGGATTTTGGTAATGAGTAAATCTATTATAAAAATTGAGAGACACAGTACATGGTAAATGTTTCACAAATTAAACATGAGTTGTCAAAGCTCACTTCTTAACTGAGCTTTATTTACCTCTATCATCCTTTTTCCAAGCCACTGAGATCACCTGACTAATCACTTTCATGTATCTATTTTTTGTTTTCTAAACTTTTTCATGAAATTCACTGTATGGTCTTTAAAAACATGTTAACTGACATAATAAACCTGTGTTATATGCCATATTAGGGTGAAGCAGGATTAAGTGGGGTTCCTGGGCGAGAGGGCAGTGAGGTAAATGCCTTTACTCAGATACATGATAGGAAGTTTAAAAAGTAATCAATGTTACTGTAGTTTGTTTTCAACTAAAATTGTTGCTTTTTTTTTTGTTGCTGTTCTCAGGGAAAACCAGGTTACAAAGGAGACAAGGTATTTACATTTCTGAAAAAAATAGGCATTTTGTCTCTTGGACAATTCAAACTTGAGTAATACGTACATTTCTGCACAGGGTGACAGGGGGGAGTGTGGCACTCCAGGAGTCAAAGGAGAGCGGGTACGATGGCACACAACACCTTGGATATCAATTTTTTTATCCTGTTTCAATGTGTTTACTTTATGGCTCCACACATCTTTGTGTAAAATGCTCTAGGGTGCAGAGGGTTCATCTGGAGGAAGAGGACCAAGAGGTCTGCAGGTCAGTATTAGTTCCTGTGTTTGTAGTGCTTCACCATTAGTTTTAAAACTGTATGGAAGAGCAGCTGATAAAGCAGCAAAAGAAATGGGTATACATAAAACCTGAATTACCATAATTCATAATGAAAGGGAAACTGACTGAAAAATGGCATTCACACATCTTTTTGTTGATGTGTGTCGATGAGTGTATAATCTTGTTGCTCAGGGTTTACCAGGACCACTGGGAGACATTGGACCAGAGGGCCCTCAGGGAAAGCAGGTCAGCCTTTTTTTGACATCTTTTACTTACCTCGTCGTGCACATCTGCTGTGACTTTCACATCTCCTTTTATGATAAGTCTGAACAACAGGTTGGAGCTTCAGCACCTCAATATTAACCCTGCAGCAAAGAGGCCTGTTTGTCTTTAAATGGACCCTTGTGTGACAATCTGGCAACGAGCCAGATTCTTCCCCATCATTACAGTTTTTCATTCAAAAACACCTCATTTTAGGCTATCCTGAAGAACTGTATCCTGCTTCTAAATACAGACTAACCAAGCCCACAGCATTATCAGCCTATCTAACAAGGTCTGCAGTTAATTACATACATGGAAAGTCTGTGTTGGAGTTTCTCACGATTTAAGGACCTGAAGGCACTCTTTAAATAGGTTAACAGTCTTGGTGGTCCCTATGTAGTATTTTATGTTACCTTCCTTACAAAGTCCCATAATATATACATATATATATATGCAGCTCAGCTTGCATTTGTATGAAAAAAGTCGCATAGTGTTTTGTATTTTGGGATTAGCATGTGGCGAGAGCAGTGTGGATCTGATTTTGAATCTTTTGGATGTAAACACACTGAAAGTTGCGGCTTGTTACAGGTATCCCTGCTAACAAGCAGACTGTGCTTTGTTGAAGAAAATATCTACTGACATATACTGACGTATAAGAATCTTATAAAAAGTAACCTTATTTACTTTGCACTTTGTTTTTTTCAAGTAGATTGTGTTGCCCCCTGCTGCCCATAAGAAAAATGTCACCTCTGGTGACTTCATTTTCAGACCTGAAGTCCACAGAAACCTTTTATTTAAAGTCTGTAGATGGCACATCTAACCATGTTACATTTGCGTATTCAGGGAGAGCGGGGCCCTCCTGGCCCTCCAGGAATTCAGGGGGAAACTGGTATTGGACGTCCTGGACCAAAAGTAAGTAATTGTTATGGATAAACATTTATAAACATTTGAATGTTCTTTGTAAGTTTTTATGGACCATCGTTTTCTTTTGTGTTTGCCTCTTAAATTTTGTCACAATGGAAATGTGCAGGGTGACATAGGATTTCAGGGGCGTCTAGGTCCTCCCGGTCCCCCAGGTATTGGTGAACCTGGCCCTCCTGTAAGTTATAAACCATCAATGTGTTTCATTTTTATTTCTTTAAAATCTCATATATGTGCTATCATATGGATATTTTTTTATGTGAATATGTTTTTTGACAGGGACCTCAAGGACAACAAGGGGTTCAAGGAGAGAAAGGACTTCAAGGAGAAGGGCTTCCTGGACCAAAGGTTATTTCAAGTATATTGCTAGAATTGAAAATAAGAAAGAAAAAAAAATACAAAACAAAATTAACCAAGTGAAACTAACTTAAACAAATAATAAAGTGAAATAAAACACAAGTGTTTTGGGCATGGATTCGCCAAGCAGAGGCAAGACATTCAGCTCATCCTGTTCTAATGTCAAAATCATCTTTGGGGGCTGCCAATATTTACAGATAGAGGCTAGATTGATTTCAAATAATGTTTCATCTAAATTAGCCTTTAATAAAGCTTAAAGTATCATATTCAGCAGAAATAACTTTCCCATGATATATTAATTGTGACTAGCCTAGTCTGATTGTAACTGCACTTGTCAATTCGTCAAAATCAGTCTCTGTTCCAATTCACTGAGTCACAAATCATGTTCACTGATGTGTGTTATTAAGCCAATAAAAGCCCAAGCTTCAACACGTTGTACCAAGCAACTCACAGCAAGGTTTTCTTGGTGACACTCACAGGCAAATAAGACAGGTAGCAATACTTAGATTAACACTGATGGCAGATGGTTTTATTGAATAGCTACAAAGAAAACTTCCAGAGGAAAGTGAACCAAAAAGAAACACACTAAACCCAACACAAACCCACTAAAGTCTTTCCTGTTGTATGGTAAAACAAAAGATGTCTGTAAATTTGAAAAGATCATTTGTAAGCGTGATTATTGAAGATTTAAAGTAAATGAAATGCATCTGAACTTTTACTTGTTTACAAAAACAAACATTCTCAAGCTGCTTCACATCTGTTAAACCTGTGCAGAACACTTTGACTCCTTCATCTTTTTTCTGCATTCAGCATCTTTATCAAAGAGTCCTTCTCCAGTTATCAGTATTTTTATTATATACTTAATTGTAGGAATAAGTTTTAAAAATGATATGCACAATTCATAGTATTTGCAATTATTTTGCATCATCATTAGCAGCGGGAGCCAACATGTTCTTTTTTTCCACACTCTCTTTTGGGATAATAATTCACATCTGGCTGTTTCCCAACTCATGCAGCTGTTATGTTCTGTACCTAACAGAGTCAATCTGGTTTTAATCCACAGGGGGATCGAGGGATTGCAGGACCGAGAGGGCCTAGGGGACAGCAGGGTGCAGGCATCAAAGGAGAAAAGGTGGGTTGTAAAATAATTTAATAAGGAAAATTCACTGCAACACGTACACAACAAAGACACAAATGATACCCTGGGGAGGATCTCAAATGTTCCTCTGGGATACAGATATAATGATGTCTTAACAGTACACTTAGTAAGACAAAGAAACATCTGCTTGTTATGCAGTCACTGGTGGTTTTAACTAAATGTGGTGTTTTACTTCCAGGGTGAGTTAGGGCCACCAGGTCATCCTGGGCCCACTGGACCAACAGGATCTGGCATACAGGGGGAGAAGGTTAGTGGGACATCTTTTGCTCAATGTTTTTGGCTAAACAGCATATACACTGAAACATAACAATTAAGTTTCATATTGATATTTTACAGGGAAATGAGGGCCCAAGAGGTCCACCGGGAGTGAGAGGAATACCAGGGGAGGGTTTACCTGGACCCAAGGTTTGTTTTTAAAGACCCATAAACTTCATGTAAGGCTCACATAGTGTGACACTGAAGAGCGAGTTTTTAGAGTATCTTTGATTTATATCCACAAGTAGTTTCAGATCAGTAGATATCCAAATTTTCTTTTGTCAACCATAAGACTGGCAGAGCCCAACAAAGCTGCTGAACATGATAGCAAAATGTGTTAATGTGTAAAGTGGTTATCAAAGATTGGGTTATACCCTGATTTAGTGTTGATATACATAATACATAATGTAGGATTTTAGAGATTTCAACAAGAAAAACTGGACATTATCTTAATTACTTTTATTGCCAGAAGAAACATCCGACTGTATTTCATTCCAAGTCCCAATCTTTGTTAATGACTTCATTCACAAAACCTCAGAACTGTCTTGTTTCGTTTGTCATTGTGATCAATATTTCATGCGACCTCTTTTCTCAGGGAGACCAAGGCTTACCAGGAGAACAGGGAGCTCCAGGAGAGAGAGGCATTGGTGAATCAGGTGCAAAGGTAAAAAGTGATTGCCCAAAGAAAAGCTTCAATCCTGAACATGGTCAATGGTTTATGTGTGCATGACGAGAGTGTCAAAAACGTCATCTTCTAAAAGAGAAGAGAAAATGCCTGTTGCTGTTAAAGGGAGAACCAGGAGCTGCAGGACTCGGTGGTCTACCTGGTCTTCCAGGAGAAGACGGAGCTCCAGGACAAAAGGTAGAATACGTATGACCAGGAACCCCTTTTTGTGTTTTAGAAAACTGGAAATATCCACAACAATGCTGAGATTAAATGTTTATTAAAGGGACCTTTCCAATGCAGTACAGCTAGAATCCTTGTAGAAAAGTTTTCTTTAATTCCTTTAGTTCTTTAGTTCTTCAGTTCTTTGTATTCTTCATTGAATATTTGTTGTCTGTTGTTCCATTTTCTGTCAAGATGATCCCAAATCCCAAAGAGATACTCCAATTGTATCTCTCTACTTTGTTATGATAACAGTGCTCACAATTCTTTAGTGTACAAAATATTTTACTAATGGCTCTTTGGGAATCACCATGTTAGAGCAAAAGTAAACTGTCTTATCTTTGACATTTTTTGTTTAAAAAAAAATCAGAATTTAGAATACGCCACTAAAATCATAGTTCACATACATAGAATTAAAAAAAGAAAAGTTCAATTTTGTTTCTGTTAGGGGGAGCCTGGTTTACCTGGTTTAAGAGGCCCTGAAGGAACACAAGGAATTGGCATTCAAGGAGAGAAGGTACTTTTTAGATCAATATTATCTAGAGCACAACACACATTACAGCTGATATGCTGATAATGTCTGGGGTTCTGCCTCTCAGGGTGACCAGGGTCTCAGGGGCATCCGAGGGCTACATGGGCCTCCTGGGATCTCAGGACCTTCTGGACCTAAAGTAGGGATTAACACATCTAAATATGACAATATCATGCTGTAATAAGATAGCTTGAATTCTTGGAAATGCACAATGTTCCATTTATTGCTCATTGATTTATGCTACCCCAACCCAGTATTTGTACAGAGCGAACATTTATGCTGTCATGTGTTGTTTGCAGCACAGCAAACATGCATTAACTGGATCCTGTGTCTCTTGCCAACTTTGATGTTTTAGGGTGAACGAGGCATTCCAGGCCCACAAGGCATACCAGGGCAACCAGGACGTTCTATATCAGGTCCAAAGGTAAAATAAATAAAAATCTCATCATTAAACTGTCTACTACCGTCAGTCTTGGCAGGTAGCCAGAAGAAGTGTCAAATAGAAATGAAGCAATGCAAAACACCGTTGCCATGAGTCACCAGTATGTCTGTTGTCTCATGTTCAGGGCGATGTCGGTCCTGCTGGTCCTCCAGGTGCTATTGGAGAAACAGGTCTTGGACTACCTGGTCCAAAGGTAAATGTACACATGGATGGAAGAAACATCTTGCTCATCTCTCTAAGTATTTATTTACTTTCCACTGTGTTATCGTTCCTCATCAGCTAAACTTATTTTCACAGGGTGATCGTGGCCTTGCAGGTTTACCTGGTCCTGTTGGTCCAAAAGGTGAAGGCATCCAGGGCCCAATGGTTTGTATAATCAAACAAAACAGTAAAAGTGATGAAAATCTGTACATCGCTTTCTTCTGTAAACCATGGACTTTCTATGACAGCAATGAATCCTGTTATTCCCAGGGTCCTACAGGTATGCCAGGCTTACCAGGTGAGCCCGGTTCAGAGGGAGTAGGTATTCCTGGTCCAAAGGTTGGTGTCTTTACACAGTTTCTTATTCTCTTTTTTTAATCATGACTTTATTGGAAATCTTAATTTGATAATGGCATGTATATTTCAGGGAGACATAGGCTACAGAGGGTTGACAGGCTTGCCCGGCCCACCAGGGGAGGGCTTGCAAGGCCCACCGGTAAGAGAAACTACAGTCAGGGCCAGAAATATTTGGACAGCAACACAGTTATCCTCCTTTTCCACCCTATACCCCACCACAATGGATTTGAAATAAAACAAACAAACTGTGCATTAACTGTAGACTCTCAGCATTAATGTGAAGGTGTTAGCATCCAAATCACATTAACAGGATTGAAATAGCAACAGTTTTTGTATGTTTTGCCCACTTTTCAAGGGATCAAAAGTAATTGGACAATGGGCAAGAAGGGCTGCAATTGACTCAGAAGGTGTCTCCCTCGTTAACCTGTAATCAATTAAGTAGTTAAAAGGTCTGGGGTTGATTCCAGGTGTGTGGTTTTGCATTTGGAAGCTTGCTGTGACCAGACAATATGCGGTCAAAGAAGCTCTCTATTGAGGTGAAGCGGAACATCCTGAGGCTGAAAAAAAGGAAAAAATCCATCAGAGAGATAGCAGACATGCTTGGAGTACCAAAATCAACAGTCTGGTACATTCTGAGAAAAAAGAAATTCACTGGTGAGCTTGGGAATTAAAAAAGGCCTGGGCGTCCACGGAAGACAACGGTGGTGGATGATCGCCGCATACTTTCTTTGGTGAAGAAGAACCCGTTCACAACATCTACTGAAGTCCAGAACACTCTCAGGGAAGTAGGTGTATCTGACTCCAAGTCAACAGTAAAGAGAAGACTCCATGAAAGTAAATACAAAGGGTTCATGTCCAGATGCAAACCATTAATCGAATCTAAAAATAGACAGGCCAGAGTTGAATTTGCCAAGAAACACCTAAAAAAGCCAGCCCAGTTCTGGAAAAGCATTCTATGGACAGATGAGACCAAGATCAACCTGTACCAGAGTGATGGGAAGAAAAAAGTTTGGAGAAGAAAGGGAACGGCACATGATCCAAGGAACACCACATCCTCTGTAAAACATGGTGGAGGCAATGTAATGGCATGGGCATGCATGGCTTTCAATGGCACTGGGTCACTTGTGTTTATTGATGACATAACAGCTGACAATAGTAGCCGGATGAATTCTGAAGTGTGCCGGGATATCCTTTCAGCCCAGATTCAGCCAAATGCTGCAAAGTTTAATGGACGGCGCTTCACAGTACAGATGGACAATGACCCCAAGCATACAGCGAAAGCTACCCAGGAGTTCATGAAGGCAAAAAAGTGGAATATTTTGCAATGGCCAAGTCAATCACCAGATCTTAACCCACTTGAGCATGCATTTCACTTGCTCAAAACCAGTTTTCAGACAGAAAGACCCACAAACAAGCAAGAACTGAAAGCTGCGGCTGTAAAGGCCTGGCAAAGCATTAAGAAGGAGGAAACCCAGCGTTTGGTGATGTCCATGCAGTCCAGACTTCAGGCAGTGATTGCCTCCAAAAGATTTGCCACAAAATATTGAAAAAAAACTTTTTTGTTTGGGTTATGCTTATTTGTCCAATTACTTTTGAGCTCCTAAAATGTGGATTGCTTGTAAAGAAATATGTACAATTCCTACATTTTCTATCAGATATTTTTGTTTAACCCTTTAAATTAAACGTTACAACCTGCACTTGAATTCTGTTGTAGAGGTTTCATTTCAAATCCAGTGTGGTGGCATGTAGAGCCCAACTCGTGAAAAATGTGTTACTGTCCAAATATTTCTGGCCCTGACTGTATCTGCCATACAGTAGAATAACTATTCATATCTGAATCATGGCTATTAATTGATAACTGTACATTAATGACTCATGCATGTTCATTTCAATTGTTGTTAAAGGGCAATATTGGAAGACCAGGGCCTCCTGGTCCAGTTGGACCTGCTGGAGAAGGTATCCAAGGTCCAAAGGTAAATCATTCTTTAGCTTTGATGCACCAGCAGTGAACCAGACATCATGCTCTTGATTGGCACTGAAGTGTTACACACTTAACCTGCCTCAAATGGCCTCAGGATAAAATATGACATACATTTCTCATAAGTTGGGAAGTTATCCGTATGATTCAGAAAATCTACAATCTAATTTCAGGGTGAGCCAGGAACTCAAGGCATGACTGGGCCAAGAGGACCTCAAGGAGAAGGGTATTCTGGACCAAAGGTGATGCACTTGGTGTTGCCTTTAAATATCTTATCAGTATTGAAATAACTGAACTCTGACTGAGAAATAACCTTTTTGTTGTGACAGGGTGACCGTGGTTCACAGGGTGAAAGGGGAATTAAGGGTACAAAAGGAGACATGGGAGATTCTGGAGTTCCTGGTGAAGTGGTAAAAATCAAATAAGTGTTAAGAGAAATGCACTGCAGGATCATGAGAAAGTACTTAGTGATGAACTCCACACAGTGCCTGTAACATCCTGCAACTATTTTTACGAACACCCTCAGCCTGACACGGTAGCTTTCTATCTTTCTTGACTTTCAGGGACGACCAGGGACAAAGGGAGAGCCAGGACTTACGGTGGGTTCCCTAAATTTACTATTTTTTTACCTTTAAAAAATTTAAAGACTTTCATCTCATTTTAAATTCTCACATTTTTCAGAGAGATGACATCATTAAGCTGATTAAAGAAATATGTGGTAAGACTACAAGCCAAAAGCTTACAAAGAGCAAACCTTGCCACAGAAACAAAGTTCATGAAACAAGAATGAAATAATAGCCAAAACAGGTGAATGGCCCATTGAGCAGACAAATGAAAACAAAAAAAAATAGAAAACATTCAAAGTAAATGTTGGCTGCTCAGAGCCAGGTATGTATCACAGCAACAGAACAGCACTGGGAATGCTGGATTCAAAATCAACAAGAAGTACAAACTAACAATAAAAAGATAAAACCCCTTGTCTTGTTGGACCAAAACATGGGTGAGCACAGCTTAAAGCTGACATCAGGCAAAGCTCTCAAATGCAACTGTATATTATTTTCAGGATGTGGCATCAAGTGCAAAGAAAGGCCAATGGAACTTGTCTTCGTCATTGACAGCTCAGAGAGTGTCGGCCCAGAGAACTTTGAGATTATCAAAGACTTTGTGACAAGGTTGGTGGACAGGACCACAGTTGGACGCAACGCCACTAGAATCGGAATCGTTCTCTACAGTCTTGAAGTCCGTTTAGAGTTCAACTTGGTTCGCTACATCAGCAAAGAAGATGTCAAGCAGGCCATTAGAAAAATGCCTTATTTGGGTGAAGGAACTTATACAGGCACTGCTATCAGAAAGGCTACTCAGGAGGCCTTCTTCAGCACTCGGCCCGGAGTAAGAAAAGTAGCTGTTGTCATTACTGATGGGCAGACGGACAAACGAGAGCCCGTCAAGCTTGACACAGCTGTCCGAGAGGCTCATGCAGCAAATATTGAGATGTATGCTCTGGGGATTGTCAACTCTTCTGATCCTACGCAGGTTGAGTTCCTGCGAGAACTCAACCTCATTGCCTCTGACCCGGACAGTGAACACATGTACCTTATCGATGACTTCAATACCCTTCCAGGTGACAATCCCATTCAGATTACGTATACGGCTCTCTTTCATGGTGGAAAATAATTAGATTAATCAACCTCTGATTTCCTTTCTCAGCGCTGGAGTCCAAACTCGTCAGCCAGTTCTGTGAGGATGAAAATGGCGCCCTCATTTACAATCGCATCACAAATGGAGCCTGGAATGGCAACAGTGGCAACAGAATTAATGGAGAGAATACTAATGGAAATATGCACTATGTCAGTAATGGTCATGGGAAGGAAAACAATGCATATGGGAGTAATTACAAAGAGGAGATCCCAAATCAGAGACGCACCAGCAGCCAAGGACGTGGTGACACTTTCACTCTGCCAATCAGTGCTGATCCTCTCCCACTTCAGGTCTTTGCTTAATTCATCTCTTACATTAGTATACATATATTACACTGTTTGTGTTGTCTCTACTGATGGTGGCAATTGATCCCAATAATCAGACATTATAACGTTGCTTAACTCTAGGTGGTAGAAGATGATGAAGGGGAAGATTTAGACTTAAAGGCCTACATACAGGGTGGCAACACGGTGTCCGCATTCAACAAAACAACACCGACATCACGTGAGAGTGACAGTTCAGTCTCCTCTCAGACAGTATCATCATCAGCGTCGTCTTCATCTGTAGCATCAACACTGGGCTTTAAGGAATTCCAGCCCTTGGTGAGTCCAGTCCTGCCCGAAGGTGAGTATTGAACTCCAGCATCCTCTATCACTCTCATGGACTGAGCAGCAATTTAGACAAATTAACAAGAAGCCAAAATCAATTACATATCTGACTCATCAGTGATGAATGCAACACATTATAATTGTCTTTTTTTTCATTGATTTGAAGCCTGTTGATGAGCAATATAGGACAATGTTTACAGTTATTGCCGTAAGTTGGTCTTGTATACCGCACCAACACTGATTATCTCTTCTCCAGAGGTCCGTCCTCTTGATCCGCGCTGTAATCTCACCTTGAGTCAAGGCACTTGCCGAGAATACGTTATCCGCTGGTACTACGACGCACAGGCCAACGCCTGTGCACAATTTTGGTACGGAGGCTGTGGCGGAAACGCCAACCGCTTTGAAACCGAAGAGGAATGCAAGAATACGTGTGTTCTCCTCAAAACAGGTTAGGAGTTTTTTTTTAATTTCACTATAAACGTGCCTTTTTCTGTTTTTGTTTTTGTTTTTTTTACTAAATACAATTCTGTGATTTCTCTTTCAGATGGATAATCATGTTTTATTTAATGATGGGTTATCACTTTCGCCCAGCAAATTCAATGCACTTTTCCAATACCATGGTCCTTGGACACATAAGCAAGTTGTGCTCAAATTCAAAGACATCTGACAGAATTTCAGAAATACTGATTATGTATAGAAGTACATTTGACTGCTTTATTATTCAGGTAAACTATACAGATTATGCTTCATACACCAGGAGATGAGTCTGACCATCTCCAATGTTGCTTTTGTTGTGTGTTTTTTCTAAATGTGCATTCAAGTTATCAGTGGCAGCTGTGATTTAGGGCCTTTCTGTTTTGATGCTGCTTTGAGAGGTTTTCTTCAGTTATACTGTGATGAAAATTAAGGTTTTCCTAAAATCTGAAAAAGGTCTCTATTTCTGGGCACTGTGTGTAAATCTGAATGAATTTTCTCTTTTTATACTTTTATAATAATAAAGAATTAATAAAGAAGTGTAATGTTTTGTGTGCTTGCTAATCTGTGTTTTATTTTTACTGGGTTGGTAGTAACAGAAACAATAGATAACTTTATTCCAAAGAACTGCAAAGGAATCTGCACATTTCTGGCTTCCCGGCTTCTTCTCCACCTGTTGGATGCAATAAAGTCATAAAGACAAATATCAGTCTTATTCAAGCAAATGTGCTGTCATATTGCAAAAGCAGATACTGCCACACTTATGTCTATGGTAAAACTGCTACAGTACCTAACAAGAAGAAGGCTGCACATTTCTTATGTACTATGGTTTTCATATAAAATTAAAAACAGACAAACCACTTTCCGTATTTTAATGTAAGACTTGATGCTATCTTGCAATATAATTAATAAAATTGTTCTTCAATGTGCTGTCAAGTTGTTATTATTTTTACGTTATTATCACGAGTTAGGTCTTTTGGTCCCTTTGGCTTGCCGTCTGTTGCCACGGTGATAATGACGCCTTGCAGTTTTTGTCAGATTAGCGTGTTCAATCTAGGCTAGTTCACCAGTTCTTTTTCTTTGTTTTTTTTTGTCAAACCAGGGAGTTTTCTAACGTTTTATCATGGCGTCTGCGTTAGATGCTCTCTGGGAAGACAGAGACGTCAGATTCGACATCACAGCACAGTAAGTTAACGAAACTGAGAATATTTAATCGTCGTTCAAGTTAGCTAGTTCACCTATCGACAAAGCTAAGTGGCTAGACTAATGTCACAGTCTTGCCTCTACTAACTGATCTGCCAATTATGATACATTTATTTAATCTCAAATTAATCCAGGAAAGTACGTCTTTGGATAGCTTTATATATCTGTTTCTTTTCAGTAGGCAGAACTGATATCCAATTATCAATATGATAACCCCTCTCGTACACAGGCAGATGAAAACTCGTCCAGGGGAAGCGCTGATAGATTGTCTGGACTCAATTGAAGACACGAAAGGAAACAATGGAGATCGAGGTGCTTTTGGCTTCCATTTTGACCAGTTGTGAGTTTTTATTTGGCTAAAACATGAGGTCATTGTCTGCTTTTGCAGGACGACTCTTGGTAACAAACCTGAGAATCATCTGGCACTCTTTGGCTCTGCCAAGAGTAAACTTGTGTGAGTACACTTGAGCTGGACATAATCAAATGAATTAAACTTATCACAATTCAAGATTTATTGGACTACAGATTTAAATGTTTCTTTGTTCTGATTTAAAATAATTTGATGTTAAAACACTGGAAAATATATGGCTCAATTACTAGCTCACTGACTATACTTGAACCCTATCTAAATTAACTTGTTTTTTTCAGCTGTCGGCTACAACTCCATTATTAACATCACAACGAGGACAGCTAACTCAGTAAGCAAACCTGTCTTTTACTTTTGTATATAGGAGATAGATTATTTACAGTATTGGACATTATCCTTCGATATACAATATTTTATTATTTTCAGATAGATGTTGTAAATGTTATCTTTAACATAAATAACATAGACTTAATTGCTCTCCTCAGAAACTTAGAGGCCAAACTGAAGCCCTCTACATCCTAACAAAGTCCAATAACACGAGATTTGAGTTCATTTTCACAAATCTGGTCCCAGGAAGTCCAAGACTCTTCACCTCTGTGATTGCTGTTCACAGGTAAAACAGCACTGAGCTTTATTTTTCATTCTGAATACATCTTAATCCAATTGATGTGTCAGTAAAGATTTTTTTTTAATATTCTATGGATTGGTACAGAGCTTATGAGACTTCAAAGATGTACCGGGACCTGAAACTGCGAGCTGCTCTCATTCAAAATAAGCAGCTGAGACTTTTGCCTCGAGAGCAGGTGTATGATAAAATCAATGGTGTTTGGAATCTATCCAGTGATCAGGTACTGATGTTTTTCAGGTTTGCTCAATGTCTATAATTATATTATGAATTTGTTCCAAATTTGATTCTTATTCGCTTTGGTAAAAATTCATACTCGCCTGACCTTTCTTTCTTTCAGGGGAACCTCGGAACATTCTTTATTACCAATGTTCGCATTGTATGGCACGCTAACATGAACGAGAGCTTCAATGTCAGCATTCCATACCTCCAGATTGTAAGTCCAGTCAAAATCATGTGATGCTAAGTGACACAGCTGACATACTATTAATGCTGTTTGATTTATTAAACGTGCTGATTTTTCTCTCCCCAAGTGGTCGATCAGAATAAGAGACTCAAAGTTTGGCCTTGCTCTGGTGATAGAGAGCTCACGACAGGTAACTGTCATTGGACATAATCACACTGTACATCCTTTTTTTCTTCAGTCTAACTTCCTGTGAAATGCTTCATTCACTGCCTTTGTGGTCTTAGAGCGGAGGGTACGTTCTTGGGTTTAAGATCGACCCCGTGGAAAAGCTTCAAGATGCGCTCAAAGAGATCAACTCTCTGCATAAAGTGTACTCCGCCAACCCAATTTTCGGAGTGGACTACGAAATGGAGGAAAAAGTAGGTCCACAGTGTTAGAACCGCTGAGCCCCTCACAAGCCGGCACTGACAGTGCTCTCTGTTTTAATTTGGAATAAACAGCTGCGAGCATTCCTCTGAATACCTCTGGCTTTTGATGCAGTTCAACTGATCGCGTTGTCATAGTGCTGTTTGTCCTAACAATGATTTCAGCCCCAGCCGCTGGAAGAGCTCACGGTCGACCAGCCTCTTGATGACGTGGAAATTGAGCCCGATGAGCAGACTGATGCTTTCACCGTGAGTGTGCCCACCGAACATCCCTCCACCCCACTCCTCTGGGCAGGCTAAAGGTTTAGTTTTCAGACTCTTAGAATAGCTGTGAGCTAATGACCTTCAGCTACATGAACACACATGAATTCATGTTGCCTGGTGCTCAAGTTTTTTCTTGCTCACAAGACAACAATAGCCTGACATTACAATCAGAAAAAACAAAGTTATTTGTATGAATTCTGTTACTTACTTGTGTGTTCTGTCTTACAGGCCTATTTTGCTGATGGCAATAAGGTAAATTCTCTCATGTAATCACCATGACCATGAAATTGTTGATGTTTTGGTGTGTTGGAACCAAATTGACATTTTACGTAATTCCACAGCAACAGGACCGTGAGCCAGTTTTCTCTGAAGACCTGGGTCTCGCTATCGAAAAGCTGAAGGATGGCTTTACTCTTCAAGGGCTGTGGGAGGTGATGGGCTGAGACCACATAAAAAAACATGGTCTATCTATATATTTTGTTTGTACAGGCGTTAGACCATTTATTTATTTATAGTATCATATAAAAGGTGTACAGATTTTGTATAAATAGTTTTGCTGTAGATATGTATTTAAAATGACACAGACTGTAGTGGAGATAATTGTGTTGTATAGAGCATGTTTGTCAGCTGTTTAAAGTTGATCTTGTTTGATATGAATAAACTGTATGCAAGTAGAAGTTAGTGTTTACGTTTCATTAATCATACGTTTTCTACGGATTGCTGCTGTATGTTAAAGGAGCACAATGATCCAGGGCTAAAGACAAAGATGTGCTAGTATTTTAAAAATGTTTTTAGGACAAACTGTCTGCTCCCGTGGCAGCAGCTGTTCTCTGACCCCGTCTGCTAGTTAGGTGACTCCCCTCTGGATGTTTCGCAGACTAACACTGAGTCACACACACTGGAAGGGAAGTGATCATTGCTATCCATGAATCGTGAGTCATTTCGAGTGTACATATCTCCAGAATAGCTACAATGGTAGGAGATGTTAGCCATAGGCATAAACATAACTCAGTGCTGGGAGAAGTATTTAAACATGTGTCTCATGTTGTATTTTTTAAATAATCCTAAAACTGTTACAATTTTACCCTTCAATAAAAGGTGACAATCAAAGATCACGTGTTATTTCTGTTTGGCAGCGTAACAATATTGGTTCTAATCACTGGGGTGACAAGGCCCCACAGTTGTCTGTGCTTTATGACAGCTGGGTGAGCTCTCCCATTTGGCCAACCTGAATTCTTCCCAGATGGGGTTGTTGGCTATATTTAGAGGGGCACGGTTATATTGAAGTGGCCTCAGACCTGGCTGCCTGTAGTTCTCTGTCTTCAGCAGCTAGGACAATCGGTTTCAAACTGCCCGTCTTCCACCCACTGTCTTGAGAGAATGGATCCCCAAGGCCTGAGGGAAGATCTGCGCCTGTTTCAGAGCACTTTACTGCAGGATGGACTCAAAGAGCTTCTGAATGAAAATAAGTTAATTGACTGCATCCTAAAGGTTGGAGACAGAAGCATCCCCTGCCACCGGCTCATTCTGGCAGCATGTAGTCCATATTTCCGGGAGGTCTTCTTCTCTGAGGATGGTAAGGAGGTAGATAGGAAGGAGATTGACCTGGAGAACCTTGACCCTAACATTATGGAGGCGGTTGTAAGTTACATGTACTCAGCGGAGATTGACATCAATGATAACAACGTGCAAGAAATTTTGGCCGTTTCCAATCGCTTCCAGATCCCCTCGGTGTTCACCGTGTGTGTGAATTATCTCCAGAAGCAGCTGAACAAGAAGAGCTGCCTCGGTATCTACAGACTGGGACTGATGCTGAACTGTGCCCGGCTGGCCATGGCAGCTAGGGACTACATTGCTGACCGCTTTGAGATCATTGCCAAGGATGAGGAGTTCTTGGACCTCGCTCCACCTGAACTCTTTGCCATTGTTGGAGCTGATGCGCTGAATGTGGAAAAAGAAGAAACGGTGTACGAGACTCTCATGAAGTGGATAAGAAAGGACAAGGACAAGCGCGCGAAATGCTTGGAGGAGGCCTTCGAATACATCCGTTTCCGCCTGCTCCCAGAGAAGTACTTCAAGGAAAAGGTGGAGAAAGATGAGCTGATTAAGGCCGATCCCGAGATTCTCAAAAAGATCAAGGTAATCAAAGACGCGTTTGCCGGAAAGCTGCCGGAGACGACAAAGGGAAAAGATGACCCGGAGGGAGAAGAGGGCAAGCTGCCTGGCTACCTGAACGATAACCGCAGATATGGCATGTTTGCCAGAGACATGATCCTCATGATTAACGACACTGCCGCTGTGGCCTATGACGGCCAAGACAACGAGTGTTTTCTCGCCGCAATGGCAGAGCAAATCCCCCGAAACCACGTCAGCCTGGGATCCAAGAAGAACAACCTGTACGTACTGGGAGGGCTGTTTGTGGATGAGGAGGACAAAGAAACCCCCCTGCAGTGCTACTTCTACCAGGTAGAAAAACCTTTCCACGTCAACATAACGGGAACAGGCCAACGTCTCATGCTCTGCTTTTAAATGGTGTTAAACGTTGTTTGCAGTTGGACAGTCTCTCTGCTGAATGGATAGCTCTGCCGCCCATGCCTTCCCCGAGGTGTCTCTTTGCTATGGGGGAATTTGAAAATCTCATCTTTGCCGTAGCAGGAAAAGATTTACAGAGCAACGAGTCCCATGACACGGTCCTGTGCTACGACACAGAGTAAGTTCCACACTCTACCGCCTCAGTCCCATGTATTCTCACAGGTAGTCCAGTGCTTAACTCATTACCTGATTTGCATTTTTAGAAAAATGAAGTGGACGGAAACAAAAAAGCTGCCTGTGAAGATCCATGGCCACTGTGTGGTCTCTGACAATGGGCTGGTGTATTGTATTGGAGGAAAGACAGATGACAAGTAAGATTACAATGCTGAAACATTTCCCATCAAGCCAGAACATTGCTTTCCATTAACGTACTTGCCATCATTTTGTCTCCTGCTAAAGTAAAGCAACCAATAAGATGTATGCATACAACCACAAGAAGGCAGAGTGGAAGGAAGTGGCCTCCATGAAAACACCCAGGTCCATGTTTGGAGCCGTCATCTACAAAGGGAAGATTATCGTTGCTGGGGGAGTCAATGAAAATGGTTTAACAGCGTCATGTGAGGCCTATGACTTTGGAACTAACAAGTAAGTGCGGATAGAAACATACCAGTTGTTCTTTTAATGTCGACCACATGTGGTATTTAAATGTGTCATAAAATCAATGTTAAAGCCTTCTCATCTGCATATATTTTAGCTCTGTAGGTCCATCCTTTTTATCTGCGTTGACCTTTTTTAATGCAATATCCTCTAAGAAAAATTGCCATGCGCACTTCTTTGCAGGTGGTCACCTTTTACAGATTTCCCCCAGGAGAGGAGTTCAGTCAACCTGGTCAGCTGTGGGGGTCTGCTGTTTGCTGTAGGGGGCTTTGCCATGGTGGAGAATGACAAGAAGGAGTGTGTGCCCAGTGAAATCATTGACATTTGGCAGTACGTTTACATATTTACTCTGCATGTGTTGATTTTAGTACTTTTAAAGTCCTAATTTTTTTTTAAAAACAACTAGCTACTAGGTCTAAACGTGTGGACATTTCCTTTACAGGTATGAGGAGGACACCAAACAGTGGAGCGGCATGATCAGAGAGATGCGTTATGCAGCCGGAGCCTCCTGCGTCTCTTTGCGTCTCAATGCAGCTAAAATGCCAAAACTGTAACACTGGACTTTCACACAGGACACTGCCGCTGGACTGCTAACTGTGTGTGCACCGTCTTACTTAGAAATTAATTATGGTCAGCCATCGTATACGTGTCAGCGCTTTCCCTGTTAGGTTTGAAATGTATTAAAGTACATTATGGTTTATGTACCGATTTCTTCTCTTCACCCTTCTCTTCAATATTCACAGCAGTAAAATGATCTCGCCCACAAATTGGGTGTATTTGACATTTACACATCTTTCTTTGAAGTGCAACTACAAAATGTCTTCATTTTCTAACTCGAGTAACAGTGCAGACTGACAAACTTTAAACATCTTTCTTTTAGACTGATATCCAAATAAATCCCAGATTTTTAATTATAATGATTAATAATAATAATTTAATGTATTCCTCTTTTCTCAGAATCTGAGATTTCCCTTTCATGGTGGGGTGGAAAACAGAATATACAAGCATTTTATTTAAATTTCTAAATGTTATTTAATAGAAAACAATCATCTCACTCAACATGATCGAGGTAGATTTATGGCAACTTTAGACCGATAAAGAGCACTGTGTGTTCATTGTACGTTTTTAAAACACTTTATATTCAGTCACCTTCCCCAAAGCTTTCTGAAGCCCACAAAAAGCTCTCAGTCTTTAATGTAACTCTTCTCTCACTCTTTTATAAATAAGGCCATCGGGAAGAATGCTATCCCAGGATTTTCTTCTTCAGATACTTCTTCCAGTTTTCATGTGTTGATAGCTCCATTGAGTTCCATTCAAAGTGAGGGATCTGAAAAACGACAGACACCAAAGTCGTTACTTTGTCTCTCTGAGCACTTATGCTGATACCATGCAACCCTCTGGGGGATTTTTCGACAGCAGGACGAGAAAGGCTTAATCACCTGAACGACGCGGTATCCGAGAATTTCCAGGTGCCTCTTTCTCATCAAAGCTTCACCTTTCATGTGGTGGGAGTTTTTGCAGAAGAACTTTGAATCAAGGAAGTCCAAAGCGACACTGATAAAAACAAAAGCACACTGTTGAGCCACAACATTCAAACCACAGTACAGTGAAGAGAATACTGTGACGTTACAAAAAACGCTCTGCTGGAAAACTTGCTCTTGTTCTTAATGTGAGCTGTAGTCTGTTGTACTTCCACTCGCCTAAAATCATCCGGGGCAACGCCTGTGAGGATCTGCCTGCTTATTCCACCTCTGACTATAGCTGCTGCTTGCTAACTCTTGTGACTGGTACCTCTGTCTAACTGGGTGCCTGAAAGATAAGCCAAGCAAAGCTAAGGACGGTGGCTCGGCCTTAAAGTGCACAGGAATGACCTACCGCTGAGCTCCGGGAGGCAGCTCGTTCCTGCTGTTCTCCAGGGAGCTGGAGTCCCGGAGAACCGCTCCTCCGTCTGAGATCTGCAGCGAGCTGGGCTCTGTGTAAGGCAAAGGCCGCCCGTGTTTGTCCAGCTTGCACTCAAAGTCTAAAACAACAAAGCAAGGGATCACATAAAGGCTCTTTTTTTAAATGAACGCGTATCAGAGACCAGTGTTAAGGGACCGTGTCCCAACTGTTTGCTTCAAGCTAATCCACCCGCTTCAGCTAAACAACGCTCATCTGAGCAAAGCCAGTTCTTCTTTTGTGGACCTTCATTAGGACAAAATGTGCATACTCACCTACGGCGTAAAAATAAGGAGTGACAACTGCTACTTGGACAAAGTTGATGCCACCGAGAACTTCGCCAAGCATTTTGTGGATTTGCTGTTGTACAGGACTGATGCTGCCATTCCCTAAAAAAAAGAAGGGAAAAAAAGGGAAGAATAAAGGTCATTTAAAGGGGCTCGTAGCTCATAGCTCCACCTCCAAACCAAATGACCGGACGGCAGTTGGCCCTCTAACCTTTCCGGTGCTGCTGCTGGCAGTAGCGCTCATGAAACCAAGGCACCTGGAACTCTGGACACTCCAGACACACGGCGCGATTCAGCTCCATGAGACGGAGCCGTGTTCGCATATTGAGGGCGTTGGCCAGGGCTGTGAGGAGCAAAGGGAACTGTTAACGTCGCTCCCACTGAGCTGAGACCGCCCGCACATTCAGGTGGATGAGCACTGAGGCCGATACTTGGGACGTACTTTCCAGCTGGGAGTCCAGCTTTCCCAAAAAGCCGATGCTGAAGATTTCTCTGATGAGTTCTTCGGGAAAACGGTCAGCGACTGCCAGGGAGTAGGCCATCAGGACGAGCAGATGGGGGTCAAATGAGTCTAAAGGAACGGACGCACAAACGTCTGAGTTCAGGCTTGTGATGCGAAGTAAGGCTGCGAGGCTGCGAGGCTGACTCACCGATGTGTGGAGTGAAGCGCTTTATGCAGGCGTCATACAGCTCGTCGGCCTTCACAGGGTCATAGTTCAGCACAGAGAAGGGCAGCATGGTGGGATACGTTGCCGAGTGGTGGATCTGGAAAAAACAGAAACAGAATAGTTAGTTTAAAAAAAGACTCTCGGTTCAAATGTGTAGACGTCTTTTATGGCACCTGGTGGATTTGTTCAACGGCCACACTGGCGATTCTGTCCATCAGAGGGGGGCAGAGGTAATTTGTTCTGGTGAGGAAGAAGGCCAAGTCTGCCACGTTGGTCCAGTCCACTTGAGGGGTCATCCTCCTCAGCGTGGCCATGGCCTCCTCCAGCAGCATCTCCTCGAACCACTCCCCGGAGACGTGGCGGAGCTCCTCCAGCACCAGCTCCAGCTGGTCGGCCGTCCGCAGCCGCTCGTGGCCGCAGCGGCTCAGCGTCTGCAGCAGCCGGACGTACTTGCTGTGGGTGCTGTGGCGGTAGGACGGATCGTTTCGGATCCACTTGGCGACGGCGAAAGAGATGGTGTTGAGCTCACCGAGGTTGCACTGCGTGACGATGGCGTCTATGCGAGAGACCACGCTCTCGTCCAGCCGCGGGCTGGGCAGCGTGGACAGCACCCGGGTCAGCATGGTCACCTCGTAGGGGTAAAAGCTGTGCTGCAAAAAGCTGCCGGATAAAGACCACTCCGTCAGCTCCTCATTCAAAACAAACCGGACCCCCCCCCGCCAAACACTTACTTGATCAAAATGTTTCTCAGTGTCGCGAAGAGTTCCGGGTTCTGGTACTGCAACAGAAAAAGGGCCTGGGTGATTCTGGCCACCTCCACCGACTTGTAGGTGTGAAGGCTCTTTTTGACTACTGATGCAATTCTGTAAAATAAAATAAAAATCAGCTCAGATGTGCTGTTGGAAAAGGTAAAAAAAAAAAATATATATATACATATATATATATATATATATATACACATATAAAGCATTATGCTAAGAATCCGTTCAACATTAATTTTTAAGGTATAACCAGACACTGAAGTTTTTTTAATGATCTGCTATTTCAAAGCACAACACTGATGTTAGAAAAAGTAAATCCATGTGAAAAAAAAACAATCATCAGAAAGCCATTTATATTGTGTTTATACCACTTAAAATAGGCTTACAAAATATGATACTACTAAGTAAGTATACATATCTACTAAGTAAATGCCATTTTATCGTTTTGATAACCAGACGTTAGACAATATCTGGACGTTCATGTGGGCATTTTGCAGTAATATGATTAAGACTGACTTGCAGATCATAGTGGAATATTATCGGTGGACATATTACACATCACGTATGAACTTTCATCCAAATATGGATGCATGACGTTGAACCTGTGTCAGTGCGTCAGAGCAGACATGAACTCACTTGTGCAACAGGCTGAGGTTTCTACTCTGAATCTCCTCCAATGCTTCAGCTACAGCCAGAACCTGCTGAGCGTTGAACTCGTCCGCCAGCAGGAGAGCTGTGTTCTCCAACCTGGAAGGAAGGAAGCGGCACATCAGACCAGAGGTGCTCAGAGACTGTCCACACGTGGATGGCTCTGCTAGCTCATGTTACCAACCTTTCTCTGATCTCCACGCTGGCAATGGGAGCCAGAGCAACAAAGAGTTTGGAGAAGGAGAAGGGATCAGTGCTCGTGTCAATCAGCTCGGTCAGCTTTTGTCTGGCGGCCAGTCTGAAGTCACAGTTGTTGAACTGAAGGGACTGATACAGACCCAAAATGATGCTGATATTCTCGGCATCCAGCCTGGGAATGTTACGCAGGAAGATCTCGTTGCACTTCTCCAGCAGAGGCCGGTGCATGAACTTGATGTTGCGCAGAAACTGCACCATTCTCCGTGGCGTGTTATAATTCGAGGGATCTACAGTGTGCAGGAGGTCGTCCGCCCTGCTGATGAGAGCATCCCGGAGCCGGGGAGACACCAGGGACGACACGCTGATCATCAGAGCAGTCAGGATCCTGAAAATCACGCCGGTCACAGTAAATCCACAACGAAAGTCCCGGCAGTGTATTCTACAGGTCGCTTATTTTATTTGTCTCTTCACTGACCTGGCATCATTTACAGATGATAACCTCTGATCCAAAATGCTGGTAATGTGACCCATCACAGGACTGTGATGGAGTTGCTGGTCATTCAAACAGACAGCAAATTTGGACAAAGATGACATTGGAAGTCTGTAAAAAGTAGATTTAAAATGTTCTTAGAATGCAAATGGAAACCCCAACAAAAAGGCTAGCTTCAGCATCTGTAAGGATCTTCAATATTTCTATTTTCTCACTGAAAACAATGCAAAAAAAAGGGTCCTTTTGGAGTAAGGAGCGCTGCTTTCTCATAAAGCTGTTTGATGACAACATTAAAAGTTATCCAGCTTACTGAATAATATGAAAATGTTATGCAAGCAACAAGCATACCGATCTATTCTAAGCCAAGCTTCTGACACCAACTGCTGCACCAGAGAGTCGTGATGCTCAACTTTCATCCTACAGGGAGGAAAGCAAAAAGGTCTGTTACAACAACAACTGTGACATTCTAACAAATAGTCACCAAACTAATTGTGTGCATTACTATACCTGAGGAAAGCATAAAGCATGTCGATCAACGCATAATCATCCATCAGAGTGATTTTGTTCTCTGCCAAAACCTGGAGAGTCAGAAACTGGGGGTGACCCCTGACCAGGTCCACAGTCCTGAGCACCTCAGGTCTCTCCTTCTGAAACTGCCACAGCATCCCCACGGCGTAGCTCACGTGGTCGACAGTGAGCTTGGCTTTGTACTTCCCCACCACATCAAACACTTGATCTTCAGCAGAGCAGCCCTGTAGCTGCTGCAGGACCCGGTCTCTGTGCACAGAGCTCCCGTGCACCAGCCTCCGGAGGCAGGGCCCCGCGTACCGGAGCCGCAGCATCATCCTGCACCCGGGCTCGAGTCAGGTGTGCACAGGGGTCCTCATTTTACCAGCGTCCACTGTCTGTGTCAGCGGACAGGCAGGCTCAGCAAGCCCAGATCACAACCCAAAGCTGCAGGGCAGGAGAAGATCCGTGGTGCTCCTTCTGTAAGCACCAGAATCAACTGCAATAAAACGCAAAGTATAAACCACCAGCACCCTATTCCAGCAATTGTGTCAAGTTGTTACCTTATTACAAGAACTTTCTTTACAATGACAGGCCAGAATGACATGTTTACTTTACTTCCTTTGATACAGGTCAAAAGAACTGCCCGTTAATGCATTTAACAGGACCCACTAATGACTTGATTCATATACCAGCCTCTACATTCAGTTTATTTAAGCGGTGCGTGCACACGTGGATACAGAGTTTATCTACTTACATTGTATAAATGCTGGGCTAATATACATTTCTAACAATGTTTTCACAGATAAACTAAATCAATACATTATTTATGTGACAAAAATAAAATAAAGTCTTTTGAGGGTCTCAAAGTCATAATTACCTAGCATGTGCACAGCGACGTTTCACTTCCGTAGCAAGTGACATAATCCGTAGTGGGTATATTAAACCCTGGGCTCTGCCTTACAGACACACGTTAGTGCTTGTTTTGTGTTATACATGCAACACTGTTATACCAAGAGACTACTTACGGTATTTTCCTGTCGCAAATACATACAAAATGAACCTTTGGTACCTTTCAGGCAGTTTCCAGCCTCGTACGCAAAATAGTGGCTGGTAAACTTCTGAAGCCACACGGATAATCAGTGTTTCCTAAAAACTGGAGACATAATATTAAATGTTGGGGAGCATTAACTACTTTCCGGCTTTGGTTATAAGAAGCGATAGACAAATGTTACACTGTATTTTAAACAGAAATCTTTTGAAAGATCTTTGAGAAAACCTGACAGATATATCGCAGGGCACAGTAATCCCTTACACCCCACAGGCGCACGCCACCCGACATCCATTGACGTCCCTGCCGCGCCATCTTTAGAAAACAGTGAGCCTCACACTGAATGAAACTTCATTAGAGTCTTTTGTAAAAGCTTCCCAGTGTGTGGACTGATATCCTTTACTTTCCAGGTGATTTGTTTTTAACGTCATTGAAGTCGTGGTGATATTTGAATGGTAAATATGTCCTATCTGCGTGGTTCTCATGTAGTCAAAGCCGCTGTGCATGTCTGCTTGATGCTAACGGCTGCCGTATTTGCTAAAGCTAATGCTAGGCCCGTGTAATATTTATGACTGTGTGTCCGACACTCCGTGTGGACGTTGATACCCTGATGAACGAATCTAAAATCAGGAACCACTGTGGTACATAGGCTCTATATTAAGCCACAGTGTTATGGGATTTGGTCGTTTTTGAGCTGCTGCCTGGTGGCTAAAGCTAACTAACGAAGGATACTGAAAATGGAAACCCAGTTGCCGCCACACCGCTAGTGCAGAATGCATTTTATATACTTATTTACATGCCACAATGTAAATGAGCAGCATTCCGGGCGTGCTTTAACTTTATATGCATATTTAATATCCTCTTAAGTGACTCTGCGGGGCTGCATTGAGGTTATAACCATTTCTTACTTATGGTGCATTAGCGGTCGTGAATTTGCTCGTAAAAACCAGACCTGGGAGGACAATTGTTTCTTAGTGTGCTGTATTATATGTGCGCTTTTCCCTGCAGGTGTTTTGAGTGATCATGGGGATCAAGGTTCGCCCTCGCTGCTTTCTTGACATCGGAATCAGTAATGTTCTTGGTAAGATGAAGACCTCGACTCTTCACCTGCTTTGTGATTCATTAACAGTTCAGGTTGTCACCTACCTTCATAGATATGAAGTAGTAGAAAATAACCATATCGTGGTGAGCTATACTTTGATAACCTCTGCCTTTCAGATATTAGAATACAGCTGTACGTAAAAAGTCTGCATGGGCTTTGGACTCGTCACTGTGTTTTTTTTAGTTAGGTGTGCAGTTTACCTGTGTGTGCACGGAGATTAATTATTTCTTACATTGTGTCTTCTCAGTTGGCAGAGTTGTGATAGAGTTGTTTGCAGACATCTGTCCGAAAACCTGTGAAAACTTTCGATGCCTCTGCACAGGTGAGGGACCTCTCTCTGCTTCAGAGACCCCCTCCCAAACAAAGACGATAATGGTACCCTTAATACAGATGAACATTACTGAGTACTGCTGTTTTATTCAGGTGAGAAAGGCATTGGCAAAGGAACTCAGAAGCCCCTACACTACAAGGGATGCCTCTTCCACCGAATTGTAAAAGACTTCATGATTCAAGGTGGAGACTTCAGTGAGGGTGAGTTAATGAAGGTGGTGAATAGTTTAGAAAATGTATGATTTGGCTTCAAATATGACCCGTTATGGTGAGGTTTGTGATATACAGGGGTTGGTTTTCCGATGGTATTGGTTGATATTCCATAATTGTGGGAGCACACAAACATCTGGGCTTGGTCAAAATAAACATTGTGTAGTTTTTCAGATTTAAATGTATGTTTTGCAGATGTACTTTAAATATCAGACTTTACTTTACTAGTAAAGTAAAAGAACAAAAAAACGGCTGTATCTGTAATAATGATTCTTCAGAAAAAGCGAATAGTAATAGGAGCTGTTTATTTGTTCTTGGACAACCCAGGAAATGGAAGAGGAGGCGAGTCCATCTACGGAGGCTTTTTTGAAGGTAAAAAAGCCACTGTCCATTTGTTATCCAAATCAATGTCGTCTTCAAGGTGGCGATACAAATGTCTTTTTTTCCTGCAGATGAGAGCTTTGCAGTTAAACACAACAAGGAGTACCTGCTTTCTATGGCCAACAGGGGCAAAGATACAAATGGATCACAGTTTTTCATGTAAGCACGGTTTCTCCTTTTTGTTTTTTACTGGTCTGTCTGTTAATTTCATGTATGAGTAGTTGATGACTACTTTGTCTTGTTTCCCTGCTGAACCTTCAGAACAACAAAGCCCGCTCCACATCTGGATGGGTATGTGCTGTTGGATTGTACTTTAAATTCAGTACGATTGCTTTGTTTGCATTGCACACGCTAATTCTACTGTCCTCTTTTTTCCAGTGTCCATGTGGTTTTTGGTCACGTCATCTCTGGCCAAGAGGTTGTTCAAACCATGGAGAGCCAGAAAACGGACCCTAGCAGCAAGCCCTACGCCGAGGTGAAAGTTATGAACTGCGGCGAGCTCGTCCCTAAATCTAAAGGTTTGAGTCTGTCTTGTTTTTGAATGAGTTTTTGTGATTCCTGCCGGCTTTTACTTACGCCACTCGTATTTCTTTAGCAAAAAAGGCTGAGAAAAAGAAAGAGAAAGGCTCCTCCAGTTCCAGCAGCAGCTCCAGTGACTCTGAGAGCTCCTCGGAGTCGTCCTCTGATTCTGAGGAGTCGGAGAAAGAGTCAAAGAAGCGGAAAAAGAAGGCAAAAAAACTCAAAAAGAAACAGGAGAAGGATAAGAAGATGTACATAGTTTGATCACATTTTCTTGGTCTTATGTTGTGTTGTTTAGCACCCAGCGTCTCACTGTGAAGCATTTGTCACAGATCAGAAGCTGAGAGTGTCGAAGAGAAGGAACAAGAGGAGGTGGTCACCTCCACTGTGCGTCCCGAGGAAATACCGCCGATCCCTGAGAATCGTTTCCTCATGAGGAGGAGTCCTCAGCCTGTCCAGAAGTCCGAGGAGCCTGAAAAGGATCAGAGAAAAGAGGGCCGGCCACGAGAGAAGTTAGTATATGACAGGCAGACATAACAACAAGCATGCAAAAACAAGGCTGGCGCTATTCTGATCTCTTTTTACTTTTCAGCACTGGCATGTCCTATAATTCCCAGTCAGCTTATAACAGAAGATTCGAGCTGACCACTCGTTCAGGCAGGAAGATAAAGGGGAGAGGACCAAGGGTGGGTGACCTGTCATTGTTAAAAAATTTCCACAAATCTATGTTTTTCTTTTTACATTTGTTGTTTTCTTTTAGTCTTTTGGAGTTAGTTTGAATGAGAATGTTATGAATTTAACTAATCTTAATTTCTGCCAAACAGAGGTACAGGACCCCCTCTCGGTCTCGTTCAAGGTCTAGAGATCGTTTCCGCCGCAGCGAAACCCCCCCACACTGGCGCCTAGAAATGCAGCGTCAGAGAATGCGGGCGGTGACAGGAGAGCGCTGGATTAAGGGAGACCGGTGAGTTACCCCAGTCAGCATCAGGCTGCCAGTTTAGGATATTACTGGTGAGATACTTCCCCTCATCCAGTCAACAGCAGGTATTTATTTGGCTTTCATGTCACTGTCTGTCAAACAGAGGCGACATGGAGCAGTCCAAAGATGAGGACGCCAAAGCCCCAAGGAGGGAGAGGCGGACCTCCAGCACAAGGCATGAAAACACGGCCGAGGGCAAAAAAGACAAAAAATCTCGGTCTCACAGATCTAAAAGCAAAGAAGACGGGGCGGAAAGGGATGAGAAGCATAGCAAACACAAGGCAAAGAAAAAGGATAGATCGCACAGTCGCAGTAAAAGTAGAGACAAAAGTAGACGGTCAAAAAGCAGAGATAAGAACGACAAGCACAAAAGTAACGACAGAAGAGGCCACTCCAGGAGCAAAGAGAAAGATGTGGACCAAAAGGAAAAGGAGCCTGAACAGGACCACAGTAAAGATAGAAGTAAGACTCACGAGTCTGACAAAAAGAATAAGGATGCCGTGAAAGGAAGCAATGGCGAGCGAAACCGAACCGACTCCCCGAGCAAGGAGCGAGCCTCTGCGAAAGACCAGCACCGCTCCGACAGCAGAAACAGAGCCGGCGCCGCCGCCTCCAGAGATAAAGAAGAAAAGAAGGAGAGGGAAAAAGAAAAGGGCAGAGAACGCAGCAGGAGCAGAGAAAGGCGGCGAAGAGGAGCATCCCGGGATCGCCGATCCAGAAGCGCCGACAAGACCAAATCCAGAGACTCGCACAGAGGCCGACGCTCCCGAAGCAAGAGCCGCCGGAGGGACCACAGCAAAGAGCGCCCGTCTCACCGCAAAGATAAAGACAGCGGGCAGAGGCGGCGGCGCAGCAGCAGCAGCAGCAGCAGCAGCTCCGACAGAGAGCGAGCAGACAGGAGGAAGAGCCGCAAGAGAGGAGCTGACAGTGCCTCCAAAGACAGGAGAAGCCCCACCAGGTCAGATCACGCAAAAGTCAGAGATAGAGACGACGGTAAGCGGAAGCAGTCCAGCTCCAGCTCCAGCTCCGACAGCGATTGATGCTCTCCGTCTTTGTACCTACGATTAATGCAGTACGCCACACCAGCTTTCCATCCAGAGTGGGATCCCTGCCCGCCTCCTCCACATGTGGCAGACAAACTCCAAACCGTTCAACTAGACCCACACACAGGTGGCAAGCAGCAGCAGCAGGCTGGCATTAAGGTTAAAGTACTAAATGCACACGTGAGACGGCTACAAAAACCTGCACACACAAGCTGGATCAGAACCCGTGTGCTAGATGGACAAACCCAACACCATCCACCCTCGTTTAGTTTTTTTTTCTCCCCTAAAACTGCGCGTAAGCCTGTTGTTTGCTGGGTGAAGTTGTGAGACCCGTTCAGAAAAAAACAGACTCCAAATCAACTTGATCCCTAAAGCTGTTCAAGTACCAAGAGTTATTTTAATTTCATAAGTGAGTGTTATATTGAAAGCAGTTTTTAACCTTTGGTAAATTATAAATTAGCCAATAAGAAGGTATCTTTTTTTTTTTCTTTTAGTTTACTGGTAATCTCACCCATGTTGAGTTATTTTCTACTGAATATTCATACTGTGATCCACACCTTTTCATGTGTCTGTGTTTGATCAAATATATGCACACCCACTACTTTCATCCACAGCAACAGTCCAGTACTGTAATCCTTTTTGGTTTTTCAAAGAAAGAATATTAGCGGTTTCTGTGTGTACGTTGTCCTCCTGTTGATCTTTTGGAATGGTGATTTGAGATAAAAAGGATCAGTTTGATTTGTAATAGTTTTTAATACTGTGTAAATGCTGACTCCAAAACCTTATTTGCAATGAAAAATACAAATAATAAACGATGACAACAGAACGCAAAAATGGAAACCGTCTCTGCATTGGTGTTTTCTTCGTTTGAGTGATCAAATAAGAGTCTCATTCCAAAACATGTACAGCACAGGAAGAAGGTTTTATTGCTTTTTTGGGAAAAAAGGAAAGAAAAGAAATGTGTACGTTAACATCCTCACACTTTTCACTTTGATACCTCAACAACATTGAAAATCCAACAATGTTTCAAATGAATGCGTTCTGCTCTAAGAACAGTGAGCAGACAGATGTTCACGTGGGTAATGTTTCATCACGTTTCAGTCAACATTTTTAAAAACCTTGTAAAGAATAATTACTGCTTTTACATCGTTGATTATGGAGCCTTAAAAAATCCCCGTTCTGCTTAAGAGACAAAGGTTTCAGAATTATAAAAAGGTTTTTTTTGTCCATTATTCCTTGGGTCAGGCATTATGGGATTAATCTTTTTAATGTATTTGATTTTCTAGCTAAGAGGAATATGTCTGACATCTCTGACTAAAGTCAGTGTCATGTTGTGTGGAATGCTGCAATATCATCTTTAGATCTTAAAATGTTGGGATACTAACTACATCCAAACTCATAATAGTTAGTTCAGACTATTAAAAGGGCTCTTTACAAAACGGTTAACCGTCACCATGTGAATCCCAGCCTCCTCTTTGCATCCTGAATATCTGCGGCCTCGTGGAGCTTTTTAATGTCCTCCGTGGCACCAGAGACGTATTTGGGCATCTGAGCGCCACTACGGTCCTGAACAAGATAGCTGGGCCTGAACCGCCCAAACACGGGGCCGTGCCCCCCTCCGATCCCCTGGCTTGCAGCTTTGTGAAGGGGAAACAGGTTTCTTTTGGCCTCTGCCGCCTGGCGGATGAGCTGCTGTGAGTACCGCTGGAAGGTGGCTTCCTCCTCGGCACTGAGTTCTGCGCTCTGGGCCTCAAACTCGCGTTCCTCCTCTCTCAGCCTCTGAAGCCTGGTGCCTTTCTCAGCCTGCGGTCGAGAGAGAAGAGACGGTCGTCCGGCACGTCTTATTCTGAAACATCAGACTGTCGTATTGTTGTCGTTCTTACCAGATGTGCGGCATTATAGTCTTGCAGTTTGCGCTCATCTTCTCTGATTTTCCTGGCCTTCTGCTGTTGTTTCTCGGCATATATTCGATCGGCCTCCCTCTTTGCCTGCAGGGCATCCCGGGCCTCCTGCTCCCTCAGTTTGTCCCTCTGCTCCTTTTCCCGTTTCTGGTCAGGCAGAGTGGGATACAGATGTGATTCGCATCCATTTGGTGCAGCCGCACATAAAGGTGAAGGACGAGACATCAGTGTGCTACCATGAGCTCCCTGTGCTCCGTGATTGCTTTCAGCATGGCAGCCTTCTTCTCCCATTCCTCCAGCTGCATCTGGGCCTGCTTTGCGTCCCCCTCGGCGGCGGCTCTGGCCGCCCGCTGCTCCTCGCCGGCCGTTTGCTCCTGCTGCGTGGCCGTCAGTTTGCTGAGGATGCCCTCTCTCCGGAGCTGGGCTTCTCTTAATGAGGGAAAAAACAAACCCATGAGTGTCACATGCAGACCAAAGCAGTACCCCCTCACATCTCTAGTTTTCCATGTCCTACTGAAACAGCTGCTTTTCTCTTTCTTTCCGTAATGCCATCATTTTCTGTTTGGCAGAGAGGAAATGTTTCCTTTGTTTCTCTTCAGCTTCTTGTTTCTGTGAATCGGTGGCTCTCATGCGGTCCCTGTTGGTGATTTGTTCCTGTAAAAAAACCCGGAATGCTTTTGTAAATAGAAACTGGGGTTAAATAGTTTGGACTTTCTTTGTATTCTGCTGATATGATCCAACCATGTGAGCTTGCATGAGGTCTCTCTTCTGCTTGGCTCGCTGCTCTGACTCCATTCTTTGCTCCCGCTGGTGGAGCTCTTGAAGACGCTGGATTTCCTCTCCTTCCTTCCGGCTCTGCAGCTTCTGCTGCTGTTTTGCCGATTCCTTTTCTTTCATCCTGAAGAAAGCAATAAGAAAATGTTATTTCAAAACTGTTAGAACTTCTCAGGCAGAATGAATCAAATTCATGTGTCATGGGGCTGCAGCACAGTACTGGAAACTGATGTTTTGGTGGATATTTGCATCTAACTCTACAGTACAGTAAGAATATTAAGAAATCCACATGACAAACATTTAATCTCAATACTTCAAAATCCGGCTGTTAAGCCTTACTGGTTTTTCAGCTCTTCAGCAGTGGCCTGTCTCTGCAGTCTCTTTTTTACTGTCTTCTCCTGCTCCTTCCTCAAAGCTTCATCTTCTCTGCTCTTCACAAATTCCATGAACTCTTTCTCCTTATTTCCAATGGCACCTTTTAATCTTTCCTTCAGTTCAGTCTGGGCCTCCCTCTCCTTCAGGACCTCTGTTAGCTGCAGAGCACGCTGGGGAAGTAGCAAAACAGTGATTTGTTATCCCCAAAAAGCTGTTGTGATGTCAAATGTGCAAGTGGTGCATGACCGTAAGAGTACCCACATCTAACCCTTTGACCCGGTCGGTTTGATGATACAGCTGAGTCTCGGCTTTGTCAATGGCCTCTTTTCGCTTTTGTTCCCTGTATTGAGCTTCTTCCATATCCATCAGTTTTCTTTTCTCCTCCTCAGTCTCCTCTCGCATCCTCTTCGCCTCCAGCTTCTTTTGCCTCTGACCCTGGGATCAGTGCAGACACACAGGGATTTAACCGTACGCTTTTGAGAGTCTTCCACATTCTGGATCCAGACTTGTTCACGTCGGAGGACAGATCTGTACTGGAGCTTACAGCGATGGTGTTGGGCCACAGTTTCACAACTTCTTTGGACTTGAGGTGCAGCGCCTTTCTCTGTTCCGCCACTTCTCTCATCCGCTCCTCTTCTTCGTTCACCCCTTTCAGTTCTCCTTGAATTCTTAGCCAATCAGCCCTCCGTAAAACAGTGACCTGTCTGAGATCTGGAGGCTGGATTATTTGAACTGCCGCCTCAGTTGATGCTTTTTGTGTATGAAAAAAAGAGGACATCATAAGAATGCAAACCATTTAATCTAGATCTTACACTTTGATGGAGGTCTGTGGAGATGAATCATTTAAAAAATCTTTCACATGAAATTTGTATTTATTTAACACAAATTAGATTTTGGATACATTTTCCTGATTTTACATTTATGTTTTTGTGTTTTCTCATGTATTTCCTGTCTAAAGATCATTTCTGTACGAAACTTTACATAAAAAAAATTTTAGATTAAAAATAAATCTAAATTACATTAAATACAAAAAACATTGCGTGCAACGAAGATCACCCAAAGTAATTTTATCTAAAGATATTATTTAGCCGTATATTGTTTTGAATTCAAAAAGTTTTTTTTTTGAGCCTTCACCTTTTTCCCGGAGTCCTGACCGACGGCCATACTGAACCAAGGACGCCATCTGAAATTAGGTGTTAAAATTTCCCCAAAATTATGACTGTCGAAGGGAACAGATCGATGTGACGCTTTTGGCTGCAGTAATCGGGCTGTGTGTTAAAGTGGATCAGATCTAATGCTAGCGCGGCCTACTGTGACACTGACGACCAATCACCGAACTCACCAAACCCAAATGACCAATCATAATAGAGCAAGGTTTCCGCTTTACACCTTCCGCTGATCCAATATTAAAAAAATGTGCTTCGGGCCCGTGGGTCTGCGTTTGTTGAGCTGTGTCCAGGCAACAGCGACCCCAATCTGACACCATCCCTTTCTGCCCCGTTAGGGGGCATTGTTTTCATCTAGGAAAACCTTCCACCTATTTACAATAGGCAAACTAAAACGTACAAATAAATCCTGAAGCTTTAGCACTTTCCTTGATAAATAAACAAACGATTAAATGGTTTAGTTTTGCTGTCTGATTTGATCTCTCAAACAGAAAGCACTTTTTTAGATTTTAAGCTGACATGCAAAATCCAATTATGTCATTTAATTATGTATGAATAAGGTGACTTCACAAACTTTAATCTCCCATTACAAAAAATAGAACCCACAAAAATACTTTATAAAGAAACTGTATGGGCAGGTGTATTGTGGGAAAAGTTGATTTTAGGTATGTGGTTGTTTCAATTTTTATTTTTTTATTTTACTTGTGAATAATTTAGAAATCTTGTGCTTCATAAAAGCCAAAGAAAATTATTAATTTTAAGCCTTTCACTTTGTGCTAACCTATTTTAAATAAATATAGTCATGTGCAGAAAACTAACAATTTCTGACACTATTTGAAAGAACTGGGACCATTTTAGGATGTTGTACATGTTAAAGGACATGAGTCAAACTATAAGCTGCCTTGGCACTGGTTGAAGATGCTCTTTTCCAGGTGAACCAAAGCTCATCCTTTATTCAGATCAGTGTTTTCTCTGTCCTTGGCTGAGGAGAACAGTTCATCTCCTCTGGCTGACGGTGCCACATCGGCGACAGAAAAACCCTTCAGAAAAAAACATTTCCATGTACTTTGTGAGTCAAAAGTGATGTGGTTGAGACAGATTTGTGAAACTAGCGGGGCAGCACTGATATGAGAGGGATGTCATGTGCTGCCTAATGAGTCTGGTGATGGACGGCATCTGGTCAGAGATTTGCCTGACCTAACCCAGTGTGAAATGTGGGTAAATATGAACAGCGTTGATGCTTCTGGTAACATTTTAACCTCTACTTAGCAAGGGCACAAAGGCGTTGCTATTGAGCCAGATGTGGCTCATGGCAAACAAGGAAGAGGAACCTTAGAATGAGGGTCAGAGCAGTTCAACTGTATATTCCCCTAAAATGTGTCAAAGGGGTTTGAAAGATTCACTGTTCACTGAAATCCTCTCATACAAACTTTATGTACTTCTCCTTTCACATGTTTATATATTTTCAGAACCATTCAAAGTATTTTCATTTCATGCTTTAGTTTAACCTTGTTTTGCTTTTTGTATTTTTTTTCAGTAAAAAAACAATCAAACAAACAAAAGATGTTTGGAATATGGAGTCCAGGCTACTCTGCAAAGTGTATCCCAGCTTTTTTGCATCCTAGCAAACTTTCAGAATTTGAGATTCCAAGGTGTGCTCAGGCTTTTTCTCCCATTTCCTCCACTCTTGCATAACCACAGGAGGCTGTGCACTGGTTGTGGACGAACTGGATCCCAGCTTGCGCTTGCGTCACAACAGGAGATGCACGAGAGGCGGGACCACGCTGAATGGGTTCGTCTTCAAGTTTGAAAAAACAACCATTCAAATCCAATAGAGGGGAAAGAAACTCCGAGTGACCATCCTTTGCCCAGCTCACCCGCCTCCTATCATCCACCAGTGGCCCTGCGACGAGCAGCCCGCACAGAAAAGCGCAAAATGGCCCCGATCTCCATCCAGACTGTGCTAATCAGTGAAAGTGTTGACCCCCGCTGCAAGGCGATCCTGGAAGAAAACGGCATCCGAGTCACCGAGAAGCCCAGTATGACGAAGGAGGAGTTAATAGCTCAGATTAAGGTAAAATCCCTCACTATGAATCAGGCTGCAAAATATGCAAGCGTTGTTATTTAGATTTATTTCACATCTGTGCAACAAGCAGCTCCTTTTCACAAAGTTTGAGCATCTGTTGAAATGTGCACCGCACTTTTCTGGGTGTGGGTTGGGGGGGTTGAAACAGAAAGAACATAACGAAAAGTTTTGTTTAAGTTAATTTTAGGTATAAAATATTAATCACTGATCATGAAACTTTCTCCCCCATTTCAAGCACCGATTTCTTTTCACCTAGTTCCGCCCACATGGAAGCTGATGCAACTGTCACAGACAGGCTGGCAGCTCTTATGGGGTCCTTGGGTTTGACAGGGAACATTAGTAACCCCAATCTAGATTTGATCAGATTAGAAGCACGTTAGTGCACTAATTTATGCAGTCTGAATGGATTCTTATGTCATTCCAAGTTCTGCTCTCTGCTGGGCCCTAAATGTGAGAAGACAAAGATTATGAAAAGAACACGGCCTAATGCTTAAGTCCTTTATCCCTAATGTATATCAATTCTAGATTTTCTCTAAATTGATCCTAGAGAACATAGTAGAAAGTCACATCAACTATTAACAGTGTTGATTTGAGTGTGAGTCACTTGAATGACAGATGTGTGAATAAAGAGAGTCTCTCAGTTTGTAGTCCTTTGGAGTAATGGGCATCTAACCTTTTAATCAGGCTGTATGACTCTAAAAACGATTTTAAGAGATGTTCCTCCAAGATCTGCAGTTTTATGTTACCATCTGTTCACTATCATTCCTTTTATTCTAGAAATACTGAACAAATTATTTATAAAAACTATGAGATGGTACCTTGTGACATAAGCTGTGCTATTGGGTGTATGCTCAAATGCATCCACTATTGTAGTAATTATTAGCTGATTATGTTCAAATATACAGCCGGACGGTTATATTCTTACTGTTACTCAGCAGGTATGTGGGAAAAGCAAACCTGAAAAAGAAAAAAAAGGTTGCCCCACAAGCAAGAGCAGGCCATGTTAACAGCATAAAGCTGTGAGGCAGGCTGGGCTTAGTTGAGACTAAATGGGACTGCCGGTGGCCTTGAACAGAGCAAGCGTAAACATTAAAGATCCCATCAACGTTGTGCTCTCCCTCGCACCCCAGAGCTACGACGGCCTCGTGGTCAGATCCGCCACCAAGGTGACGGCCGATGTCATAAATGCCGCTGACCGCCTCAAAATCATCGGGAGGGCTGGGACCGGCGTGGACAACGTAGACGTGCCTGCCGCCACCAGAAAGGGCGTCATCGTCATGAAGTAAGTGTCCGGTGTGTGTGCGGGCGTCGGGTTTCCTGTCCGCTGTAACACACTGTCCGCTGAAACGCACTGTCCACTGTAACACACTGTCCTCTGACCCCAGCACGCCCAGTGGGAACACCATCAGTGCCGCCGAGCTGACCTGTGCCCTGCTGATGAGCCTCTCAAGGCAAGACCAGTCAAACTTCTGCCAACGTCAGCAAGGCTTTTGATAGCTCTTTAATGCTTTAATAAGTCAATCTTTTTTGTTTTATTGTTGTTGTTTTTTTAGAAATATACCTCAAGCTGCAATGTCGATGAAGCAGGGGAAGTGGGATCGTAAAAAGGTGAGCGCACAGCCCCCCCCCCCCCGGCACTGGGAGCAGCCTCTGTTGCATGGTTGGCTTCATTGCTCGTCCACGTGTCAATAATCAGAAGTGACTCTGGCTGCGCGGCTCATATTTGCCCTTTGTGTTTTCAATCCTCCAGTTCATGGGCGCCGAGCTGTTCGGCAAAGTCCTGGGAATAGTCGGGCTCGGACGGATAGGGAAAGAGGTTGCCACAAGAATGCAGTCGTTCGGAATGAGGGTGAGTGAGGAGAGCCCGACGTGACGGGACCTGTATGTGGATGGTTCCCGCTGGTTTGACAAATTTTTAAAAAATTTTTTCTTTGTATTTATCTCAGACTATTGGATATGATCCGATCACTCCACCTGAGGTGTCAGCTGGCTGGGGGGTGGAGCAGATGTCCCTGGAGCAGCTCTGGCCCCAGTGTGACTACATCACGGTGCACACCCCCCTCATGCCCGCCACCGTCGGTGAGTGTCACGCTGGGTTAAAAGTCGGCCGACGTCTCAGGGCTTATTTATTTATTTTTGCATTTCCTGTTTGTAAGGTCTGCTCAGCGATGGAACGTTTGCCAAGTGCAAGAGGGGGGTGAAGGTGGTGAACTGTGCGAGGGGGGGCATCGTTGATGAGGCTGCTCTCCTCAGAGCTCTGGAGTCCGGGCAGTGTGGGGGAGCGGGACTTGATGTCTTCGTTGAGGTAAGGTCCAGGCAGAGCTGGGTTTCCCCTTTTTATTCAGAATAAAAACCGGTTTGACTTTGTGGGGCAGGAACCACCCAGGGACCGCTCTTTGGTGGACCACCCCAACGTCATCAGCTGCCCTCATCTGGGGGCCAGCACAAAGGAGGCTCAGGCCCGCTGCGGGGAGGACATCGCCCTGCAGATTGTGGACATGGTGAAGGGCAGGAACCTGGTTGGAGCCGTAAGTCCAGGCTGAGGCGTAACATTTTGAACAGACGTTATTTGAAAGCATGAGCTTGGGTCTTATCAGACCTCCAACCATGGTCCTGCTGTAGGGCTTGTGCGGAAAGAAAGGATACCCAAAAGGAATCCAGCCAGGTTGATGGTTAAATGTACCAAGTGCTGGAAGCACAAATCCAGGGTTGATGCACAAAGTTGATACCTATTATTTCTTGATGGAACCTTTCGGTTCTTGCATCCCTCAAATTCAAAATGCAAATTTTAATTCAGTGAATGCAGGTAGGGACTTATGCCTTGTGCTAGAATGATGCACGAGTAATCAGAACTCTGCAAAACAACACAGGCTTACAAATTAGTATGAATTAAAATCTTTGTCAGTTCTGTGTGTTTGAAAAATATACATTTAGATTAGATATAATGCAATTTCACTGATTTCAGGCAGTTTTTTTACATTTAAAAGCAGGCAAAATTAGAAAAATAAGAAGATATATTTAGTCTATCCTTAAAAATGGGGTGCAGATCAAAGTGCAGCTTGGATGTTCACCGAGGAGGGGGGTAAAAATCAAAGGCTCTAATTGTGTCCATGCTTTCTTTTGGCAGGTAAATGCACAGGTTTTGGCCACCACCTTCTCCCAGGAGTCCCAACCGTTGATCAAACTTGGAGAAGCTGTTGGAGCTCTGCTTAGATCTTGCTGTGCTTCCAAGAAACCATTCAGTCGTGTTCAGATTACCACTCAAGGTAAAACTACCGGTCTGTCCGGTTTTTGTAACCAGCGACCTGAAGAATAAAGTTGGAAAGTGGTGCTTCCTCCCTCTAGTGGTCTTAATGTGAAATGACACACAATCTGATACAGGCCATCTATTTTTGTATTGTACATACTGTGAAATGATGATTTAGATTCTTCTCCGTCTAAACTGTTTCATAAAATATATCCCAGTTCCTCAAAGTGTTCCCACGGCTTCTGGTCACAGTAAACTTTGTAAACTGTTTTCTAAAAACCAGGGGACTGCATGAAGCCCTGCTCCGGTTACATGACGTCCGCTGTACTGGTTGGACTTCTCGGCCAGGAGTCCGAGGGCTCCCCAAACCTCATCAACGTTCTGAGTCTTGCCAAAGAGAGCGGAATGGCGGTATGAAGCCGTCCCAGCCGGCGTGCAACGCCAGCCGTGTGTGACAGCTGCTGGACATTACGCTTTTCGTCTGTGTGGCCTCTCCCCTCAGGTGAGTCAGAGCCACTGTGAGTCCAGCGGGGCCGGCCAGGGTGCGTGTGAGGTGGAGATCGGGGCCAACGGCTGCAGCTTCAAAGCCAGCGGCTCAGTCCAAGGCGGCGTCCCGGTCCTGCTTGAGCTGGGCGACAGCGTGTTCCGGCAGCCTGTGTCTCTCACCGGAAAACTGCTGCTCTTCAAGGCCCCCGCCAGCCCGCAGCTGCTGTCCTCAGTGGCCGGTAGGAAAACGCCTCGAGCTGAATGAGAATGAATCCTGTTAATGTAAAAATTATGTGCAAAAGACCTGATCAAACCCCTATATTTTAAAAACATTTAGTTTTGAACTAGTCAGACCTTCTTGTTGTCTTTTAAAAGTAGTTTTAGGCAGTCACTCTCTTTGTTTTATTTAACGTCTTCCCTTAAGCATTGGCTGCTTGTTTCTAATTTTCACTCTAATCCTTGTATATAACCATTTTAAGAGGAATGTCATTTTGTTTGTTGAGCTAACGATGACTCATTCAAACAGAATGAGAAAGAAGGCACTCATGTCAAGTGTTGTGCCTCCACATAACAGATGAGTTAGCGAAGAACATGTTTTGAAGCACATCTTCAGACACTTTATTAGCAGCCTGCGTCTCTATTGTAGAATCTACCCAAAAAGAAAAAAACGCAGATAGTGTCCTTCAATAGGAATAAGAAATCCATCTACTGTTCACTGAGGCCTCATGGGAAATGGTTTTCCTGAAACAATGGTTATCTTTAGCAAGTGACACATTGAGAAAAACCAAGCTATGCCAAATAACACAAAGTGGCAAAAGGTCTTATGGGATGAATCTTCAATATTATTAAAGCTGTATAGAATGAATAAAACAGAGAACAAAATAAATAGCAGGCAACATCCAAAGAGGAGCTTTGGGATTTCATTCCACTACCTTGAAGAGCTATTCCTAAACACTACTGAAAGAGAGGATACAGAGCTTGTCTCAGAGGGTTCGGGCTGTGCTTCACTGTCTCAGTTTTGCTTTCTATGCTGTATTTTCCATTTGACTTTGCACACTTTACAATAAATAGCTGCATATGTTTCCAGTAGTCCTGACAACTTATTTTAAAAAAAAAAGAGGGGTATCTGAAACCTTTTGCAATGTACTGGCCGTCTAATGTAGGTGTTGTGTGTTAAAATATACAGCCACCCTTAAAGACCCTATATTTTTTCGTTTCGTTTGGTTTTATTTTTGCTGCCTACATTTTAAACTTCTATTCTTTTCAATTGTTCTTCATTTAGGACTTTTGGCCTCAGAGGGAGTGGAGATCGAGTCGTTCAGCGCTCCTGTGGACCGCGCTGGGGACCCGTGGTATTGTGTGGGGGTGTCCTCTTTCTTGCACGATCTCAGTGCTTTGAAGCCTTTGGCTAAGGATGCAGCGCAGGTCAGCGTTTAAATGTCAGTAGCAACACTCGAGTGGTCCAAGGATAGCCTTTAGTCTGTGAGAGTCTTACTATTCTGAAGATGGTTTATATAAAAATCATCTATACTGTTCTTTTTGTTTACAGCTTAAAACGATTGTGTAGAAGTTGCACCCTTTAGAAAAAAGATTATTTCATAACATTCCAGTGTTTAGGTGTTGTATGAGCTTATTGAAATGCAAAATGAATAAATGTTTTGTCACATTATGCTCTTTTTGATGATGTTTCTCATTTAACCAAATAAAACAACTGAAGGGGACTTTTTAAACCTTAACTGCACATGTTTCAAATTGTCCAGCAAAACTAATATTATTTACTTTTAAAACAACCAGGTCTCATTTGAATATGTAATGGCTTCATTGGTCTTGGACAAAAAAAAATATTAGTTATATTTCTTTCTTTGAATATTGGGGAAAATAATCTTTGCCCTCAAATAATTTCCCCAAACCTGACCAAGCAGTTTGTTGCCTAAACGTTATCCAATAGCAGCCACAAGGGCACTGGTAAAATAGCCAAAGAGCAAAAATATTATCAATTTACTGGTACCAAAACCCCAATGTTTTAGCTTTTAGGAATAACGGGATGTTAAATATGGAAGAAGTTAATTTAAGAACCATTAATGTTAAATGCAAATTTTTCTTGTTTTGTGAAATTCATACTGGCTTAGAATGTATTAATACAAAGCACAGAGAACCTTTTTGGACCTCCACTTTTCAATGACTGATGGTTACTTTGTATGCAGTTGAGTTTGTGGCTTCATTAAAAAAATGAGAATCATCAATACACAGTCTGTCTCTGACAACCCAAGTCCTTGCTTTTAGATTACATTTTATTACAGTATTGTAAGACGGGGGGATAAAGAATCACCAGCAGGAAAGTCTCTCAAAACAAAAGACGTCAGACTCTGTCAACCTTCAGTGTGTTCATAATGAGCCACAGCAGTTCTGCTCCACGCTTCCCATGTGAACCCAGGTGGCTCAAACTATCCACAGACATAAACAGTCTCACACTTCTGCACAGCCTGAGTCCTCATCTGTTACATAAGTTCTAAATTGGGAGGTCAGTCATATAAAATTTAAGGTTGGATACTAACTCACAATTGAAGCCAAAAAGCCTTAAATTTGATATTAATAATCCTCTTGATTTTTAATTTTATTTTGAATCAAATTAAGGGCTGCTAGTGTTCTGGTTACTGGTCTTTTTTCCTTTTTTTTTATTGCTGCAGATATATTTAAAAGGGACACCTCCACACAGAAATGTGTAGCATTTGGAGACAGACACACACTGACATATGACCTTTGTCTACTTCAGTTGTAATCTAGGAAGTGGTTGTTTCTTAATGTTACCCAGGCTACACCTTATTAGCACTTTGTTGGTAGAACAATGAATTTATCATGAACATGATTTGACATGATGTGAGTCTAAATTTTTGTCAGTTTTATGTTTGCAGATTGCTGCTTTTTATGTTCTTTATTTTACTCATGGTTAGTCTAGCTGCTGTTAAAGCAAAGTGTCTCTTGGAAATGGGTTTGTCTGTGTATTTTTACTCAGTGGTTCTGTCAATATTAGTTAGAATAAACAGATATAACAGTTTATAATCGTTGTAGGTTATGCGTTGTTCAGCTGAATAACATTCACATTTCATTAAGAATGTTTCTGCTGATCTTAATGGATTTATCCAGCCCCTTAGAAGTTAGATCATATAAACATTAACTTTTTTCTCTCTCATTGGTTCACCATTAACTTCTAACTTATTAACAGTTAGTAATGTATTTCCAAACAAACATGATTGTGCACAGGAGTAAAGGAAACACCCAGGGCTTTGAGCACCGGACAAAACTACAGCAGGACACCACAAAGGCAGGGTAAGGTACAAAGTATAATCCTGATCCCTGCAAAAGCCACGTTCCAATACGTCACAAACCCTCTAAAACCACTATGGGAGGCACCAAATAATCCAATCTAAACCAAAGACAATGTGCTTCAGACTTGATCAACATCTGCTACGTTAAACCGTCTAATGTGGGCCATGACCTGCTGAGCTCAGCTCATATCATTAATAATTCATTTTCTGTCCAGTTTGCACGCGTGAAATTTTATCCTTCAGGGAAAAGTGCGCCGCTGATCCTTGTTGGATTAGGATTAGGCAAAACCTTCACCACCCTGGAATACCACGTTCAGAGTACCATGGCAACGAGAAGACAGGGGGAAATCATGAATGGACCAGTTCGGCCGCTTTTTTTCCTCCTGCTGCCGCTGTTTGTGTGGGGCTGATTTGTATGCGGTCCTGTCCTGAGTGGAACTCCGTCCTCCTAACGTAAACGCGTCACGAGACTGTGGATGGGGTCGGGGTGGGGGGTGGTGGGGTGTTATATTTAGGCTCTGAGAGAACATAACGGCGTCGGGTGATTCCTCTGAGTGGTTGCTTGGCTTTGTCAAAGACTGGGACGCGATCCTGCAGGGACGGAGGAGGATGGATGGTGGTGGGGGGGGGGGGGGGGGGGGGGACAGCCGCTGTAGCTGCTACACAAATACCAAAATAGGACCGAGCTGCCTGCTGCCCGAGCTAAATTGAGGTTCATGTGTTTTGAAGAGGAGCGCAGTGAGAGGACAGAGGACGCGGCGGAGCGGTGGCGTGGACGAGCACGGCTGTTCATGGAAGCAGATGATAGGTAAGCCCACCATTCTCCACTCTGTCTCTGGCTCTGTCTCTGTAACAATCGAGGGGGAAACACGCGTTGACATCCCACAGCCCGGTTCCCTTCACAGCCGATCTGACCTCCTTGTGTGTGTGTGTGTGTGTGTGTGTGCCCCCCCCTTTTCCTCCTCCTCCAGATATAATGTCCCACGCAAAGGCCGACTCCTACACCTATGACTTCAGGGATGGGGGCCACGAAGCAGAGCTCCTGGCAGCTCTCCGGCATTTCTACGCCGGCGGTCTGTTTACGGACGTCACCCTGCAGTGCGGCGACTCCGGACAGGTGTTCCACTGCCACAAAGCCCTGCTGGCGGCCCGCAGCTCCTACTTCCAAGTCATGTTCACGGCTGACATGAGGGAGAGGTCCAACCGCGTCATCAAGCTGACCGGGGTGGACGGCGAGGTCCTGGGGGCTCTTGTGGACTACGTGTACAGCGCCCAGGTGCGCATCACCCAGAGCAACGTGCAGAGCCTGCTGGAGGCCGCAGACCTCCTGCAGTTCGTCGCCGTCAAACAGGCGTGCGAGGACTTCCTCATACGCCTGCTGGACGTGGACAACTGTCTGGGCATGCACAGTTTTGCGGAGCTGCACCTGTGCCTCCGGCTGGAGAGGGAGGCCCGCAGGGTGATGCTCAGCAGGTTCTCCGAGCTCATCGAGCAGGAGGAGTTCCTCGAAGTGGACCACGAGAAGGTGAGGTCAGTGCTGGATGCTCAGAGCCGCACGGTGCAGAGAGACGAAGTGCTGATAGACGCCGTGGTCAGGTGGGTGACCCACGACCCCGACCGCCGCCTTCACGGCGTGTCGGACCTGCTGCGCTCCGTCCACTTGGACCTGGACGAGGGCTACTTCAGAACCACGCTGGAGGTGCACACGCAGTACTTGAACGGGAATAACGGTGGGAAATTAAAGTCTCTGATTGTTCAGGCTTTAAGGTCCTGCGGCAAAGCCATATCTGGAAGCAGAGAAGTTTCCTCCAGCATGTACGTCATCGGAGGATACTACTGGCATCCCCTCTGTGAGGTTCAAATCTGGGATCCCATCAGTGACACGTGGGTACAGGGAAAGGACATGCCTAACCACGGAAGAGAAAGCTACAGCGTCAGCCTACTGGGAGCAAACATTTACGTGACCGGTGGTTACAAGACTAACACTGTTAAGGCCTTGGACACAGTTTCAGTTTATAACTGTGACTACGACGAATGGACCGAGGTTTGCCCCATGATTACGGCCAGGTACTACCACTGCTCTGTTGCTCTCCATGGATGCATTTATGCTATTGGAGGATACAGACAAGGAGCTCCAGAGCAAGAGATGGAATTTTATGATCCTTTGAAAAACAGATGGTTCTCTGTTGCCAAAATGATCCAAGGTATGCTCAAATATCACGTCATACATAGGTCTGAACTGAAAAGGCATAAAAGGCAAAAAGTACATGAATGTTGAGGGAGGGAACTCAGTAAATGATCTTTGTGGTGTAGTCTATGATCAGTTAGTCAGTTATGGCCTCAGTGATGCTTTGAAGAAGCCTTTCTATGGTGCAATGGGATGGTCTTGAAGGGAACATTTGATTAGTTAATGTGTTGCTACAGGTTTTAAATCAGCATAAGTTCCCATTCCCAGGATTCCCATAAAGTCTTGCATTTCCCCACAGTTCTAAGTCACACAGTGTATCAGTAACAACAGAAAGGTTTCTTAGTAGAATAATAGAGAGGTCTGCCTCAAGCCAAATCTTTCACCAAATGAAATGCAAACTACAGTAAAGACACAGGATTTTAAGCAGCTAAAATCTTATATTACATGAGAATGAGAAAAACATTCCTCTCCCAAAGGTCCAGGAGCTGGACTCTTCTGTTCCCAGACATTTAAAGACTTCTGAAAAGAAGAGCTGATGATACATAGTGATAAACATGGGCCTGTCCCAACTTTTTTGTTGTTGCGTCATTGTATTCTATTTATATCTGCACATAACACAATGTCTCAATTTAATTTGAAATTGCATTATAGGTGTCCTTTTTCTGAGCATAACAGTTCTTTTCTATCACACTGAGATTTTTTTTATTATCTTAAAATGAAACTATGGTTTCCAAGGGTTGCTTTCTTTCTTTCTTGAGTGGATGGAGTTTGCTCAGTTGTCATGGCGATCGTTCTGTTGTCATGATAACATCACAAGGAGTCTGTACTTTATCACAAACCACTCAATACCTGAAGGCTCCTGCTTTTGGACACTAAAAACAGGATCACTGAGACCCTGTGAGGACAATGGAGCCAAATGCATCTGCTAATAAAGACGGCAAAATGCCACTTAAAGTACTTATAGACAGAATGATTTAGTTTCTTTTTTATAACTGAGTTTTCTTTTTACCACCTGTTAAATAACTCCTTTGGAGTTCCTCATCTAGAAATTTCAGACAGCTATTAATCAGCTAAACTATATCCCCAAAACCTTTTAAAACAGTAGAAAATCAACTCGGCACAAGATTACAAAGTTATTAATAAGATGCTGAACACTCAACACCCACAACCCACAACCTTATGTTTTCCTCAAATGCTGTTGATGGAAGTCCTCCCTTTATATGCCTCCTCAAGACTTAAAAATCTGTCAATGGTTACTCGTGTCATCAACTTTTTAACTAAAAGCATTTCTCATCTGTTTTCTTCTGAAGGTGTTGGAAATGCAACTGCCTGTGTGATGGGTGATAAAATCTATGTGACTGGAGGACACTATGGGTACAGAGGGAGCTGCACTTATGAAAAAATCCAGGTGTACAGACCAGATATCAATGAATGGAGTATCATCACAAAAAGTCCCCATCCTGGTAAGAGAAGAAAAAAAGATGGAATATGAGCGCTGATATGTTGAGAGCTTTGTTCTCATTTAAACTTCTCTGTTTCCAGAATACGGACTTTGTTCTGTGGCTCTCAATAACAAGCTATATTTGGTGGGAGGACAGACGACGGTCGCAGACTGCTACGACCCAGAGAGAGACGAATGGAGGCCCATATCAGTGATGAAGGAAAGGAGGATGGAGTGTGGGGCTGTGGTAATAAATGGATGTATTTATGTCACAGGGGGATATTCTGACTCCAAAGGGACCTATCTGCAAAGTATAGAGAAATATGACCCTGAGCTGGACTCTTGGGAGATAGTTGGGACTCTTCCCAGTCCAGCCAGATCACATGGATGTGTTTGTGTTCACAGTGTTAAGTGATTTGCCATTAACGTGAGCCTTTTGTCTGTTATCGTTTTGTACCAGCAAATTCACAGTATTTACTATAGTACCAATGTAAAGCTGCACTGATTGCATTCTTTAGTGAGCCATTTGCCAAACTGATGAGCATGTATTCTGCTTAAATCTCAGGGGACCTTTTAAAGATCAGTTGTAGACTTTTTGATGTGGATTGCAAGAGAAGGTTGATTTGAGAGAGTGAATGATGGTAAATACGTGTTCATAAAATGCTAAATAAATCACTACACTCCAAATAGGTCTTCTGAATTTCATTGTTTTTTCCAGAGAAGATTTCCCACATCTTGCCATGATTCATTTTGTGGATGTTTTCTAGGACAGAATCAAAGTGAAGTTTATGAGTAGTCTTTCATCAGTTAATTAAATTGTTTTTAAAGGGGGAAGTTACAGGCTTGAAAATGAAATGGTAGACATATTTATGTATGATACAGAAAATAGGCTCTGCCTTAGTTTTGTTGTCCCACATTGCCACCAGCTGGCTGTATGCTGCACCACACGGCTTCTAATGTTGGAATGAGGCTGTGTGAAACCGGAGAGGTATCAGCAGACCACACGACTTCTTTTTGGCCCTCATCACACTCCGTAGCACGCAGTTCTACAACGTGGGGACAGTGTTGAAGGGCTAAAAGTGCCGCGAGCAGAAACTAAACACGTTGTAAGTATAATATTTCACGCCGAAAAAAAATTCTAATGTTTTTTTGTTTATACGTTTGCCGGGAAACAGCTTATCTGAAAGGAGAATAAATGTTCTTCCACGCCTCTACGGCATGCTGCTGTTGAAGCGGTGCCACGCACAGTGTGGGTGAATAAGTGAACTAAATAGATCCAAAAATCCCTCTTCCACTGTACTTACGTATGCTGGCTTTGTTAGCCAAACTTTGCCCTGCGACCCGTCATTTCAAACGGTGTACTTTTGGTTCTTAAGACAGGAAGAAAGGCGGTTGTGTATCTACTACATTTAAGCTAAGCTAGCAGGTTAGTTAGCCAGCACAGGCTAGCTGTGTCATCTGTACGACTCGATGCTAGTCAAAACTGTTTAAGTCAGCGATGCCCTGATCATAGCAGTATGTAAGATCAAAATAAAAATAAAAAATCCTACAGGATCAAGCTGTCCACAGAGTGTCCACATGTGTAAAGTGTAAAGTGGAGTCTTGGTGCTTTCGAACCAATTTGGATCAGTTGTAAAAACTGTAGGTCACTGGGAGACTGTGGGGCTGAAGTGAATCAGTTCTCTCTTTGCACCACTTGTTCAACAGGTTCAATTAAATTTGGCTGTGTAGCTTTTGCGCCATCCCTCTTCTGCACCAACCACAACGAAAGCATTGTGCACACAGCAGAGTTCGGACAGCTGCTGCTCCTGGGGACCTCATGGACCTCTACATACTGATGGAAAAGCATGGGGGGGAAAGTGACATCAGAGTTGGAAAGGAACACTTCCCAGGGATTGACTGACAAACTCAAGTGTTAAATTGAAAAGTCTTTGGAGGCTTTGAATAAGCAATAGTGAGCAAACTCTGTGTTTTAAACACCTCAAAGGGGGCAGTTTTTTCAATCGGCACATTGTATAATTCTTTTCTTGGTCAGATTGGTTATTAATGTCTACAATGACATGGAAAAACCCAATATGGTGTGCTTAGTCATGGTTTTTATTGTCACAAACGGGGTAGCAGCTCAGTGAGAATCTCTGTACACGGCAAGTAATTTCTAAGTTCTTTGTTACAGTGATCTAAAACGGAGGAAATATCTTTGTTTTTTCTTTATTATCCTTTATGTACTACATTTCTGCTGAAAGTCAGGAAGCTTTAAGTTTGTTGTGTTTCCTGCCTTCTACACAGAAATATCATGGCAGAAAACCAAGAAGAGATGTCTCCAGTTGAGATGAAAGTTGTGCGGCAAATAGAGGTAATTGTGACTGTAAAGATGAGCCCCTTTGACCTGTAAGTAGCTTCTATGTTCAACTAACCAATTGTCTCTCATCCTCACCCAGTATTACTTTGGAGATCACAATCTTCCGCGGGACAAGTTCCTGAAAGAACAGCTGCAGCTCGATGATGGCTGGGTGCCTCTAGAGACCATGCTTAAATTTAACAGGTTTGTTTCAGTGCATCTTCACATGCAGGCTGTATATCCTTCATGTTTGGAAGTTTATGGTATTATTGTGCTCCGCACCACATTTCTGGTTTTCATATCACAGAATTTTTCATGTAAGATTGCTGAGAGGATTCTCCTCACTTGAAATATTAAAAACGTGTGTTTCTGAATCAAGTTTTGAGTTTGAGATTGAATGGATTTCTTTTTAGGTTGAAGTCGATAACTACAGACAGCGGCATCATAGTTGCAGCTCTCAAGAAATCCAAAACTGGCCTCTTGGAGCTCAGCGAAGACAAGACTAAGATCAGGAGGTCCCCAGACAAACCCTTACCAGAACAGAATGACGAATACAAAGACGCGCTTAAACACAGATCGGTTTACATGGTACGTTGCCCATCCACATAAACACTCATTCTAAGCAAAATATTCCAGTTTTACCCAAAGTCTTCAGTCTTGTTGTTTTCTTCCATTTAAACACCCCACCTCCCCCTTCTAGAAAGGCTTTCCTCTGGAAACAACTCTCGACGAGATTCAGGAATGGCTGAATGTGAAAGGCAACATAGAGAGCATTCAGATGAGAAGAAACCTGCAAAGGCAGTTCAAGGTAAACACTCCCTGTAATCTGACTGTTCCATATGTGGACTTCTGGTGAGAGAAAGCATTTTTCATGAAGGTGATTTTCATCTTGGCAGGGATCAGTGTTCATCTGTTTTGAAACAGAAGAGGCGTCCAAGCTGTTCTTGGAGCGTTCAGACACAAAGTCCTTCAAAGACAATGATATGCTCGTGCTGTCCAGGTGAGAGTTTCTGCATCCGTTCTTGGTTTGCTCTGGGATACGCTGACATATTCTGTTACCTTTCGTTTAGAATTCTTAAACGTTTGGACACGCCAGTTCCATAATGAACCTCGATTTTAAATCCATGAAAAATAATGTTAATGAATCTTTTTTTTGTTTTTGTATTTCCTGGTTTGGCTTTAAATGCAGAGATCATATTGTCAGCTAGTTATGGATATGGTGTGGATAAACCTTCTCATTATACGAGTCGTCTTTTCTTTTCCCCACAGGGAAGACTACCATGCAAAGAAAGCCGAAGAGAGGAAACTGTTCAAGGCAGAAACAAAAGCAAAAGCCAGACAGTGAGTACTCGAGATGAAGCACTCTACGATGACGTTTTCTGAAAATACTTTGTGTATTTTGGAAAGATAACTGACAGGCTTTCTTCCATCCCCCCCCTCCACCCACAAAAAAAATCGAAAAGTGAAAAGGAACAGAAGCAAAAGCAAACTGAGGATAAAGAGATGGTAGGACTGGCGCAGCTGATTTGTTTGTGGCTGGGACTCCCTTCATGCAGAATCTGGCCTCGTTAACAGTGATTTGCCATGCAGGGTCTGCTCCTGGATGAACAGACTGGTTGCCTTTTGAAGTTTTCCGGAGAGCTTGAAGATGTTTCAAGAGAGGACTTTCACGAATTGTTCTCCGGGCATGGAAAAATAAAGTGGGTCGACTTCACGAGAGGGGCCAAAGAGGTGAGTAGCCTCTCTAACAAAAGTCACAGGAGAGGAAACTTTGAATTTAAATTAATTTATTTCCTTTTTACCCCATAGGGCACCCTGCTTTTTGATGGCAGTGCAAAGGATGCCTTTGAAAAAGCAAAAGAGACCAGTGGCGGCGAGCTGAAAATCAAAGACAACTCGGTTACGTGGCGGCTTCTCGAGGGAGATGAGGAGAAAGAGGAACTCAAGAAGATTATTGAGGCTCAACAAGAGTCATACAGCAGATCAAAAGGCCGAGGTAAATGGCCCCGAAAACTGTTATACAGCCTACAAAAGTACATAGGTGAGCAAGCACTCGCATAACTTTTCCATCTTAAAAGGTGGAAGAGGAAGATCAGGGGGCAGAGGAAGAGGAGGCCGGAGGGGGAGAGGTGGCAGAGATCAGAGCAGGCCTCACTACCAGGGGAAGAAAACCAAATTCGAAAGCGATGATGACGACGATGACGGTACGTTTGAGAACTTTTTTCCCCAATTATTTCTCTACAGGATGTTGGTGAGCTAATCGTTTTCATCTCTTCTGTTTCTCCTGCAGCCCCAGCTCCCCCAAAAAGACAACTGGAGGACGCCGATGGTCCAGCAGCAAAAGTGGCCAAAACCGAAAATGGATCTTAATGATGAGGTCGTACCCTGAAATTTTCTTTAGTAAAAACATTTATTAAAAAGAGTGAAAATGCAGAGGCAACTTAAATCCATTCCAGTGAGAGCATCAGGTTTTGGAGAAGCGTATGAAGTCCACCTCGATATCCACCTAGAAAAACATTTGCAAAGCTTGGAGTCAAAGTTCACCTTTCCAAGTCCCTATATGTTGTGCCTCTCACATTATTTGTGTATCGTTTTGATCATGTTTTGATTTTAGTTCATTAAAACATATACCTGAATTTGACAGTTATTTAATTTCACCATAACATTTTAGTTGTGTGGTGATGTTCTTTTTCTTTGTAGATTTCCTACATTGACGAACATGCGGTTGCTTCATTTTTTTAAGTTTGCATATGTGAATAGAAAAAATAAAACATTTCTAAAACCAGTTTCTCTTTTGATCGGATGGAAAATGTGTCTGGTCCTTTTCAATTTCTGCACTTACTGATTTCTTCTTGTGAAACTTGTATGATGCTGGTAAGTCGTATCGTAGTTCTGCAAAAATAATTGAGTTAAGTGTCTGAATATTTTCATTTTGGAAAAGATGCAACTACATTTGACTTACCTGCGATGATTTCCATCTTTACCCCCCAGTCTTTGGCTTTCTTTTGTATGTGCTGTGATAACATGAGGAACAATATTAAATAGCTGAACCATCACCCCGTACAGTCAGATTTGGACTTGAATGGAAAAATACATCACCTCTCTTGTGGATGTTTTATGAAGTGAGTACACAGCTGTCTTTGCCATTGTTAAACCTGCTCTGAGGAACTTCATATCAATACCTTTGATTAAAAAAAAAATTTTTGTTTTTCATTACCAAACCACATTTATCTGATCTTCCAGTTCATTAAAAGCACACTAAAGAGCACTCATGTCACAACCTTTGGGGACTATATAAAATAACTTGTTCCATCATGTATGACTTTCATCACCCTGACGTAAGGCTTAAATGTTGGAGAACTGATTACCCCTTACACTAACCTTGATTATGTTTTGTGCCAAAAGGCGGGTTCATTATAACGGTGTCAAACTTTTGGGCATATGCCTCTACTTCCAGGCAACACAAGTCACACTGGACCAGATCTACGTTAGAGATCTCAAACTCCTCTGCGTTTCTTCTATAAATGTCCAGCGCGTCATCGTCAATGTCAAAGCCGACGCACAGTCTGTGAAAAGAGGGGAGGATGGTGAAGCTGTCAGCAAGGCACAGCTTGTTAAAGATAACTGAACGTGTTGAAGGTCTCACCCGGCGTCGAGCATCGCAGCACCGATGCTGAGGACCCCACAGCCGCATCCCAGATCTGCTACTAATTTGCCCTCAATGTCATCAAACGTGCTGTTGATTGTGTAAAGCATGCATGCTGTGGAAAATGACACAATGTGGATCAGAAAAATATAATCAAATTCGAACATGCTCACTTAAAAAATCCACCTCACCAGCAATGTGAGGGCTTGTCGGGTACTGCTCAAGAAGGATTTTTGGCTCTTCAAACGTGTCAACCTGCTGTAGACAGCTTTCTAACTCTTTAAGCTTCATTGTCAGGGGACTGCACTCTCCCACGCTAGAGAAACACAACGTGAGTGTTCGTTTTAAATGTAAACCATGACTGTAATCCTAATTGGAGACAACATCCGCAAGGGTTGTGCATCACGCAAAACAGCCCGACAGGGAACAGGGAAGTATTAAAAGGTTTTCCTTCTCTTTATTCTTTGATTAAAGGTAATGAATAAATAACTCATCTAAGATTCTGTATTATAATATGACTGATGGCTAAATAAATGATAATACTACTGCTTAGACATTCAAAATAAAGACAAATTCCTATTTTCCGAAATAATAGTAATGAGTATCTTCTAAAAGAGTAGCGTAATTAGTCATTTGTAAATAGTTAGTGATGTATTTTAAAACAAAACAAAAATGATCAGTTGATAGCTTCAATATACCCAAATTCGACCATCTTTTTAAACATTTGAAATTTCTCTATGCATTGAGGAACAACTAATAAATACTAATTTGCGTTAATCTATAACTAAAACCCATGTTTAAAGTGATTTTAAGATATAGTTTATCTTCTTAATTCAGTGTGTCACTTTTCCTTTTGCTCTATGATTCAGAAAAAAACCAAAACAGAAAGAATTACATCCTACAGCCATAAACGACTTATATTTGTTCCTCTAATGTCATTAGACGTAGAGTCATTTTAAACAAGGCAATAATGTATATATATATATATATCCTTGCCTTATTTAAAATGACTCTACTCACAACACAGGAAAGAAAGCTTCTCCAATCAGAGTGGGACGGTCCCAACTATCAGTTGCTTAGAAACACGCTAAACAAAACAGGACTGCGATGACTGTGCAAGAACAAGTAGGCTATAGATGATGTAACAGCCCTGTTTAAATGGGTTGTAGTCACACAAGGCAAAATAAAATCAAACACAGACCGACCTTTTTTTATGTAATTCATAGGGTAATTTCGTTAATTCGACAGTTAGTAACCACTACGTTACGAGTCATATCGCGAGAATACCCGAGAACATGGAAACACGACAACAAAAATAAATTTGTGGACAACAAGCCAGAGTGCATGATGGCGGCGTCGCTGCTGCGCCGGGACAAGAGAGCTACCGCTGCCCACTTGAAGGCAGACTTAAATCGAACTGACAATAGCTCAGGGCTCCGACAACTCCAGGAGCTGCTCGACGCTGTGCTAAATCCCGAGAAACCAGCAGCAGACACAGAAGCTCTTGACTGGTGTAAATGTCTGATTGCAGGAGGCGAAGGTTTCGAGGAGTTCTGCAAAACGGTCCGCTCCTATGACAACGCGACTCTGTGCGGCTTGGTTTGGACGGCTAATTTCGTGGCATATCGATGCCGGACCTGCGGCATCTCTCCGTGCATGTCACTGTGTGCTGAGTGTTTTAATAACGGAGACCACACGGGCCATGACTTCAACATGTTCAGGAGCCAGGCTGGTGGGGCCTGTGACTGTGGAGACAGTAATGTCATGCGAGACAGTGGGTAAGTCCAGGCTAGCCGTTAGCTAAGCTGCCGATGCTAACTAACTGATTATCGAGTGTCCTTTTGACAGCTGTTTGTGAGAGGTAAGGAAACGTAGTTATTGGGATTACTAAATCATCTTAGTTCATGTCAGTTTGTGTATGATTCAGCTAGAATGTGCTTAAGAACGATTACGGTTCAGCTACAACTGAAATCTTTACAATGCTCCTGTCATGTGTTAATAGGCAACCCAAGACCGGACACCTCTGTTCATATAACTTGCTAAACATAATAATTGTAACTCAAGGATCAGCACGTCTCTATATTACCTTTTAATTAGCGCTTAGATACCCGTCTGGGAGTTTGGCTACATCAGTGTTTTTATATTCTGTCAGAGCAGAAAATTAAAAGCCAAGTTAACGCTTTAGATTGATCTTACTGGTTAATATCTCCCCCCCAAAAAACGTCTTCTGTTTTTCTAATTCTGCAACATATTTCTATAATTATTTATAGATATTTCAAACCAAAATCTCAATTATTAACCGCAGTCCTTTACAGATATTCATGCAAAAATGATAAAGCAGTATAAATATTGTTAGTCCATGTACATCAGATTATTGTCATATTTTGGTTATGACATCTGATGGTTGTCAATAATTGATTAATGTGATATAAGTTTGTGCTATCAGGCTATTTAAATGTATTTAAAAAGATGAGCACTGCTCGGTGTTAATATTTTGATGACTTTTTTTAAGTGGCTTTCATTTTGTGAACAACTATCCCTAAGGAAAGGCTATTATGTTTCATGTGCTATTATAGACCACACTGTTTATGAGAAAGGGGGTGGAAGGGTAGTTTTTGAATATAACTTTGATGTTTTGTTGTCATAATGTCATAAATAGTTTCAGCTGAGAGTACAGCTGTTCTCCTCTGTTCATTTTATGCCACTGTAAGTTTTAGATCAGTGGTGTCATTGCTTTTGACAGTTTTCTGTATAAAATCCAGCAGATTGTCTCCCCCTTGTTCTGTTCTTTCCCTTTTCACTTGCATTTTGATATCAAGTTTTGGAAGTAAAACATGACACTAATGGTTCTTTAGAACGCGAAGAAGGGGAGCTGGGCTTGTTCAGAGGCTTTTCAGATGAGATGTAACAATGAGATGGAAAAAATCCCAAAATGTCCTTCATTCAAGTTTACTGTTACCTGGATGACAGAGAATCTCTTTTGACAGCTTAAGTAGATACTCAAAGAATTGCAGCTGGTTATATATTACAATTAAACTCCTGGAAATGCAATTTTTTTCGTACACCAAAGCTGATAACAGGGTGAAAGAATTTGGGATAAAAACATGGAAAATGTGACTTCATATTTTCATTCCACTGCTGTTAATGTGGATGAAGGGAATGGATTTGGACAATCCAGCACAACAATTGTTGTCATCTTACAGAGTTGGATCAAGTTTTTGTCATTATGACAAGCCTGTTTTTGTTTTGCCATGCAGAAACATGTAGTCGGTTCATTTGTGTGTCATGATGTCTGTCAGTTTTATTATTTAAAGTATGTGTCCTTTTGTCAAAAATGTTCTGATAGGTTTTGTAGAAGGCATCGGTTGAAAACTGGAGAGAATGTCCCATCAATACCTCGAGATCTTCTTTTGATGTCTGAGATGGTTCTTCCTCGCTTTATCCTGTGCATCATACAGTATCTAAGAGATGGATACATCGAACCAGGTGAACTGTTTTAGTTATCCAAATATTTAGCATTAAATGTAAGAAATAACATGTTTGAAAATGAGATATTTAACTGTATCCTTTGGCTCACCATTTGAGTATAAGTTGCACAACTGAATCTACTGTTCATGAGTGATGTTGGTATTACACAACTATTTACATCTTTAATTACGCCCGCAAAAGCCTTCGTCTTATTACTGGTATTGCTTATCTTGGTCTACCAGACACCTCAAATGAGAGGGATCTACAGAAAGTGCTGCAACAGCTGGAACCTCAGATCTCCTTCCTGGAGGAGCTCACAAAGATGGGAGGAGCCATGAGGACTGTCCTGACAAAGATCTTGACCAATCAGCAAACATTCAAGGAGTTGAGCATGGGTAAATTAGAGATATGTGAAAAAGAACATTGCTGGTTTATAAATGTCAAACAATTTCAATACACATTTTTACATATTTTTAATGTAAAATGTTTTAGGAGGTTTTCTTCATTTTGTGATCCCAAAATGTAATTGAAAACCTTCTATACTCTGTTGTTTTTGCAGGCCAAGAAGATAGTTTGTACGCTAAAAAGAACTACGACAAGTATTTATCAGCGTTAAAGAATTCAGGTCTGGTTTCTGTGGAGGAGAAAGCCCAAGGTTCTCCCACTGATGTCACTGTGGGGGCTGAAGGAGGTGCGGGGGCAATGGTTCTGCTCGGTAGGACACGCTTTGATCAACTTTGTGTATTATTGTTGAGATATATATATATGTATATGTTATTCATTGCTCTCTTCAAGGCTTTTTGTGATGATAAAGAGAAGTGTCTGTGAAAAGAGGGGGAAAATGCTTACTTTTAATGATTTTTACACATAAATTAGATAGATGAAAGGCTTTGTGGTGGCTGTAAGTTACAATGTATTATTTCCCTTTTGCAACAAGCATTATAGCATCATCCATAATTCCGGTTATGGTTATGTTAAATAATAAGACTTCTATAAATCGGCACCATTGGGTACAAACTCCTCAGGCTTATAAACTTGCACAGGCATCTTTTATGTGCCACAAGCTGCACACAGTGTGCATGTACAGTGCAGGTTAATGTTCACACATGATGTCACTCGTATAACCTAAGCAAATTAAATCTTCTGCTAAACAAACTCGGATGTCAGCGCTCGCTGCTGGATAGACTAGAATTTTTACATATCATACATCTATTATATATTTTTTAAATGGCTGAATACCATGATGACCAAATGGTTTATATGAGCAAATGTATTTTTGTTTCCCAGCAACAACCGGACCAGCAAGCCCAGATGAGTCCAGTAAAGAGGTATCGATCAACATAATCTATTTTTCAAGAATTAAGATTAGCTATATAATTTTTAAAATAGAAATCGGTGTATACTCACTCACTTATATTGTGCTTCCTATTAGACATGTATACAAACTCTACGCAGAGAATGAAGCAGCTTTTTTCCTCATAATGTTAACTGAATTACCTTTTCTGTTGAAAAGTGGGGTTTAGTATTCTGCCCAAGGTCTGGGGATGACCACTTTACATTCCGAGCCATTGGAAAGCCATGGCCATTTTTCTAATTATAATAAGTGCCCATCATTGACCAGAGCCGTACAACTGTTGGTCTTCTGTTGGTGCACCAAATTGACATTCTGACCATGAACTGAGTATGATTTATTGATAGTAAATCATTAATTCATATTTTGTTTAACTGTTAGTTGATGTTGTTGTTATGTGTTTTTCTTTTCTCCCAGGAGGATCAAGATGGGGGGCATTCTGTTGGTCAGAGGAAAAGGGTTAAGCTGAGCAGCAGTACCAAAGGTATGTGTGAAGTTAAAAATGATGTATCGCTGTAGAAAAACAACAGATCTACCTATTATGTGTCTTTTTGTACCCTCAGACCCGTGCATTATCGAATCTCTAAAGCACAAATGCTTTCTGGAAGAGTTGCTGTTCTGGACAATAAAATATGAGTTTCCCCAGAAGATGGTCACTTTCTTATTAAACATGTTGCCAGATCAAGATTACAAGGTATTTTCAGTATTCTCATTTCTTTTCCTTACTATATTGTTTAAATATATTTTAATTCTTGTTTGTCCTTTTCTTGAAATGCTGTGCACTTAATGATATGTAACCTAAAATCATTCTCCTTTACTTTGGCAAGGGTACATTTTGACAACAGCAAGCCTTAGTTGTGTTTTCTCCTCTTCTCTGGCAGATCACATTTACAAAAACCTTTGTTCAACACTACGCCTTCATCATGAAAACCCTGATGAAAAGCCACGAGTCCGACACCATGTCCAACCGCATCGTGCACATAAGCGTGCAGCTGTTCAGCAACGAGGAGCTGGCTCGACACATGACTGAGGAGTGTCAGCTGCTGGACATCATGGTCACTGTGCTCCTCTACATGATGGAAAGTTGCCTTATAAAAAGTGAGCTTCAAGGTAAGCTGAAGTAAAGCAGCCATGGGGTGCTCAGCTTTGATGACTGCTGTTCAGTTCAGGTGAAGGTTATCGGATTAGGCCATTCCATGGACAGATGTTTCATCTAGCCTTTCTCTCTGCTTGGGTAGGCTCAAAGTGAGCAGAGCTGGAACCTTTTTAAATGCTTATATTATTTTCAGTGCAGCCCTGCTCTCTGTATTGCTGCAGGCATCATTATGAACTGTAGTTCCTCTTTATTTACACGTGTTGCATTTCCTTTATGTTGCTATGAGTTCAGCCTAAGATATCATAAACTGGTCATGAGCATGTTCTTTGTTTCTCTCCTTATGCGTTAGATGAAGAGAGCAGTCGTCATGTTGTGGTGAATTGCAGTGAAGCGCTGTTGAAGAACAACACCTACTGGCCTCTAGTTAGTGATTTCATTAACATCCTGTCACACCAAAGTGTAGCAAAAAAGTTCCTGGAAGACCACTCCTTGTTAATGCTGTGGATGAGCTTTGTGTCATTTTTCCAAGGTAAGTCATTGTTTGTTGTTATTCCTCCTCCAATTGACTAAACGTTCTCAGACACAAACAGAGATGCATGTAATGGAAAGGTTTGAGGTTTGTAAGGTGGAGAAAGCTGATGGATTGATCACTACAACAGTATTCAAATGAGACAAAGTAGTTTTGAAGCTTTCACAAAATATTTGCTACTAGATGGAAGGTTTGACCTTTTTAAAATGTAAACACACTCAAATTCTCAAGAAATCCACAGAGTCTGTAAATGTAAGCTGTACAGTGGAAGAAAATCTAACACTCTCATACCTTTCGATTTCCTACAAAATGCAATGTAAAAGCCAAGTTGTCAGGAATGCATAGATTTTCACACATATTTTGTCACTAGCTCTTTTCTGTTGAATTAATTGCTTGCTATTGTATACATTAATTTTTCTATATAATTCAGGCTTTTATGTATTTAGACATAAATGTAGACTGACTTATCAACTAAAAAGATAACGCAAAGCAGAAAAAAAACAGTTTGAGGGGTGAATTTTGGTTGGAGCTGCTAACTGGCCACATGTACTCCACTGCAGCCTAAAAATAACATTCACCCCTGTGAGGTAGGCCTGAGTATCTTCTGACGGTTCAAGCACAGTGTCACTGTTACACATTGTATCCCCATGTACTGACCTAATCCATTTGAAGGATTCATTTTCTCTGAAGAGGAATGAATATTTAAAGAAAACTGTAATGAATGATGTGTAAGACTTGCAAAACCCGTCCCTCTGTTTCTAGGTATGAACCTGAATAAGCGAGAGTTGAACGAACATGTGGAATTTGAGTCACAGACATACTATGCAGCCTTTGCAGCGGAGCTTGAGGCCTGTGCACAGCCAATGTGGGGTCTCTTAACACACTGCAAAGTCAAAGTAAGTCCTCTGCTTTCAGTCAGTCCTATCGTACTCACAGTTGTGATTGTCTTTAGGGATTATATGAATGAGCATTCTGTGCATGATGAAATGAGAGTGTAACTCAGTATGAACTTTTGATTGTTTGTGAACAGGAGACACAGGAATACACTAAAACTGTGGTTCGCTACTGTTTGGAGACCCTGCAGATCTGGTTTGATGCCATTGGCTTCATTGACGAGGTAACTTAAAATGACAGATGTGATTATTTACAGACAAAGTCCTGTCCTTCCTCGTCTCTCATGACCTGTTGGTCTTTCATAGCCCGCTCCAAATCAAGTGACGTTTCACCTGCCTCTGCACCGCTACTACGCCATGTTCCTCAGCCGGGTATGTCAGAGGCTCTCAGCGCGCTGATAACTATATATATCTTTGAACTTTGAAGATAACCGTTGTGGTTTTGGATCCCCAGGCGGTAAAATGCCAAAGCCTGGATCTGGACAGCCTCCTGCCAGACCAGGAGATGCTGATGAAAATCATGGTGCATCCTCTCCAGATACAGGTATAAGAAAAGAGGACCGCAGAGCTATTTCCTTTCCTCTAACTATCTTATGTCAGTCTGTACAAGAGTTTTGCTCAGAACATTGTGCTTTTTGGCTCTAGGCTTGTCTGTCAGAGATCCACAGTAACATGTGGGTCAGGAACGGTCTGCAGATCAAAGGACAGGCAATGACTTATGTGCAGTCACACTTTTGCAACTCCATGATCGACCCAGACATCTACCTGCTCCAGGTTATATGTGGTGAATGCTGGACTTTCAGCATCACTCGCTTATAAGAATAATCATTAATCTCAATATCATTGCCCTAAACATTTTCGTTTTAAAAATCTGTTTTTTGGTCTTTCATTTTCACAGGTTTGTGCATCAAGACTAGATCCTGACTACTTTATATCAAGTGTCTTTGAAAGGTAAAATCTTCATTTCTGTATTTGCATGCTTAAAGCCTAGTTGTTCTTTGTGTTTGTTTTTAACACTTTGAAACTTAAAGGACCCTGGGTTGAGCTTTTGTTTCTACACTTCTATGACACAGGTTTAAAGTGGTCGACCTCTTGACAATGGCATCTCAGCATCAGAATGCCGTGTTAGACTCTGAGCAGGAGAGGCCAATGTTGGAAGGAGCTCTGACTTTTTTAGTCATACTGACAAGCCTCCGCATTCATCTGGGTAAGTGATCGAACAAGAATCTTAATATTCACAGGAGGTTTACCAGGTATTTGATACTTTGAAGTAAGTAAAATACAACTCAGTAACAGAGATTTTTATTTTCAATACTAAAAATAATAATGCACTTTAGTTGTTACTTTAAGGCTACACTTGGTTGAAATAATCTCATCTGAGTCTAATTCTTTTTAGAGTAAGGTTCCTATTTGCATCCCTCTTTTTCTGAGTTTGACATATATTGAAAGATCTCTTTTTTTTAAAGTGCAAAAAATGATATATTCCCACTCTTAAAAAAAGTCACTTTCATGTTCAAAGTCAAACATTGTACTACATGTACCAATCTTTTTTTCAAAATGCAAAGATAAGCTGTATTATGTTTGAAATGGTGATCACTGGCAAACTCTGGCTGAACAAGACACTTGTTGAAATCTAAGACCATTTTAAGATTGTGTTTAATGCTGGACGGTTATGTTAAGCCATTAAATTTGAGTCATTTTGTTTAACGGGTGTTTGAAGTCAAACCTTTTTTTGTTCTGTCATTAACAGGAATGACGGATGATGAGATCCTCCGATCTGAGATGGTGTCTCAGTTGTGCATGAATGATCGGACGCACAGTGCACTGTTAGACCTTGTATCCTTGAAAATGTAACAAATACATTAAAGGTCAGATATATTTTGTTGTCATGCTTTTTCCTTAAGAATGTTTTCCTAGATTCCTGAAAATCCCAACCCAAAAAGTGGAATTGTACCGGGAAGCTGTAGTTTCGAGGATATGCTCTCTGCCGTGGCTGATTTCAAAGCGCCTGTGTTCGAGCCTGGAGGCTCCATGCAGCAGGGGATGTACACACCTAAAGGTAAGGCAATTGTTACTTGATTAGCTTTTATGCTTTTCGAATGAAACATTACTGATACTACAGGTGGTATAGACGATATTTATGTTCAGATTGCATCTTCAAAATAAAAAAGTCTGTATTTTTAATACCAGCTCACATTGTATCGTAGATGGTTGAGTTGAATCTAGTAAATAGTTTAATTATTACTTGGACACAAATGGACTTTAGGTCTGTTCGATTGTGTATTTTTAAAGCAGCCCTTGGTAAATCAAGTCAATGCAAAACAGACATGTTAACATGCCTCATGTGTAATACATGTATTTCTATCTATGTTTTGTCTAATTTAACTTTCAAACATTTATATTGAATGTTAATATTTTAATTATCAAGACATTATTATTATGAAATAATAAAAATCCTTAGCATTAAGGTTAAAGATTGGAATGTTATGTCGTTACAATTCAGTCCCCCACAGGGGGGCAGGCTTGTATCACCTTTACAGAATCTTATACCAGACGTTTCAAAGCTCTTCCTTTTTCCTTTTTCTCCACCAGCTGAAGTTTGGGAGAAAGAGTTTGACCCCATTATGGTCGTTCTCAGAACAGTCTATCGTCGGGATGTCCAGTCAGCGATGGACAGATACTCAGCATTGTAAGTGCAATAATTCCCATTCAGTCACGATGGGGGGGGGGGAAGAAGTGTTAGGGGAAGAAAACATCTATATTTATCTCTGGATTGTAATAGGAAATAATTCTTGCTTATTGTGCCTCAGATGTCTCATTTGACATGTATAACTGGAAGTGAAGGAGTTAATTTGGGGTTAACTGCCTTCAAGCTTGTTGGGACACAGGAAGATGCTTATTATAGTGAGAATTTCCTATAGAATTTCCTAGAGAAGCCTGTGTTGGTGAAAGTGGTAGTTGGTAAATGTATGTATTTTGTTTAATCAGTAATGAGCAAAAAACACAAACTGCGACTTGAAATCTCTCCTTTTTATTTTGAATGTATGTGTTCATTATCTCTGTTGATCTAAAACAAGAACACTGATGCATCTCTGGTCTTGGCATGGCTGGTGGATTTGCACACATTTTTTTATCAGTACAGTTGGTGATTTAAAGATCGAGCCCCCCCAGAATATCTTATTTACTCAAGATATTAATGTAACATATGCTAAAAGTGTTCTTTTGACTCTATTCTTTTTTAGAGGAAACTACCTTTAGAATATCCGAAAAAACAAGAGCTCAATAAATTACTGCAAGGTGGGGTTGGGAAAGAATTGTGTCTTAGCAAAAGAAGGGCTGAAACTACACTCCTGGCTCTCTGAACTGCTAGCTCTTGTGATTTTTCCCTTTCTGCTATTTTGTTGTTGTAAAATGGATCCTAGTTAGGTTCTCGTTTCACATGTAGTCTGACCTTTTGTCCTCCAGTACTTGGTGTTTGACTACATATAAAAATGTGGCATATTTCAAATGTATTGAAGCTGCCATTGCCACCTTCAGTCTGATAGCAGCCTCGTTCACTCAGTTTGACTAAGATGGATTGCATGCCAGCCCAGTCTGGTTGTTGTAATAATGATTCAGTCATCTCGAATAGAGTGCCGCACATCAGCTGGGCTTTTGCATAGACTGAAATCTTTTGTACAGCGTTTTCAGCTTTTTGTAGTTCTTGTGATTCCAGTGTTAACATTTCTCCTCCTAATATCTTTTTCTTTTTCCCTCCTGGTCTGATGACATTATCTAGTTTGAAACAGTATGGCATTCATACTGGCAACCCATGGCCTCCTTACAAGGAGAGGACTCATTTGCATCCATGTTATAAAGGTCTCATCAGGCTACTACACTGCAAAACTCTGCACATTGTGATATTCACTCTTCTTTACAAGGTGAGCATTTTAACAGCTGTTCATGCATCACAATACGGTACTTTATTTGCATTTCAATTCTCGCTTTGGTGGGTCATTCAGCTGGAGCAAAACTAACAGTCACTGTTAATTCGTGTTGACATATTACAGCACGTTGTTCTGGTCACGTCAGATCAAAAGTGTAGAAGTCTAAAATGTTCCCTTAGAAGGTGTGTGATTTAATCTCAGAGTCAAAATTTGGGTGATACCAGTTGCTATTGACAGAATGTTTTTGTTTGCATAAAGAGAATGCTAATGATATTATTAGGTATGCTCTGTACTCAGGTTACCAATCATTAAGCCCAGTTTTTCCCCATTCAGTGACAGAATTCCTAGCTAAGAATGCACTTTATTGGTTTGTGTGTGAAGGTTATACGTTACCTGGTCCTGACAACCTGTGAGGATCAATGATGGATCCACTCTAAGTGTAAAAGAATGTACAGAGAGTAACTTAACATTTAAAGTTTGTTAGTAATTCAATTTTATTAATGACATTTTGAGAAACAGATTAATTGTAATTTTAAACTTCTTTTTTTATCTTAATCACCTTGTTTACAAGTAATTTTGGTCGTAGCTGGGAAAAACGGCATTGGTGGTAATGAGGCACAAATAGGGCTCCAATACATTTAAATTGTAATGCAGCTTTAAAGTTTAGCAAGTTCCATGGCAACATCTGAAAATGCCTTTTTTGCTACATTGTAACTTCATGGTTTTATGTTGTAGATATGGATGGATCACCAAAACATGTCTGAGCATGTGTTGTGCATGGTGCTGTACCTGATTGAGCTGGGTTTGGATAACCAGGTTCAAGACAACAAGGAGGAAGAGGTAAGATGGCAAGACCATAAATGTTCTTTACCTTGTGTTTTGTCTTTCTATAAATCATAACAAAAAGAGAAAACTTGGAACATGGCCATGTATGTATTAAGATGTCCCATCTTAATTAATACTGTGATGAAATACATGATTTTAAACTGTGATCATTAAATCCATTCTGATAAGTCTTGTGTCTGCTGGATCTTCTTGCTGTGTCTCACTGGATGTTATGCTTCAAGGAGCCTTGCATTGAGGAGCACTGTCATGACAGCTGGTTCCCAGGCACCAATCTGCTCTCCAATCTGCACCACGTCATCAATTTTGTTCGGGTTCGTGTTCCTGAGACAGCACCAGAAGTGAAGAGGGAGGCCCCTCCCAGCACCAGCACTGAAGCATCGTCTTATGGGCAGGTAAGGAACCAGTCCACTAAATCGTAAATCTTCCCAGATTTGAGCAATGTCGCTGAAATGATCTGACACATCATCATTTTTTTTTGGCTTATTGACCTTATCATCTCAAACTGAGTTCAGCTTCATAAGAACGCTGAATTTCTAAACTCTTAATGTCTTTAATAGGATAATTGAGTAGCCATAAACTCTATTCTATGGGACAGCGATCTAAATTTGATGCCAGTTTAGTGAATTCTTTTTGCTTAATTAAAACCTCCATCATTATGCTTAGCTAACTCACTGCAGGCTTCATGTTTAATCTTCAGGCACAATGCTGCAAGCACATTACCATTAATAGTAATGCTTTGTATACAATTAGTGAATGGTATTGTATAATAGGGTATATGTTCTCCACGGAATCTTTCTTTATAGATCTTAAAGTTTCTAATGTAGTAGTTTCCTCTTCAGATGAGAGTGGAGTGCTACTGATTGGCGTTTGTGATGAAGAACAAAGAGATTCAAAGATTATAGAAGGAACCGCATTTGTATTGTTTGCTTGGATGACATGTGGAAACACTTAGTTTACTGTCTCACAACTGTTTAGTTCATTCTGATTGACAAACAATTAAAATAGATAAGATTGATTGACGTTACAGCTTTAAATATTTTGTCAGAAAACTGAGGTATAAAGAATACATTATGGATTTATTAATCACTTGACATCATACTCGTTTTTTAAATGTTATTCTTTGTACGCATTTGTAATCCATGAAACTATATGAACTCACCACTTACAAATATTTGATTAAAAAAAACTGCTTAAATAAAGAACTTAATTGCTAGCAGGATTTAGAAGACTGAGTAGGTGTTAGTGAGTCAGAAGTCCTCTGAAACGGAACGAGGCCATGACCCTAATTTGCCTGTCCTGACTCAGCCTGTTAGGACCTGATTTTAGCTGTTGGATGTTTTGCAGATATGGCTACAGGAAGCTTACTGTAGCCACCGTTGCACATTTAAGTCCTCACATGTAGTTTATCTCTCACCTTCTATAGTGATTTTGTTGCCTTTATGCTGCTCTGTCATCTTATTTTGCTGTACTCGTTTCACAGAACTCAAGGCGTCTTACAGGAAATTGGAGAGAGGTAGCTGTCTGCACCCCTTTATGTAAAACAGTCTAATGATGCTAGCAGCTGCGTTTGTCTGTTTTATCTTTATTATAAAAGTATTTCATTGCACGTGTCCCTTTTTATGCTTTCCAAAGAAGGCCTGCCTCGCCGTGTTATGGAGTGTGTGCATAATGCTGTGCTTCAGCGGTTCCCCTCCCTGTTGACTGCTGAAACTAATTACGTGTGCAATGCAGGTTGTATAGTAAATGCTTCTAAACCGCATGTCAGGATGATTGATGTTGCCTCGGCGGGGCTATATGATGTATGTTTATTTAACAGTGCAGCTCAGGTTCTTTTACGTTAGGTCAGGTCATAGTCATCCTTCAGAAGGCCTGTTCTTCATGTCAAGATGATTTCTCCAGTATTTTGGATGTAATGAGTGCTAAATGTGAGCTGAAATTTCATAAAAGGCATTTGATTTAGATTTGATTTAGTTTGTGTTGATCCCATTTGAATATGGCAAGAAGATGCTCTGCCATCCATCGAGTCCCACCTGAACAACAGATTTATATTTTGTAGATTTGGTGTTTGCTTAATTTTTAAATACATTAGGCTATTGAAATGGATCAGGTTTTGTAGAGATATTTTTTCTCTTCTCATGCGAGTGGTTGTGTTTACTTCAGCAATAAGTAGTTTTCCTACAGTGTCAGAGACGAATCTCCCATCGACCACACACACAAACATCTCTATGCTTCACTTACAAAGGCTTCCCTAATTTGTAATCCTGAGTAAGTTAGCGTGGATGTTCATTGTCTCCTTAGAACCTGCGAGAAGCTCAGGTGTTCAGTCTTGTGGCAGAGCGCAGGAGGAAGTTCCAGGAGATAATCAACCGCAGCAACACTGAAGCCCAGGTTGTCAGGCCTAAGAGTTCCTCGACACGCTGGGTTCCGCCCGGCACACCTCCCCAGCTGGTGACTGAGATTCTGGAGATCAGAGAGAGCATGCTTTCCCTCCTTATCAAGCTCCACCAAAAGATGTCCTCCAAACAGAATTCTCTGTCAGCATCCTGGCTGGAAGACATGGACACGAGCCGTCTCGCCCATGGGGACGGCATCACAGCTATTGAGCGAATCCTTACCAAGGCAGCCGCACGCAGTTGCCAAATCAAGCGAAGCATCCAAGACATTTGTGGAAAGGTGTGCCCTCCTGTGCCACCGAAAAAGAACAGCCCCACTGACAAGAAAGCAATGGATAAAGAAGAAAGGTAATGTGGTTGCCGTTGGCTTATCTTCTTTTTAATCTGTTGTTGATGTTGTTTACAAATAGTTTTTTAATTATGAAAAGTTACTGAGAAGACAGAGGCATAATTTGCTTTGTAATTTACATTCCACATAACTTGTATACTATCCTACAAAAATTCCATAATAGGAATTACAACTACAAAATAAGCTTTATTCGATTCTTTAAAAAAAAAAAAGTGTGTTGAGTTTTGGCTTTTTCCCCTCACATTTACCCCATAGCCTGTGTCCCTGCTACCTAAAGGTAATGATGATGGAAAGGACTATAACGGTTTTGTAACGATCAGGTTTTGGGGCTTGTTTCACCCCACAGACAAAATCACAGATAGGCTTTCACATCAACTAAACCTGTTTCCAAGGCAACCATCAGAAGGCAATGTGGTCAGTGGCAGTGAGGACTGAGAGGCCCATTCATCAAGCTGGATGCTGGCAGCTTTTAAGCCATCAGTGAAAATTCCTGAGCTTTGACATTCCAGTCAGCATTATGTTCTTTTCTCTTATTTGGGACTTAAGCCATCAGGACGTTTTTCGTCAGAGGCTTACCCCACAATACTTTATGACTTTAGTACAATCCGAGTGACTGATTTCAGATCATTTTAACTATTATATTAGTGATCTAAAACATATGCAAACAATTTGCAATAATTTGTTTTTTAGGCTTTTGTTAAATAATTTGATTAACATGTTTCACATAAAATTGATTCACTCTTATTTATTTGTCTTTGTTCAGGCGCCAGAGGGCTCGAGAGAGGCAGCAGAAACTACTTGCAGAGTTTGCATCAAGGCAGAAGAGCTTCATGGAAACGGCCATGGATGTTGGTAAGTCGGCCTGTTCCAGCGTTAGGTTTATTTACACAGCTTTATTTTTCTTTAGAACTCAAGTAAACATTCTTTGTGGAAACTGAAAGACTTCAAATGCAGCATATCGAGCTACACTGTCATTGGTTTGAAAAAGTATTTTTTTTGTGGGGAATCACAAAGCAGATGAGTGCAAAGGATCTACAACTTCAATTCTACATTTAAAAAGGGTTAATCACTTTTTTTATTTTCAGATATTTCTATCAAGTGCTTTTTGTAAAGCTAAATACTCAGTAAAAGCTGCTCCTTATCTGAACAGAGACCACTCGCATTACATGTGTACTAAGACCATGCTTGTGAAGGACATCGGGCTGCTATAGCCCTTCAAGAAAGATGCTCCTGGCTGCAACAAACCCATCACTGCCTCTTTACTTTAAACTGGTCCAAGGTGACAGTGGGCCGAATTTGAACGCATGGTCTTTGGGGGCCTTTTTAGAAGGCGTTGAGTGGTGGATGTTCCCGTGGGGATGTTTGTGCCTGCCGGCATTAGGGCACTAAAGATCAAAGCACTAATAGAAGGCTGAACTCCCAGGGTCTGCTCTGACACAGCATGGTTAGCAGATGAATAATAGCTGCAGTGCTCAGTAGGACTTTTCAGGGACCATGCACCAACATTTGTCTGCACATGTCCTGCTGTGCTCCAGCTGTAGTTACTATACTGAAACATCAAAACTGGGTTCATGTATTTGTATTAATGATGGGAAAGCCAACATAAATTCTGCATATTTTACACTTCTTGAAATGATGGTGCGGTGGATGATTTGCTTAAATACTGAGTTTTTTTTCAGAATTTAGCTGTGAATCATCCCAGCAAGAATACATTTGAATCGATAAACTGTAGCCCCAGTCGTCACGAACTTGTTAATTTGTCCACATTAATATGTTCCATTACTTGATTACTATGTTCTGTGAAAAATTTGTAGATTTTAAATGGGATATTTGTCTACCATCAAATCGTTCAGCGCTGCAGTATCAAAATGCAATAAGAAATGTAATGGATTAAAGTTAATCAAATCAAAGTGAACCAGATCCTCTCGTCCAGTGAGTCTGTAGCTCTGTTGACTTTCCTTTAAGAATACTGCTTGCGTTCAATGCTTTTAAGAAGGTTTTTTCAGATTTATGCTGCTGTTAGTGTACTTTCTTTTTGACCTTTTCACATATGTGTGCGCACCCACCCATTAGTGGCTCTGTGTTTTTTGGCGGCCTGAGGCTAAAGTCTTAGCAGTGACATCCAGTGCAAACAGTTTTTATTTCCCCAGGAACATACTGACCTCTCCTGAGAACACGTTCCTCATGAAAGCAATAAATCAATTTATAACACGGCTCGACATTTCTTTGCAGTGCTTAATGTTCAAGCTGAACACAGTCCGTAACATTTAAAACCAATTTCACATTAGTAATGAATTTGTTGTGCTGCTGTGATCAGACAGATAGGGCCGATAAAGAATGAGTTTCATATTTTAATCACCTTACATATTAATGTAAAGTTTTAGATGTGATCTTCTTCAATGTCAAGAAGTTTTTCTAGTATAATCTCAGTTTCTGTTCCATATCAAGGAGACGCATCAGAACTTTTTTCCCCCCGGAAGGGATGAGTGCCTTAAAACCACGCAGTCAGACTAATGACCTTTAGTTGATCGGTTCTATGAGTGAGCTTGTATGAATAAACATTTTCAGTATTTGACTTATTTTGTTCTTCTCTTACAAGAATCTCCTGAAACTGAGGCTGCCATGGATTTAGGATCATCTGAGGTGGTGGAATCTGAGGTTCTCTATGATTGCGTGATCTGTGGCCAGAGTGGCCCTTCCACTGAGGATCGACCAACTGGCCTAGTGGTTCTCCTGCAGGCATCCTCAGGTAGAACATCAGCCCGCTTTGTCTTATATTTACATTTTAAAATTTGATACTGTTAAATGGACAAGCCTGTCCATTAATATATATCAGACAATGAGTTGTTGAACTACATGATTGATTAGAGCAGTGTCAGTAAAAAAAAAAAAAGAAATGTAATTCGGTATAACACTATATGTAAACTCATCAAAAATGACGACAAAGAAATTGGACAAATCAACATTTTCTTCAAATATCATATCATTTTCTTCTGGAAAGAGCTAAAGAATGGTGGAATTATAAATACAGAATACAGTTCATCTCATTACACTGATGACTGATTTATCTTTCAGTGCTTGGGCATCGCTGCAATAGCAGAGAGCCAAAGAATCTACCAACGAGTGACGAAGAACACATTTATCCTGCAGACACGTGCGGGGTGGCTCATGATATCCGGCTCACGCTCATGCAGCAGTTCTTCAAAGATGTATGTGACTTACAAACGAAACCGATAATTTATATCACTTTTAGGGATTTATCTAAATTTTACATGAAGCATTAATCTGAAAATCAGGCTGTTAATGTTTTTGTTATATGCATTTTACTCTTAAGTGCATATGTTTATAGATCAAATTCTTATACCAAAATATTCATTTTTTTAGTTTTTTAAATGAGCATATCAAGTTTTATTTCTAATGACTTATGGATGGGAGAGATAATAAGTTTAAACTTATTTGATGTCATTGCATTAACATTATTTATTTAAAAAACAGCTCATTTCTGGACTCTACAAAATAAACAATGCTTGAAATATAAATGGTATTTGAACATTAATATATATATTTTTTGTCTCATGGATTCTGCAGAGCTCTTGTTTGCAGTCTGTGTCAATAGGCTGGGATGGCGGCGTCTACGTCCAGACCTGTGGACACACTTTGCATATAGATTGCCATAAGTCGTACATGGAGTCTCTAAGAGTAAGAAACAACATGAACTTATCAAATGGACACTCTCTTTAAGAATATGAGGCAGATTTTGAAAGCTGGTTGAAGACAATTTCTATCATTAGTCAAATAAGTTATAAATGTTTTTTTTCTTTTCTTTAGTTGTTCAAGTGAAAGAAATGTCTCCATTTTAAAGACATAAATAGGATCATATAAACAAAAACTAAATTCTTTAATATTCATTAGATTCTCACCTTTTCATTTTTGGTAGACTGTTGAAAGGCACTCAGCAGCCTGTTTTGTTACCAAGACATACTTAAAGAAGTTGATCAGCGATGTATATTATCTTTACGATTTCTTTAGAAAAAAATCGAAATCTATGTAGGTTAGAGTTTAGATTGACTAAATTAAATAGATTTTGCTTTTGTGTGTGTTCTTTTTTCTTTTTCTTAGAATGACCAGGTCCTCCAGGGTTTTTCTGTTGATAAGGGTGAATTTACCTGTCCACTGTGCCGGCAGTTTGCCAACAGTGTGCTTCCCTGCCGCCCCGGTCGTGGCATGGATGCCGGAGCGTGGCACACGCCCACAAACAAGAAGACATGCGTTCTTGTAAAAGAGGTGGAGGATCTGCAGGAAAAACTTGGCCTTTTCCCAGTAAGTTTTACATGGCCAGAAATGTATCATTATGATCATCTATATATGTTTGCTTCAGTGAGTTTACAGTGACTCAGTAATTCTGAATTACAAATAATAATACTTATAATTTATGGCAGTTTGGTTGCCACTGAAGAATCGGATGCTTATTCAGAATTTTATACAATTAAAGGATGAGGTGATAGAAAAGAATATACAGAAAATTGTTAATCTTTTGTTTGTTTGAAGTCTTCATTTGACCTTTTAACAAAACATGAAAATAGCAGAACATATTTTTTATATTAATGATTTATTACCATGCGATAAGTCAAAATTATTGTTGTATTGTCTTCTGCCTGCTGTTATCAGGTATTTCTGATTGTATACAACAGGGTTTTGAGTAGTTTTTACCACTAGATAATGCAAAAGGTCTCAGATGCAAAATATTTAGAAACTGTATGTATCAAATATGACACGTGTGGCATATTAAGATTAATTATGTCAATCTTCTCCAAGACGGAGTCTAACTTGAGTAAAGAGATGGAGTTGGTAATCAAAGACATCAAGAACACTACGCAGAAAAAGTACATGGACTATGGCAAGAACCCTGGATCCCCTGACAATGATTTCCTCTTCATGTATTCAGTGGCAAGGTAAGAACAGATTAATTTAGGATGTTTACGAGGGCGGGTCTTAAACATGTGATACGAAACTCATAGCTTCTTATTATTTGAGATGTTAAGCAGCAATGTTTTACAGAAGTTGAAGTTGTATTGTGGTGTGATTTATCTTCTTATATAATCCAAAAATGAAAGCAGCCGCTCTTCTGTGATTTCCCCCAGAGGTTGTTCGGTATTGTCAGACCTTGCTGTTTCCGCGGAGCACACTAAATTCATGATGTTTTCATTGTGAAAAATTACCATCAAAATAGTAATGAAAACATTTTCTGACCCCAGCATCTCAAATGTGCACAAAGTGCTGCGTGTGTTTCAAAGCACCAATCATCCCACTGAGAATACTGGGAAGCCTTCTACTTCATGCCCAATCTTGTATTTTTTAAATCCCTGAAAACATTTTTCTGTTTGTTTTTATTGCATAACTCTGTTTTTTAGAGCAGTATAGGTCAAAGACTCCTCATTTTATTCACCCCTGAAATCTTTATTGAATGTAGTTCCTAAACTACAAAACAAAATCAGATTGACCCGTGAAGAGGAATTACACAGTCCTTTTTTAGTTATGCATCGTCTTAACAGATTGGTCACAAGTTAAATAAATCACCCCCCACCCCACCCATCAGCACCACACATTGCCTCCCTGAATCCCCACCCGTCCCATTCCAAAAAGTCTGCCCTTTGTGTTATTTTGCCATCCAACCCTTTTCCCACCCAGTGCTGTAGTTCCCTTAGTCCCCCACCCCAAACAGAATGATCCCTTAAGAGTGTCTGGGTGCCCATTGGCTTTCTGGAGTTCATTGAACAGTGCAAATTGCCTGAGGAGTGGAAAATTCCTCTGTCACAGAGGTGCTCTTATCAGCAAAAGCCAGATGGAGCTTCACTGCAGCTGCATTATCTATGTGAAATTGCTTTTTCTCCCAGGAAACCCAAAGATTTGCCCCCTCCTCTAAGGCCCATAGGCAGAAATGGCCTTCTGTAGGGTGATGTGGCCACAGATCAGTGTTGTTCTAGCAATCCCTATCTTTTTTCACTATCTAAGTACAATGCTGAATATTTGAGTTTATTTTATCTCTGCTTTTTAATAGCAGAATTCATGTTTCAGAGTGAAATAAGTATGTTTGGATTTTAAATGATAATGCACCTTTTGCAATTTTGAATGAACTGTAGTTTAAATGCTAATGGCCCAGCTAGAGAAAATTTACTCCTGAAAAACTAATTTGTTTGACACAGAACTGCTGCTGCAAATCAGGCATATTAATAGAAAATGCTTTGAATGGGATGTGAATTTATCCTGAGTCAAACAGCTGAAAAGGGCAGGGTGCATAACCAAAAGGAGAGTAAAACGATGCCAACACCCATAGACACATTCACACACTGCAGTCATGCAGTAAAGAATACAGCCCCAAAGTTGGTGCTTCTGTTGTTGGTAGTAAATCAGTGACTTCTTGCATGATCATTTCAGAGTTAACAAAAATGTAATGGATGGGAGTTGTTACAGCATAATGAAAGTAAAACACGTCCATTTGAAATGTCCCAGTCATGATGCACAGCTTCACATCCATGTTTGTTTCTAAACTGTTTGCTCTCCTGCAGCCCTCGCTGTACAGTTCCTTCTCATTTGATTGAAGTGTATGTAGTGTCTTGAACCTTGAAGCCGTTGACTGCTTCTGTTGCTCTCACATGGAGAAACAAAGAAATTGAATGTTTGATTGAACTATGTGCTCCTGACAAGCTGCCCTTCCTAATGGCTGATGATTTGCTTTGAGCTCTATCTTTGTTTTACCTTGATTTTGACAAGTGATCAATTTTAGCTCTATTTCTTATTTACATGCATGAAGTTATCTATGATATGCCGTGGTTGATCTTGCTTAATATTTGGGTGTTGCCACCCCCTCTGTCACCCCAGGACCAACTTGGAGTTGGAGCTTGTGCATCGGGGAGGCAACTTGTGTTCCGGAGGAGCAAGTGCTGCTGCCAAACGTTCATGTCTGAGTGAGTAATTTTGCGTTTTATTTATTGAACACAGACCGTTGGAATATTTTTTTGTAAGCCATAACCTGCATGTACAGGTTGATGAGCAGATGAATTGATGGTTGATTTAGTTATGCTTCAATGCTGGAAGCAACCAGTCAAAACCAACAACTGGCTGAGGTAGTTTTTTAGTTCTAGTTTTTCACTGTACACATAAACAACTGTTGAAGGCAGGATGGAAAATGTGATCTAAGCTGAATCTCCAAGGAAAGGCTAAACATCATTTTTAGTGACTTACTAAATATATGTACTGTTAAGTATTATTGAACGGGCGGTTCAAATGTAACCATGCTTGATTTAGTTGTATAAACTATGTCCAATGTAAACTTATTTAATTGTTCTGTCAGAGCTGTGTGTGTTGCAGTTAAATGGCCTGTCATCCATGAGAAACTGAAAAGAGATTTCACACTTGAGGTTTGCCATTTATGAGCTACATTAACCATCTAGCCATGCCAACACCAAATTGACTCAGTTGCAGTACATTAGTGTTCATTCTTCTTAGGGAAATGGGTTTAAAGGGAGAGGCAGCCCATAAGGGCCCTCGGGGCTCCTAAGCCTGTTTCCCTGTGGGCGCGTCTTGTGTTCAGCTGATGAGGTTACAATTGACTACAGGAAAAACCTCTCTTCAATTCCTCCGGAATAAGCTAAATCAGAACTATACCGTCCAACCTTCAAAAAGCTTTGGTCCTTTTACTTCAAATATTAGAATTGACCTTGCTGGTGGCTGGTTCTGTTCAGGCAGTTTAAAGGTGAAATCATGTTGGCCTCAGATGTGCAGGCTTGCTGTCTGTATGGATAACCGCTGTATTTTCTTTATTTTAAACCTTTTAGTGACTTGTGTGACTTGATACTTTTGACACCAAGACCAAAATAAGAATAGAAGCCCTAAACATTTTAATATATCAGATGTCTATTATAACACTTGAGTACGCACCAAGAGCGACTTTGTAAACATGTATGGCTGTTTAAGTTCTGAAACACATGTTAAAACTATATAAAACTAATGCTAATCCTAAATTTTGTTTTCTTTGACATTGAATGGGGAGTAAAAGCAAAGGTTCCTTTTTTTTAGTTGACAACAGAAATATTTCCCCTTTATTTGATAACACACTTTACTGATTAACTGATTAAGCACCTTTGTCAGCCGAATAATGGTAACCTTTCGGAAAACACTGGCTCGTGTCACCACATTAGTCTCCCACAGGAAGTTCCCCTATTTTTGTTTTTTGATTAAGTTTATTTTTTACAAACGAAAAAGGGTTTTGCTGCACTCCTGTTTATAGAAAAGAAAATAGAAACATAGTGGGCATGAAACCTGGGGTAGATATTTGTATAATGTATGTGTGCATTCTAAACTGTTCGGAAATAACATTTGAAATGTTCAGCTTTGCTCTCTTTCATTAAGTTGTCTCCTACCGTTTACTTGTTGGAGAGAGGAAGTAAGATGTAGGGATGACAAATGTGATGTAACCAGAGATTGACAGACTTTTCCTCCTCTTTTCTTTTTACCTCTGGATGGCAGTGTTGCTTCACGTATATAAAAAATCACATAATTTGAAGCACTTTGCTGCATTACACCATTACAATTTACAACAAAGCAAGTTCAAATAGGATTAATGCGGGTGATTAGAAAAGTCGTACAGAAAGCTTTAGCATTTACATAACAAGGAAAAAACTTGATTAAACTGAAGATTTTGAGACACTGATTTAAAACATGGTTCATATGTGCTTTTCATCTCAATCTCCAGAATAGTTTTAATTACTAACTGAAAAAGAACTTGGGTTGAGTGAATTATTGGGATAATTGGGTTCATATATGTCAGGGTTAATAAGAAAGACAAGGATATTTCTCTGGAAATATGTTTCTTTCCATCCAGTTCAGTTTCCAGTCGTTTTTCTTGCTGCCAACCCATACATTTTGTGGACTATCTCCAGACAGATACAATTAAAGTTTTGAGGTGTCCTGCGACTCGAAATGTGTGTAATACTGTGCGCTTGTGTGTGCAGCGTAGGTCTTTCTTCATGTTCCATTACTTCCATAACAAACAGGTGTAGCTTTACTAAGGAGTTGCTTAAGGCTGTGGGGCCCGACCATGAATCCATCTGGCCTGGTTTTATCTGAGCCAAACGGTAGCCTCCAGCAATTTAGGTGTTTTTATCATTTGATCTACATTATTGTTTCTGTGACGAAAGACGCCAAATTATCGCTGGATTTGCTCCTTTACAGCCATTTGGAGTGTGACGAAAACATGTTTTGTTTTGAACCGTTTCAGATCAGCTATTCCATGTGCTGGCCATGCACATGCGTCTTTACAGCATTGATTCAGCCTACAACCCGTGGACGAAGTTGACTCAAGTGGCACAAAACAAAGAGGCAGAGTGAGTCCCTCTCTTTCTTAAGTACCTTCACTAACAGTTAATCTATACACCTCTCACATTTTCCATTCTCTACTGTCTATCACACTATTTTGTCCTCACATTAACATTAAGAGTCAGAGTGCCACTTTGTCCTGGCTCTAAATGCTACCATTTCCTCCTGCCCCTAACAGCTTTTCCTCCACACAAAGAGAAGCTAAAAACAGAAAAAAGGCACCATGCGCGGTTTCCATAGATACCAATAATTGCTGCATCTGGCAAATTACCGGGCACTCCACAGAGAGCAAAACGACCCTGTCAAATTCACTGTACTGAGAATAAGAGTACCACACTAACACCAGCACAGAGTTTCAGTCAGCAGCTGTCCTCTTTGCTTGAGAAAAAACTGCCTATGAAGACTTACTTTCTCTCTAAAAGACTGTATACTAAGATGTATGCAATAATATATTTTGCATATTAGCTATGATTATCTGTAGTATATCAGAAAAAAGGCATTATCAGCACCTAAATAAAGCAAGACTGGCTTCAACAGCCAGTTAGACAGCTTTTACACTTGTTTCTACTGAAGTGCTTGCAGGCACACAATATTCTCATTGGGCCAATTTGCCTTTTTAAAAATACATTGTTTGAGTTCAGGAGGGAGCACTGTCATTGACACCCTTAAGCGGTCGACCTGATCTAGACTTGTTAAATAGGACAGAGAGAGAGATTCCTCAATGTTGATGGAAAACGTTGATCTCGCCTTATATTTTTAAATGATAGAATCTTATACAGAAATATGGTAAAATTGTCTTACTTTTAAGTTACTATTGAAGGCAAGTATGGCTGGAAGCTCTGTCCTTTAAGCTTTCTTTCCAGCACACAGAAGAACTAAGTGGTGAGTGGAGGGAAGGTATTATTCTTTAAGTGCAGTTCCTCTTGTTCAAAAGCCCCAAAGCCTTTCAAGGGTCGAATGAAAATAAGGACATCAACAGATGAACAACAACAAAAGACATGCAAATAGAGATGAATCACAACATGAATGTGTTAGCGGGAATGCTTTAAAGATGTTGGTACGAGGATAAAAGTGTCTTTCTAAGCTCTTTATTTATTTGCAAATTTAAAATCATAGGTTCTGCAAACCTATGCTCTCAGACACTTTAAAGCCCATCTCTGTGCTCTTTGGAACACTTCATTTATCGCTAGTCTGATCTACAAATGTTGTTTTGCTGTTTATCTACTTTTATTTTTCTTCAAATGTTGTGTCCCACTCACACCATGAGAGGAGAAAAATAGATTTTTTTCCAATGTGGATTAATGTAGACCACCCAAAGGTTTTGGACTGAATTATTAAACAGTTCTTTTAATATTTTTGTTGAGAAGACATGATTAGATTCTCTCAGCAGAATGTTAGTGGGAGTAGAAAACCACCCTTAAAGAGGCTTCCAGCTGTAATTTTTTGTTATTTGCAAACACAGCAAGTGAAAAATGTGGTTCCTCATTTCTGGCTCAGCAACCCAGGCATATTAAGCTGCAGCTATTCTAGAAAAAGCCTACAGAGAGAAAATAATCAGTAAACTTGAGGGGGAAATGTTGATTGATTTTATTGATTGCCACTTATGTTCTTAAGCACACCCAGATCTTAGCAAAAACCCTGCTCTGTGGTTGGATTTGATGTTCGTGCTTTACTCTCGAGTTGGGCCTTTCTGTGTGTGTGTGTGTGTGTGTGTGTGTGTGAGTGTGAGTTACCCAGCTCTGCACTCAGAGGGTGGAGAACAGGGAAGAGGAGGGGAGAGAATTGCCATTTCATTAACATGGTGGTTGCATGCATGAATTGGGGCTATTTAGTGGAAAAGCAATACGTGGAACACTGACTGCTGCTTGTGTGACCTCCATCATTTTAACTTATAAATAAATAAAATTGGTTTATTAGCTTTGTGACATTGTATGATGTAAATGCAGGTCATTCTGAATAATGAAAAGCTCTTTCCTGTCTTTTCGCAGGGGCTTCGATGAAGAGAGACCCGAGGTCCCCATGCTGTTTCGAGATGTCCCGTCTCTCCTTATTATCTTTGTGCTAACTATGCCGCAGCCTCTGCGTAAAGGTACAGTCAGTCCCAAAGCATCATGACCCCCCCCCTGCCCACCCAAGAGAGTAGCTCATCTCAGCAGCCGCTTCATAAGTGCGGAGCCATTATCTGCCGTAATTTAGGCTGAGTGCTGGGAAGAAGCATTTCACATCTCTTATCTGAACTCCTGTTACTGTTTGGACTGTGAGGATCAGGAACACACAACCCTGATGATGGGAGGCCTGAGCTTCTTTTTGTTTGCCCTTCATCGATGTGCAAGGCCACCTCTAGTGCTGGATGGAAGATAATTTTACGAGGATGAATTGTTGATATGGACAATTAGAGGCTTGTAAAATTTATTTAGTTAATTTGACAATATCAGAGTGACAGAGGAACATTTATCATATGCATGATAAACAAGGACATACATTTCAAACCTGTGCTCACCAGCAGGGAGTTTTGGCACAATCTATCTTAAAAAGGTCTTTCACATGTGCTGAGAGGATGAAGTATTCTGCTTTTTAAAATATGTCCTCTAACTGTGTTTGACCAAAACTGGAGTTATCAGCAGTACATGCGCTTCTTAAAAAAAATTATACTTTTTATTGCACACCTTGTGATTGTTACACTGGTTATTCACAGAGGTGCTCTATGGTTGACTGAGGATCCAGGTATAATACCTGTAATAAGATGCCATTCTTCATACCGAAGATCTTTCTGAATTTCTAATGTCTTGTTCTCATGGTGACACCTTTTTGTGCCCCTGTAGAGCACTTTACCTGTGTGGTCAAGATGCTGTACAACCTGCAGTTCACTCAGGCTTTGTCTGCGCTCTCAACCAAGTTCAGCCCAGAGGAGAGGCAGGCCTGGGTCACATCTGGAGCACTTAAAAGGGTAAAACTGACCTCACAAAACATAAGCTTAAGGGAGCTGAGTTAACTTTGTGCTTTTGCTAATTTTTATCTGCATTATTGTCCCCTCTCACGCTCACTTTTCTTCCCCTGGAGAGTTGAATTATGTACACCAGGAAATGGGAACACTTTATGTTTGTAACCTTAATAGTGATGTCTTCTTTTATAAATGGAAACATTTTCATAGGAGGGTTAAAATCCAAAATTTAATTTCCTGCTTTAAAGCCATTTTTTCCCAAGCATTTCTTGAAATAAATGTTTTTTTTTTTTAAACGGCTCACACTACAACAAAGCAGTGAGTCTGTCTTTCTGTTGAGTTATATGAAACTCTGTTTCATTTATTTGACTCCCACAGTCAACGGCATCAATCTTCATTATCTGGAAATGTGTTTTGTTAGAGAGTGTTGCATTAATTGGCTATCTGTCTCAAGTCTGCTCAGACTGAGTGGCTGGCCTAAATGGCAGAAGACAATGTGGAAATGCTCTGCTTTATGGGGTTTCATCTGTAATGGAAGTCTCAGTTAGTATCTTTTAAGTGCACCTCTGCGCACATTAGTGATCATCACAGCTTCCTGTTGCATTCATTTTGGTTTTAAACTAAGTACCACATCCATATTTGGTAGAACGCTGTTGTAATTAAACAGAAAAGAATGCAGTTCAAGGAAACGTCAGAGTATATAAAAAAAGGAAATCTGTAGAGCTGAAATCCCTCCCCTATAAATCATGACAAAAGACTGCGGATGAGATAAGGCTGCTGTTTTATATTCTGCCCTCTTCAGCTTGATAAATGTTACTCTGTATGAAATACCATCCGAATCAGTGGAGTTTCTTTCCCAACTTGTATTGAATAATCTTATCTTTGCTTATCATTATAGTAACAAAAGAAATGTTGACTTCCATCTTTGTACATTATTGTGATCTCTGGTTCAGCACATGTTTTTCCGTCGCTGCTTTATTGAAGCACTCAGAGTTGATTCTTTCTGACACAGCCTTATGTTGTTTGTGTTTGATTAATTAAAACAATCACATGTCATCAGCAAGTAACTGCAGTATGTAATCTCTCAAATGGGTGACGCATTAAGGGAAAAGCAGAGTAAATAAGAGACTAACAAAAGCTTTGTTATAGGATATAACTGATGACACACAGCGGTAATGACATTAATCATTAGTCAGTGTGGCCTTCCGTCATCTGGCAGAGCACCTCCCCAAGAATGTGGACCGACGCTTTAGATCTCCTCCCCGCCACTACTACGAAAACACAGATTTATCTTTCCAGATAATACTCTTTTATCCCAGCAGATTCTCCGTCATTTCCAACTGGCAGTACAATTAAGCTGGTGTTTGGCTGCATTTTTCAGTTCCAGGTTGCCTTCGTGTCAGTTTGTGTCATGGAGGCGGGGCAGTTTGTTATGTTTAGAATGAGGTTGCCAGTAGGGATTAGACCATAAAAGCAGGTGATGGAAACTTCAAACCCAGGAGAGGAGTAACAAGAGGGGCTGTGAGTGCATTGGATTGGGCCTGCTAAAAGTCAGTGGATTAATCATGTCCCATCTCTTTTCCTTTTTCTTTGTTTTGCCACAGAATGCTGTAAATTCCGAAAAGTCTTTTGAAGCTCTGCTGAGTCACGTCATCAGTGAGCTCTCAAAGGACAAGAGTGTTTACAAGGTGAATGCAGAAGAGACAACAATGGTAAGACACCAAGATGACTGTTTAGTGAACCCCTGTCAGTCCCACGGCTTCCCTTCGTGGCTCTTCTTCATGTTCTCTTTTACTATAAATCAGCCCGTATAACTGTACCACTCAGTCTATTATCTCTGCTAATCTCCAGTGGGGATATACATCACTGTACTATCAGTGGGCTGCTAGTTGGTTATTGATCAGGCGATGCTGCTGTTTCCTCTTCAGCTGAGCTCCAGTGTGTGGTCCCCACAGTCCATTGAGTTCAGCCTGCAGCAGTTCTGCCTGCCCTTCCTGCGCCTGTCCTGCCTCCTGCAGCACCACCTGTATGGGGACAACCTGACTGGCTGTGTGGTACGTTCTCAACAGAAATGTCACCCAAAGAATGCTCAAATCTCTCCCGTGTTAGTATTTTGTTTATTTGTCTAGACATTAACCTCATCATTGAACAAGGAAGAAGACACAACTTTTCAGTGGAGTTTAGATATTTTTGGAAATTCTCTCATTTTTGGGAACTCACTGCTGGTTGTCTTTATTTATTTATTTTGTCCATCCTCAGGAGGAAGAGGAGTTCTCGTCCACGGCTGTGTGTTTAGGGCTGCTACCCTCAGCCCCTCAGCCTTCCCACATCGTGCACAGTGCCTCTTGTCTGGAGTGGCCCGTCAGCGCCTTTGAGCTGGTGACACAGTGGTGTGCTGAGGTCACAGGGCTCTCTCAGATGCATGCTGAGCAATCACTGGTACGTTCAGGATTTTTTAAAATCAGTTCAAACACGGCAACGCAAAGCATGCGAGTCAAGCGTTACCACAGCACTGCACAGTTCAAACCCTGTATCAGGTATTTAATGTGCAGAGAATGGCTCCTGTCTTTTAAAGCGTCGGGGGCATTTTGAATTTAGTCTCAGCCTTAGTTGACAAGGTCGATAACTGCAGTGGCTCTCCATCTCTTTTTAAAGACGGGCTGCATGTCATATGCCCTTGTTTTTTAGCTCTGCTGGAATCTTTGGTGCTGTAGATCATTTGTTGTAAAAAAAGTGGGTGTCTTGTATATCAGTTTATATTGAGCAGACAAAATCCTTAACTCAGGAAGTAGTTTTTATGTATTTCAGCGAAGAATGGCTGTAACAACAAACGGCTAGTCTGCTGGATTTTTAGACTGGAAGCCAAATTAATTCCTAATGAAGGTGCCACACGTAGAATGAGCCCGCCCAAGCAGGCAATGATTGAGTGGCCACTGCAAAGGAGTTATTTTGCCTCTTGCCTTTTGTCTCTGTAGACCCTGCTGGTCCAAGATCCGCAGTGGGCGGCCCCCCGCCTTCTCCAGCTACCTGACAATTACAACATCATATTCCAGTACTATCACAGAAAGGCCTGCACTGCCTGCAAAAAGGTGCCAAAAGACCCTGCTCTCTGCCTCGTTTGCGGCGCCTTCGTCTGTCTGAAAGGCGTTTGCTGCAAACAGCAGGGAATGTGTGAATGTGTTTTGGTAAGTTCCAGAAAGTTAGCCAAACTTTGCTGCTTCTTTGTTTCAGTTCTGCGTTTGTTGTACAATTTAGCTGTACAAATCTAAGTAAAATCATAGTCAAATGGAATCAGTAATAGAAAAAATGAGGTTGTTGATTTTGGTAATGATATTTTAAAGTTCTACATAAAGGTGAAGTCGTTTCTAGTTGCCTTTAGAAAGCCACGTGCTACTGGTGTCCCTTTTGTCAAAGCTGACTCGTTGCCTGTCTGCAGCACTCCCAACATTGTGGCGCAGCTACGGGCATCTTTCTACTGATAAATGCCTCAGTCATCATCATCATCCGTGGACACCGTTTCTGTCTGTGGGGCTCCGTTTACCTCGATGCTCACGGAGAAGAGGATCGCGATTTACGGTATTTAAAGAATTTAAACCTCTTGTTTTCTCTAAGATTTTTTAATGAAGCCTAGTCGCTCAACTTAAAATGTGAAGTCATTGTTTTAGTTTTGTATGTGTGCATTTCTTTGAGTACTCATTTAGATGTGTGAATGTTTAAAACAAAATCTATTAAGAAAAGACTAGATTGAATGCTGCTCTCAATAATGTCCTTGTTTTTCTTTGGCTTTTTTCCAGCCGTGGCAAGCCTCTCTTCTTATGTGAGGAGAGGTATCGAGTGTTGGAGCAGCAGTGGGTTTCTCACACCTTTGATCACATCAACAAGCGTTGGGGGCCTCACTATAACGGACTCTAAGATCTTCCAAAGTCCTCAAAACAAAAAGAAATGAAGCAAAACAAAACGAAACAAAAAAAGAAATGCAACCCAAGATGGAGATTTTTTTTTCTCTTCTGGTTTCCCGGCTTGTGTCTGCCTTTATCAAAAAAATATCTGGGAACTCTCAATGTGATCAACACAAACATCCGGTGAGGGTATTGCTGCCACAGCTTTGGTTTATGTGACGTTTGGTGTACAGTCATGCCTAAAAGATTAACACGTGTGTATGTGTTCAAGTGATTAATTGTGTGGTTTTCAACAGGGAAAATGCAGAATTTGGCGCGATCAGAGTGAAAAGCACAACTCCGCCCACAAATGGAATTGGCTTGGAGCAGGCCGGTAAAGCCTGTCTTATTCATTGGGTTGAAATAAATACGTAAACTTATATATCATGTGCTAAATGTCCCTGCAGAGTTCCGTTTTGCACCATTTATGATGACGTTATTGCATATCCCTTTTTATTTATCAGAATCTGCTCTGCTGTGCTGGCATGAGTTTAAAGCTCCTGAAGAGTGTAGTGATGTAATTGCAATCTACACTCACTGTCTGCTGACAGGTGGTGGTCAGCTGGGCAAGTCCACCCATCAACACATGAGTTTATTTGCGAAAAAGCGAAGAAGCTCTTTTTGGGTCTAGTTGCAATCCATCCTCAGGAATTTTTTTTCTTTTTCATTTTTTTTGGTTGTTTTTTTTTCTGTTTGAAATACATTTTAGATATTTAAATAAATGCTGCTGCTCTTTTGTTTAAATAATTTTAACTTTTGTGGAGGATTTTTTTTTATAAGGTTGTGCTTTGAGTTTACAATAGATGGCTGGGAATGTTGACTCAAACTCATTTTTAATGCGTAAGGAGGTTTGCGGTCGCCACATTGCACCCACTTCAGGTTTCATAGCGCTGTGTTTTCATGGCTTTTTTCTTTCTTTTTTTTTGCCTCTGGTTGGTTGTGAAAAGAAATTCAAATGCCAACTTTAAGACAGCTGCAGGCTCCCTGAATAGTCCAACCTTTATTTTCTCTGCTCCACAGATACCTTAAGTTTTCTTTCTTGCTTTTCTTTTTCTAAGGATATGTCACTGTGCAGACTTGGTGTTCCGCTGCACAGGCAAACTGCACACCATGTGAGAGCAAAAACATTACATCAGGTTTCTCAGAGTATTCTCTAAAGATAGGCCACCTGCTTGTGAGAAGAAATGCTTGTACTCATCATTGATCTTTCTGTGCTGTCAAAAAAAGGTTTCTCCTTTTTATGCTTTTATCAAGTCATAACCTCAGTACAGAGTAATTTATTATCTATCTCTTTGTCGTGCATCATCTAGTTGTGATTTATAGTTGCATTCAGACATTACAGAATTATCAGGCTTGAGTATCCGTTATACACTGTGCATGACATTGTTTAAGCAACCATTATTTAAGTGTCTTAGCTCCATAATTTTCTGATTATCATCTTTCTTTCTGGAGGAGAGGAAGTTTCACTCAGTCGTGCCTGCAAAGATTAATTTTCAGAGTGATAAATGGCATACAGATGAAATCCCCCCCCACGTGCTGTATGGTTGGCAATGCTGGGCTGTGTCGAGCTACGCTGTGGAGTTATCAAAAAGCAAGTAAGCACTTGAGAAATCTTCCTTTTTGAAGTCATGCATGCTGCTTCTCTCTTTACCGGGCTTCTCCTTTTTGTTTTTATTTTCGACATTGCCCACTTTGTAAATGACCGCAACCAAATAGCCAATGAGTAATGGGTGTAAATTGTAACTGAAAGCTTCTGTGTGTTCTCCTGTAAGAATGAAGAGAGAATACAGTACATTACTGTAGGTGCTGACTCAAACTTTCTGAGTTTGACCAGGAAGTATGACTTGGACATTTAATGCAAAATGTAAAATATGTGAATAAAATATAAACACATCCACTGGTCTCCCTCCTCGTTTTCTGCATGTTGCACCCAGAACATTTCTAAACTTGATTCTATAAAACTTAAAATTGACCTCCCTCTAATGTTTATTATGCCCTTTGAACTCTTACTTTACAAAACTTGGTTAGAGCTTCATATTTTGATATTCAGCAAGTGTTTTGTGCCCCCCCCCCCCCAATTCTGACATCGTATCTGCACCTTTACTCTAATGAACCTGACTGTCAGAAAACAATCAACATAACCACCAGAGGTCTCAGTTTAAAACAGCTCAAACATGTTTGATGCACAATCCATCAGAACTGTTAAAAGAAAAAAAAGAAAAATTGCACATATTTTGAGACTTTGTGAAAAAAATAAAAAAACTCAACAGTTAGACAGATATCTGGCTCTTGACTGGGAAAATAACCGTGGAGCATCTTCTGTTCAACTGGTCTGCACATGGACAATAGCATGACCTTCCCAACGCCAGGATCAAGTGAAATCAAAGCTGTCCCCCGGAGCCCGGAGAGAGGGTTCCGACCCACGTGACCGCGCCCTGGCAGCAGAATGAGTCTGAAACGCCACAAACAAGGGGGCCCCCTTTGGACGGGGACCAACCGCAACACAAAGCTCCTGTTTTCTGCTAATTAGGCGAACAAAAAAAAATAAATAGGATGTAGCGTGAGGAGCTTAGGAGGAATTTTTTCCCGGGGCCACAACCGGCCGCAGCAGCTTCAGCCGCAGAGCTCCGGGGCCGGCGGGATGCTGCTGATCCAGGCGGTCCTCCGGCGGACGGCCCTGGACGTGTCCTGCTCCGCGGCCCGGTGCGCAGGTGGGTTCAATCAAACGACTGCTTCCGGTTTGCAGGACAGCGCGCTCGGGTGTCCGTACCGTACCCCGTTAATAATTAAAGTCCCCTAGCAGATAAACGGAGAAATCTCCTCGGACATGTTGCTATGGACGGTAAGCTGTATGCAAAGCTCACCTGGGAGGGCAAAGGTCGCCCGGTGAGTGACACAGCCTCCTTTGTGTTGCAGATGTTCAAGATGGAAGTTCGAGGACAGCAATGTCAAGGTACGGGTTGTCTTTCGTTTTGTAGGCCTGATGAAAACACACTGCCTTCAACCTTCCAGCTGTTACTTCCCCTTCTTTTGCTTCAAAACTTCCTATTTTCTTCTTCTGTTTTTTTCTGTTCTCCATCTGGATTTGCTGAGAAGACACAATTAGAGAACAACCACTCGTATAATGTATGGGCATGTTTCTAGTTAAAATGGGTCGTTCTTGGGTTGAAGTGCTCCCACAAAATCGTTTAACAAAAAAGTTTATTAAGTTTCTATTAAGTTTCTATTTCTATTAAGTCTATTAAGTTTCAAATGTCAACATTTCTAATAATTGTTTCAATCTTGCTGCTCAAAGGTAGGTAGGCTACACCAAAACGTTTAGAATAAGGTTAATGCAAACAGAAAACGAGTGATTGACCTCTGATTATAATTAGGATAGAAATACATCCTTTCTTTTAATTCTGGAAATATGCTGAGGTCAGCATTTAATATAACTGTTCAAAATATCTGAAAAGTTGTGTTCACAGACACTGCTGTGAAGCGATTTCAGGTATAGAACAGTTTAATCTGACTGCACACCACAAAGTTATTATTGAGGTTTTCAAATATTCCACATTTTTCATCTCTTGAGAGTTTGATAGTAAATGATGTGGTCCGTTAGACTCAGTCGATAAAGCACAAGAAATGCCGTAGTCCTACTGATCCAAATGCCTTCGGAAATACAGGGGAATGGAGCTGGAATATTGCCTCTGTTAGTTTTGTTGCGTTTCCACAGTCAGTCACTCTGTCATGTGCAGCAAACACACAACTGCAGTGTTTGTGATTCCATGATGCCGGCTCACCCCCCTCTGAGTTGTTTTTTTTTGGGGGGGGGGGGTGAATTGTGATTATTTTAGATTGTGTTGTTAATTAGGTTCATGTGCTGCCAAAATAGTTTTTTTTTAAGTGTGTGCAGTGGTGTGAGGTCATCCACGGTGAGAACAAGGGCACGGCGCTTCAGGCCGAGCTTGTGGCAAGTGGAGGTTTACCACAAAGCCTCTTTATATCCCCTTAAAAAGGGATTATGTTTTTTTCTCTCTTTCTCTCTCCGCAGACTTACCAAAGGGTTTACCAAGCGCAGTTCCCATAAGGCTTTATGGGAGAGGGTGGAATTGTGTGAGTGTGATGGAGGCAGAAAACACGATTATTCACTTTCATTTTGGACTGTTTTTTTTTTGTGTGACAGAGATGTTCTGCAGCTTGCTGCCAGCACCTCAAACCCAGACTTATGTGCACACACGGAAAATGTGTGCGAGCGAAAGAGGAGCGCCCGGGGGTGTTCGTTCCAAACATAAACACTGTTTTACCAGAATCCAGTGGTTTTCCGTGTGTTCTGTGGGGTTTATACAGGGCACTGATGAGGATTAGCCAGCTCACAGAACGCCAGCCAGCATTTTGAACAGCCAGTTGGGCCCGTGGTTTTTATTCATGCTGACACATAGCAGCGCATAGAGAGGGGAAACACGAGCCCTGCCGGGCTGGATCAGCGGTGTCCTTTTCTTAAGCCGTCCATAAAACAGCCCTTAAAATGTGAAGTGTCTTGACAATCTTTTGATGGATGGTTAGAGAGTCTCCCAGCACATTTCCACATGTTGCTCATGCTCTCTGTCATCATCTGGGTTTTTTTTGTTATGAACTCTGTCTTTCATGTTCTGCCTTTAATAATTCCTCACCTGCATTTTGCTGTTATCCTCCCTAATATGAATATTTCTTTTTCTCACTGAAAGTTGTTTTGTTTTTTTCTTTGCCATTTTCTTTAGTCATTCCCCTTTGTGTGTTTGCCCTCTCATTTTCAGATAGTATTTCCAAGCCAGACTCATGGTTACATGTTGTACTCTTTATGCTGTAGACTGTCATTGCTGTAGTTCTGGGTTTGTTAATTGAGGTGTTATTCATTTCCTGGTCCTGCGTCTCTCCAGGGGTTTAGTCCACATTTAGGTCATCACCGCCTCTGCGACACACAGCTGCATGACTTACTGATTCAAACCAGGCCAGCCAAAGATTTAAAACACCTTTTTAGAATGCTTTTTTACTTTTTAGACTTATTCCGGAATGAGTCTGTATTTAAGAGGTTGATAAGCTGCAGTTCTGCAGTTAAACCTGACACTTACTTTCTGATGTCACTTATTTAAACAACTGACATTGATGTTCTATTTCTTCCAGAGAGTTCCTGGGTTAAAATGTTGCACCACAAGCATTAACTGATGAGCGAGGGTATTTGTTTTCCTCTTTTTAAAAGCAGGGATAGACAGGAAAGTAATGCACAGCAGCACGTATGGAAATTTAAACTCATGTTCTTAGACGACCAGCTATGTTTAAGGTCTCCCCAGAGGATCCATTACTTTCTCCCCTTTGCTAAATCCCAGATGCTTTGAAACCATTGCCACAGCAACATTTGGTTGTTCCTCCAGGTGCTGTGGTGGAACAGTGTACTGTCACAGAAAACAGACTCAGGCTCAATTAGAAGGCTTCTTTAGTTATGAGTCACCTCATCTGCCATTTCGGCTGCTTCATCCACATCCTGGGTTGCGTTTACGCTGACCGTGTGACTCCCTAAAGAAACCTCAAAGAGCGCCTGGATGCAGAAGCGTGGAAAGTCACAGCTGCTGAAAGTACATTAGGCAAAGAAAGAGGATTCAGGCTGAGGTCATGTGACCTCGCAGCTATCGTGAACTTCCTGGATACCTGCCTGCAACCTGAGAGGCTTCATATCAGCCGCCATTATGAGTGCCTACATCTGCCACTTGAATATTTAATGGGACTGCTGATCAGGCTTCAGATTGCAAGTGAATTATTAATCCCAATAGATTGGCTGAATTAGCCGCGAGCAGTGTGATGCGAGGCAGCAACACTTTCACAGCAGCAGGTACTTGTGGCTTCTTGATTTGTGTGTCTGTTTCAACCCAAAAAATCCTCTTAAATTTTGAATAATGTTTGTATTTGTGTGATGGTTGCAGGTCTGATGGTTTCTTGTGCCTAGATGTTTTTTTATGGTTGATGTCCAGCGTAGGGGAGGTCTCTTTGGCTTTGGTGAGGTGCAGTAATGCTTGGTTGGGGCTGGGGTTGATACAGTTCCCTCATAGACGTTACATCACACGAGCTGCAGTGATGGGCAGAGTGAGGTGTGCAGCTACACTCAGAACTGAAATGTTCCTTTACAGAAGCTTTCAGGATCTGTTGATATCTTAGAGCTGCTATCTGCTGCTGCAGGTAATCGGAGACAAAAAGCCTCTCAGAGGAAGGTGAGCCGTCCGTTACAGAACTTTGTCAGAACGTGTTGACAGCAGGTGGCTGGTGACGTGCTCCGTGCACAGTGTGTGCGCTACCAAACAGAACAGCTACAATAAACGTGAAGCGGCTTTCATCCTGCCCTGGAGGCAGGGATGCTCGACTTGGTTGAAAATGGGAGATTAACTTTAGTCTGCAGAGGAACCTTGTTGAATATCCTCTTGAATTTGTTGTTTTTTTTTCCATTTAACTGGAAGATGAAAGAATACCCATTTTTGCCGCATTTCTTGTTGAATGACCCTGAAGAGTAGTAGTCATGTCTGTCTCCTGCATAATTGAGTGTCTCAGCAAAATATCCATCTAAAATCCACCTGCATGCTCTCGCCGCACACAGAAAAACCCCCATAACAAATGGACACCGTGCTCCAGTCCCAAAGCCTCTGCCATGTATTAACGTGTTTATGACAAAAGGCCCCAATGTGAGATGGAAAATAATCATTTTTCCACATCAAGTTTGTCTGGATAGATGGAATTTTATGAAAAGTGTGGGGACATGGATTCCTAATCCATCATGTTGTTGCAGCTGTGCATCAGCGGTCTAATGTATTGGTTTAAGTCACACCCCTGTTGATCATTCTGAGTCTCTGTAGCTGACCATGTAAATGAAGCACCTCATGAAGCACCTTACATGATCATCATTTCACAAAGCTACTTGCTGGGAAGTGTGGCGCGGGTTCACCATTTCAGGGCAGTTAATCTCTGACCAATCCAATTGATCCTCAGAAGATTGCACTTCTAAGAGGACACGGAAGTGCCGAGCTCCCTGTGGAGGCGACTAATTCAGTGTCGACGTGAAGCGCCACTTGTTGCCCATCCTTTGGAGGAAGCCTTTTTTTTCCTGGTGCCATTGGTGTTGTTTTATTATGACCACCAGAGACTTTGTACTTGTAACTTTTCAGAGCCCCGATGAGTCAGAAGAAAATAACATTTGCCATGTAAGTACTGTCATTTTGCCTTTGCTTTTGCCTCGTTCTCCTGCTTAAAACCTGTAAAGTGGCTCCCCTGAGCACATGGTCATTACACTCGGCTGAACAAGGACTCCTGGGGGAAGATATTTGCTGCTCTCAGTGTTAGCTTTTCCTGTGCAGTGGTTTGTGCACAGTTTATACATCCTAGCTTGATGGCAGACATTGTGTTTTTCTGTCTTGCTCTGCCACTGTTTAAGTATGACCTGTGTGTTCTGTGGCTCAACTGCTCAGTCACTTACAACAAGCTTTCTGTTTTCAGTGGTGAGTAATAAGCATTAGAAAGGGATTAGCATTTCATCGGGTTTAAAGAAATAATACACACATAAGATGGTCTAAAAAAAACATTGTTTTTTGGGAATTGTGTTTATTCCTCAGGAGGTCATTTTATGGACTGTACCCCTACAAGTCCAGCATGATTGGCCTGGAGAACCTTGGCGATCCCTCGGGTGACTGGGATATAGTAGAGACCATCGGTAAAGGAACCTATGGCAAAGTCTACCGGGTAACCAACAAGAAAGACGGCAGTCAGGCAGCTGTGAAAGTACTGGACCCGATTAATGTGAGTCAGATCCAAGCTTGTTAATCACTTATGAGCACACTTTTTAGTAGTAGAAGAAGAAACTTAGATAAAACGTATGCAAAACATATTCAACTTACAAGATAAGCACATTCTTATAAAAGGTTGAATAAAATCAGCAGATCATGGAGGAAATTTAGCAGCTGATCCTGTAGACTGTAATACTTGACACCGCAAGTAAAAAAAAGTTTATTTTTCATTTTAGTTCATCCATTCTTGTCCCTTTGTGTTATTACACAGAGTTTTTATAACTTGTGTATAGTTATTAAGATGTTTATAAGGATGATCTTCTGACACTATGGGTGGTTCCAAACCTCTTTTTGGAACTGTTGAGTTATCAATACCTGCCATGTTAGTTATTTGTCTTTTGCCTATATCATATGTTTCTAGGTGTTTTGGGAAATTAGCTGCAACAGTCACAGGTTAGCGCTGTTATTGTAAACACAGGGACTCACACAATTTTGGATTCTCATAATCTCACATGGAAATCAAGCGCATCAATCATTTCTTTGGAATAGGAAAGAGAGAGGTATTAACAGCCTTTTTCATGCTGTACTTTTCCATCTACGTTCAGCTTTGATCTGACGGTTTAAAGTGTGAGACTCCCAGGAGAACTCAAAAGCATTTGAGTTTTGGGTTTTACAGTGACTGGAAAAGAGAAAAAAAAGAAACAAAGACTAAAACCTTTTTCTTTTTCTCTGTTTATCCGTGTCTCAGCATTCGAACCACACAAACAGAGTATGTTGGCACATCCTTTTTATTTCTCCTCTCCAGCTTGATGCAGCTGTACTTGTCCTGTGGCCTGTAGTGTATGAAGATGTTCCCTTTTCATTTAGTTCCACCCGGTCTGGTTGCATACTCTCCTACCATAAAGTGTAGCCCCTGTGCGTGGTGGATCCTTTCTGTGCATTTGTTCATTTGTCTGTGTGATAAGAGCGCTGTGCTGGCAGTTGGACTTGGTCTGAGGCGAGCCCGTGATTGTGTCAGTGAAACAAACAAACCCCGTCTTGGCAGCTGCACCAAGCACGTTGCTCCCCTGATGGCTACGAAGATGAAGCTGCCTCCTCTCCCATTCCTCTCCCTGATTAGACTGCTGACACTATCACTCAGGCATCCAGGAAGAGAAATTCTGCCTCTCTGACTGTTGATCTTCCCACCCACTGAGATTTACTTTGATAGAAAAGCGGCTCAGAAATAGTTCAGCGCACCACCCTGTCCCATCTGTTCGTTATTGCTTTAACCCCATCTTTAGGTTTCCAGTTTTAGAGAGTACCAATTTTTCTGCTGTTGCTGAAAATAAACCAGTCTTATATGTTCAAGCGTGCATGTAATCTAATATGTGAGAACTTTGCAGTTTTTCTGATGAAATGTTTGAACTTTTGATTGTTTATGCGTGCATTAAAGGATGTGGATGAAGAGATTGAGGCAGAATACAACATTTTGCGGTCCCTGTCCAACCACCCTAATGTGGTCAAGTTTTACGGCATGTTTTACAAGTCAGACAAGCTATCAGGTGGACAGCTCTGGCTGGTACTGGAGGTGAGTTCCTCATGAACTTAATTGTAATGTTTCAGATGGTAAAGTGCAGTCCTTCACATAAGATCTCCACTAACCTTCAGTTTAAGATGATAAGGCTAGAAATACCTGGAGGAGTGGGAGTCAGCACAGACATTCTTGATTTGTTTCGCAGTCCTTTTTACAGCTGCACACTTTTATATATATTATTTTCAAACATGAAAGATAAATTACTTTTTTTCAAATGTATTTGGCATACTAGGATGTTTTCTATTGAGATTAAAGTTTGTTAGTTTAGCTGGAAACAGTTTTTCAAAGCTAACAAAATCTGTTACCTCAGAAAATCAGCATTGACCATTTTTATCAGAGATAGTATAATTCTTACCAAAATAACGTTTTTTTATGTTGAGTCTTCCCTTTCATCTATGTGAATGAATAAAATCAGGAGCGTTGATGCTAACATACGACGCGGCGCGTCTCTCTCTAACTTGTGCGTGTGGGCTCGGCCTCCCTGTGAGTTACAGTCTAGTGGGGTGAGTGATGTGGACGGGTCAGCAGTGTTTCTCTCTCCCCTTCCCCAGCTGTGCAACGGTGGCTCTGTCACAGAGCTCGTCAAAAGCCTGATCATGCGCGGCCAGCATTTGCAGGAGCCCGTCATCTCGTACATCCTGTACAGCGCTCTGTTGGTAAGCTGGCCCTCTGCGAGGGGAGGAAGTGGGCTGCAGACACTTCTGAGGGTCTCTGCTGAACAGCTGTTTGAGCTCCTCTGTGTAGTTTGTATAGCTCAAATAGTTTTGGATCTAACTCTTAATTTAACACATTTTTATTTTGTAATTTTAGAATAAAACCCATATCTTGATGTAATTCAAATAAATTAATTCTCACGATCCATTTTAATGGCAGATGTGATGCAAATGCTCAAATTATGCTGAAGGGAAAGGGATACCATGTGAATTTGGGATACATACTGTTTAGTTTCATTTGCATTTATTTGATTTAACAAATGACCAATAATATGTGCTGCACCTTGTGTTTTATTTTTATCCTATACCTTAAAGGGTCTTCAGCATTTGCACAATAACCGGATCATCCATCGTGATGTCAAAGGCAACAACATTCTCCTGACAACTGATGGGGGAGTTAAACTCGTCGATTTTGGTAAGTACCGCTCAAAGAGAAAATCTAGACCAACCATTTTCTCTCAGGTGTAGAGTTGTTTGGGAAATGTTTTTTTTTTGCCCTGTGTCTCACAGCCCTGATGTACAGATTGTAAACGGTGAACACAAGCACAGGAGAAATCATTTGATGTGTTCCATACTTTTTGTCCCCTGCACACTATAACATCATTTTATTTCATGGACCGTAGCCTTAACCCGAGGCTATTATTGCTCATTTAAATTGCATTATTTGATCCTTTGCATATTAAAAGAAAGCTGCTATTGCAAATGACTTTGAGTCACCCTCAGGCATGTTTATGTCCTCTGTGTCATGGAGATGAAGTGGACTCATGCTGATAAAAATCTGTCCTACATAATTTGAAATGATTATAGCCCATTATTGTTGCTGCCTGGCAGGTTGCCACACTAAATTGTATGCCAGAATGTATTGATTAATTCCAACATTTAGCATCTGCTGTGAAACCGACTTTCTCTTTTAGGAGGAACAGTTACGCGTGAATTTAAGAGAGTGAACCGGGTTTGATCTCTATGTCATTTGAAAATGCAGGTGTTTCTGCTCAGCTGACCAGTGCTCGATTGCGGAGGAACACGTCGGTTGGGACACCGTTTTGGATGGCTCCAGAGGTCAGACTTAACACACGCACACACACACACACACACACATGTTCCTCTCTGACAGAGCAGCACTAAAACATGCACACATGTTGTAATGCCAGATGGATTCTTATACATTAGCACGCTCTTTGTGCTATAGAGAGAGAGAAAGAGAGAGAGAGGGAGAGCGCCTGGGTTATTTCAGTCTGACTCTCCTCTGTGTCATTGTGAATTCTCCTCCTATTCTCCTCCTTGGGAGGAGCTCCTGAGGTTGCCTCAAGGTTAATAGCCGGGAGTCCCAGGCCCCACAGCCAACCATTTGGTAGAAATGAGGTGATTGGGCTGGTCAGGAGGGACCTCAGGGGCAATTAGAATAAACTCAGCTGTAAAATGTAATGTCAGTTATAATTATTGACTGTAAAGAAGAGGACTTCACTGCCACAGTTACCCAATTAACCCAGCTTTGAAAGGCTTTAAGTAAAAGTACTCCTTTGAAACTGATCTGGGAAAAAAACTATTAGGTTTATGATGCTTTTAACAAGATTTTCTATATTAGAGAATTAATACAACTCTGCTATCCTGTTGCTGAAAATCAAATTCACCTCCCTTCACCAAAAAGAATGTCTTTAGTCAAAATCAGTCCTGTGTTTTGTTGCCAGGTCATAGCCTGTGAGCAGCAGTATGACTACTCGTACGATGCCCGCTGTGATGTGTGGTCTCTCGGCATCACAGCCATCGAGCTGGCAGACGGAGATCCCCCCCTGGCTGAGATGCATCCTGTTAAAGCTCTCTTCAAGATCCCACGGTGAGTCCAGTAGAGGGCGCTCCTATCACATAGCTGGAGGCAGCGCAGACAAAGATGCTCAAAATCACCTTCCCCCCTCTGTCAGGAGGACAATGAAAAGACATTGAAGGTGACAAAAGGAGCAATAGCTGGCTTTGTTTTGCTTAATAACATGAAATTCAATAACAGCAGAAAACAATTGTGCTGGTTTGATCTGTTCCTCGTGTTGTCAATGCATTTCTGTCAGTTCTCTCCAAATGAAATCCATGATGACAAATAATAGATTGATAGGCCTTAAAATAATGCTGGAAAAAAGCCTGTACAAACACACACTGTTGGAAAGGGTGTGTATCAGATCATTATGGTGGCTGCACACAGTTGACCTTCTGTTATCTGCACAATCGTGCAATTATCTCTCAGTTAGCTTGAGATATGCCCTTCTGATTGCAATTTGCATTAGTGATTAGCTCCATTCACATCAAGAGAGATGAGGCTGTCACCTCCTCCCCGTCACAATATTATCTCCTTCCTGCCAAGACCGAGGAGCGGGCCTTGTGTGGCAGAAATTACGCAAGCTAATTTGGCATTTCATCACCACCAAATTTCAACCAGAATGGAGAGCGATTATGAGAGAAAGGCTGACTGATAGCGTGTTTTTGGGGGGAAATTTTACCCTGGTGTGGTTATCTTTTTTGTAAAAACTGAAGGTATCAGGAAGAGAGGCTTCTGTGAAGTTGCAATTCTTACGATTTATCAAACAGCACGTATATGAAGAGGGGTCATGTGCGTTTTCCTCATCAGTGTTTTTGACTCGTTGATGATTCAGATGCTGATAGAATTGGATGTATATATTTTACCCCAACAGCTCTCTCAGTGTGGGTTAATCAGAATTTATCCATTTGTCTTGTACTTTGAACTGAAACCTGAAAGGGTATTTTGGTCATGATATAAATTGCAGTAGATGTGAAGTGCCATGAAATTATTCTGTTAACATGTCATTTATCTGAAATATATTTCCCCATAACCACAGCACACCTAACAAAATCAGGAGGAAACGCTTGCATGACTCCTGAATGAATACCTTTCTGAATAAGGGAACGTGATTCACCTGTGGGACTTGGGTGGCAGGTCGAGTGATTCATGATTAAACCTGAGATATTCATCCTCGCTGGTTCTGATGATTGCAGAGTTCTAGATTTATTTTTTTTCCACTTTAATACATCACAGGCCATTGCCAGAGGTGCCTTTCCTGGGGTATGTCCTTGGGTGATACATGTTTTATGAAACCCATGTTTGCACTAAAACATGCAATAAGCATTTTCATCATTCTGATATTTTACAGTTGTGCACAGTAATGTGTTTCCAGGCTAAAGGTTTCACTGTCACGTTGTTAATCTTGTCTGTATCATCAGCTCTATAAACCTTCTTCACTGAACACATCTAGATAGTGGATAGATAAAGGCAGCTGTGCGACATGTCATACTTTTTCTTCTATGTGCAGCAGGAGAGTCTTTCTTGTCAAAGTGAAGATTTAATAGCTACTTTGGAGAGGGCAAAATAAACAGGGAGCACTATCACCTCTGCATCCTGAGGCTGGCAGCAAATGGCTATTATGTCACCTTTTTAGTTGTGTCGGGGGTAATCTGCACAGGTGGAAATGATTCTCATCCCAGCAGGCTATAAACGATAAGAGAGGCTCTGATGCCTGTCAGACGGGCCGCTGATGAGCTCCATGAATTAGGGTCACCTTGGTGCGTGGTCTGTTTGTGCTTCAGAAATATCAAATGCTTAATGACTTGTGTCACGCTGTTGTTGTCATGTTGGAATATCAGACAGATTACAGCTGTTCTGATTTTTAAGCCGAATCCTGGTGTTTTGGGGTTCTTTTTTGCACAATCACCCTCTTTGGCACAATTAAAAGTCATTTAGTGTGTTGGAGTGGGCATGGCTGCTTGTGATGTTCATGGTGACCATGAATGAACGTAATGGAGCATGTCAGAGGGCAAAGTTGTAAAATCATCAACTGTAAAGTTAATTACAGACACCCCAGACAACGATGTTCACTGATATTTAATATGCTGAGAGGTGAACTGCTCGAGCCAGTGTTATGCGTTCCATACAGCCTCGCAGTATCCATGTAAAGACAAGCCAGAGTGTGTGAAATGTGTTGTAAAGGTTAGAGACAGCTGGCAAAGCTGGCCAAGCTTCAATTTATTCGTCCGGACTCCTGTCGACATTGTCCACATATTAAACCCTGCGTGTTTCTGTGTGAGCACAGACCAAAACAAGCTAGATAGAAGGTAGAGTAAATGATGACATGTCAGAGGCAACAGGAGCTAATGAAATCATGAGGCTTAAGGAGAGACATGCAGAGGGACTGCTCTTGTTATAGCCTTCAGTGCAGAACAGCACAGGATGACCGGGATCACCAGTTTGATGGGTTACAGGATACTAAAAGGGCAATGTTACTAAATATACTGTAAAGTATATAGAAAGTAATGCTTATATTTTAAGTCAATTATGGAAACTGCATTTTAAAAACATTTTACATTACAGCAATTCTCTGAAAAAACTTTTGAAGTAAATAATAAACCTCAAAAGATTCCTACAGGACATAGATTTAATTTGACCTTTGATGAAAGTTTTCAAGTCAGTAATGTTAAAACTTTTCTGCGATTTCAAAATGAAAATGTTTAAACTCCCACGCTAAAGGTTTTTGTCCGTCTAACGACAGGGCTGCCTATTGGCAGCCCAGGCTCCTCATACATACGGCGCAATGTGCACTGATTTGACTAATGGACAAAAGGAAGCGCATGTATGAGCAAACAAACCAACTGAAGCAATCCTTGTAATATGAATGCATACTTAATGGAGCCTAGCCTCCATAAAGACACGACTCAGGGTAAGCCTGTCTGCCACTCGCGGGGTTGCACTCACACTCACTGCTCTGTTGGCTCTTTCTCTGAGCAAACATGCCAAAAGGTGACATTTCTGTGCAGCAAAATTATGCAAAGCCACAGAATTCATTAATTGATTTTATGTTCAACAAATTCAACTCCTAATTAAAAAGTCGTTTAAGACCACAACACTTTAACTGATAAATGCACCTTGTAATTAAATATTGTCTCCTTTGGCGAGCTACTCCATGATGATTGTATTCCTCAGAACAATCATAGATTCTCCTCACGTTATTCAAAAGTCTTCTGTCATCTACATGCGAGTGTGCTGACTCTATAGGAACATTTTTTATATAACGTTCAGAGTGGAAGTCAAAGGCTGTATATGCAGCAACAATCATATTCTCATTTCTGAAAATGATATCCAAAATATCCAACGCAACACACATCAGAAGACATGAGCTTTCACTGTCTCCTTAGCGACAGCTTGACTTTTGTGCATGTAGAAAGTAGTACTGAAGCATGATGAAATAAAGATCACATAATTGAATCCGGTGTGGTGTGGACATCAAATTCAATAGCATCTGGAATTAGTTATCTCTGTATCTCTGTTACGGCAGTATCTTGTTCTCCTCTGGAAAAGGGTCTTGCGATAGGGCTGTGATGAACAGAGGGAGGATTAGCGCTGACAGATAAGGCAGAGTCACAAATCCAATCTTTGCATTTGCATCACTGTTTCCAAAAGCGAGATTTTAAACTGAACTGGGGTGTCTGATTTAGGAGCTTTGAAATGCTGCAACGGCGGAGATGCCAGTTGTAACCAAAGAGAAAGTTGAGAATTTTAAAATTGAGAATTTCCAAAATACTTTAAAGTCCTTCATCCACTCAACATTTGACATATACACGATAACAATAGCATTCCTCACAGGGTTTCCATCATTCTGATAATAGTAACCATGCCAGATATAGTGTTTATATAGAAACTGTGCCTTTATCAGTAGTTTACGCATTTAGCTTTTTATTTATTATTATAGAAACCAGTCAGATCTTTTGTGTTTTAAATGTTGGTTGGATAAAATAACATAATCACACGCTTTGATCGCTCACACTTCTTGTCATCAGACAGTCTGACATCATTAATAAAGACTGGGATATTTCCCCGTCTGATGCAGTTATCTTCCCGCCCGCTGTGGTGTCTGTGGCTGCAGCAGAGGCGACAGAGCCACCGGGGACATGATGAATGTGGACCGAGTGCTCGCTTGTTCATGCATGTATGCTGAAGGAAGTGGAGGCGCTGCAGCTGCAGTGATGGATGAGTTGAAAGTTAAAGCACGTGGTCCATTCGCTGAATAGGTCTTTATTTTGCAGACTTGTGCCCAGTCTCTGGTACGCTTATATAAAGGCCACTGGGTTTCCTCTTTAAGCAGTCACCACTGCATCTGGCACCAGTTTCTTATTATTTCCTTTATAAATGGCAGATTCTCTCTTTCTGTTTGTATGTTTGTCTGTTTTTCACTTTTCCCAACAACTATTCATCCCAGGACGCAGGCTGGTAGATTGTAGAGATTGCTCAGTGGGTGTATTTAAAACAACACAGTATAATAATTTATTTGAGAAGGTTTCTGAATTAAATAGTGACCCTGAATTAATTGATTAATTTTAAAAAGTGCTTGAGAATTCTGAGTAAAAAGATGTCAATATTTAAATTCTGGGTGTAAAAGATCATATTCAAATGGTGCATATTCAGATGTTTCTTTAATGGTTTAGTTGCAGCTTTCATGAACTGTTGACACCTCTCAGATTTTGCCTCAATCCATGCTGAGGAGCGCCTGACAGCACCAGTGCCTCAGAGAGCTAAATTTGAATAAGCCATTTGTGTTTACAATATGAGCCAGCCCTCACACAAATACTCAAAGAAAGTAAATAAATAAATAAATGACGGTCTGAATTTGCTAAGTACAATGTGCGGGGTTTGACAGTGTTATCAGCAGTGCGCGGGCATGTTGACTCTGTAATGTATAAGCTGTATGCTACAACATCAAGGCGAGGACGTGTCTGCAGGCTCATTTCAGAGGTTGCATTGAAACAGTCACTTACTGGCTTTGATCTGCACTTTGGAAAGGATTGCCTGTCTCAATTCTAATCACAGACTCCGCAAACTGTAGAAAATGGCAGATCTTGTACACTAATACCCCCCCTCTCTTGTAAGGTGTTAAATATGTACCGACCTGTTTGATTTTGAGAGTCGTATTGTTCGTCGCAAACTTTTCCTCATTTTCTTAAATTTCAATATTCTACCTCACTGTCAGTTTTGTGGACTAATTAAGGCAATAATTAAAGGATGATCGGCCTGGTTTGTTAGCATTTGCCTGACTCCCAGAAGGCTCGGCCTGCAGCCGTCTGACTGACAGCTCGCTGGAGGGATGGCTGGGCCGGCCACTGTCCGGCCTTGGCTCCTCAAACAGCCCTGCCTCCTGTCATCATGTGCACTTGAAAAGTGTTAGTCTCATTACAGATGGCCTCCGTAAATGCTGCTGACAGAGGTATAACAAGCCCTCATAACTTTTGCCGCCCAATGGCAGATGCTTGTTGCCAGACAGCAGGGCAGCAGTTACCATTTTTCACTTTTTCCGTTGCTGCCACAGACCTGGACCCTGACCAGGCTGTCCTCAGAGCAAAACCTCCGACAGGAGTCCAATGCTTGCACTCTGCTTGCCAGCTATCATTTGTCAAGCAACCCAGGAGACGTGCTCAAATTCTCTCTGTACTGCAGCAATTATCTAAATGCTTTCTTTTGCTCTGTTCCTGATGTCTTTGTCGTGGTTTTGTTTCAGAAATCCATCACCCACATTGCGATGTCCAGAGCACTGGTGCAGAAGTTTCAGCTATTTCATCAGCCAGTAAGTGTCCCCCAACCGCAACCGGTCATCTTTTACTTTTATCTTTTACTCAATGTAAATGGGAAGGCAGTATAACTAACCATTATGTCCGTACATGACAATGCACACTGGAAAAATGCTTATTGATCGAGAATCAGAAGACGTGAAATAATCAAGTCTGCCTGAGATAATCGAATGATGCAGATCTTTATTTTTATTCATGCAGTTTTAACACGTAACCACAAACAAACCCACAGTGACAATTTCAGCATTTTTGGAAAGGTGCCCCTATATGGCAGAGAAAATTTACAAGGAGTTGTGCGTTTTGTGTGCGCTGTGCAACTAAGAGTTGCATTCACGTTCCAAGGCAAAGATCTGGCTGTTTTAGGGTTTTAGCATCTAGATTAAAAGATGAAAATGGCATTAACTTAGTTTTGAATGACACTGTAAAAGGATTACATGTGGGATTGCAGCTGTTTTGACGGGACTGGATTGAACGTCAGGAGGACCACATCTGTAAACACAGCTGGAACTGAAACTGATATTTTATTGCCAGATTCTATCTTTTTTTTTTTCTTCATTGACTTTCATTTGTGTAAATCTGCCATACGGGAACAAACTAATTCACCTGAGTTATCAGTTCTGTCTGGGACTCAGGTAACTTATCATTAGCTCCCCTGAGCAAAGCCACTAATGTCAGCGGTAGGTTGTAATGGCTGTTTGGAATATACAACCTTAATATGTCCTGCAGAGGGCTGTGTGAGCCTGACCCATAATGGGAAAATAAAATTCAATTTGTTTGCGGAATTATTTGTGTAGGCACAGTTTCTGCCTAACATTCTGTTTGGATTAATTTGGAATGTGAAATGAAAAAATCACAACAATCTATCTTCAGTTTGATCTAGCTCTTTTTTTTTGTCTCTTAAATCTTGATTGGATTGGTCAGGTTAGTCAGCGGCTTATTTTCCTTTTAAAGCAAAAATATTGTGTTGATATTAGTTTTTATTCATGCTACAACAAAAGCAGTGTTTCCTTATTGGAGGCTTGTGGAATTGCAGCTTTGCAATCTGGGTTAATGGATTGTGTGATATCATATCAACATAAATCTGCTCAAACAAAAGCCCACCAGAGTTCAATGTGGGGAGGCTGGACAATGTTATCAAGCTTTCCAGGCCTTTTCAGGTCTGTCAGGCCTGTGTGTGTATGTGTGGAGGGGGGACTGGGGTACGAGGGGGGG